CATCGCACCAATTTATTTATTTTGACATTAAACGCAGTACGACTATAGCCGAAGATAAACAATAGATACAATGAGGCGCGAAAAAAAAACAGGAGTTTGAAATCCCTATTTTTTCTCTGCCTCAATCACAAATGATCAGAAATAAGGGCAGACGTTTAAAATTTCGAGTCAATTCTTTCCTGGTGTATTGTATTGTTTTGTGATTACGTCACATCGATTTCGGTTAAAACCGTCAAGCCGACCGGGTGTCCGCCGGTTGGTATTTCGCGCGGCGGCAGCATTGGTGGCCGCCGACGACTAATCAAAACAACTTCGCTTCCTTTTTTTTCTATTTTTTTTTGCTTTCCTCATTCATCAATGGTTTCTCATGTGCCGTCATCGTCGTCGTCTGTGTCTGCCGCGAAACCCAATACCAAACGCGAGGCGCTTTGTCATGTAGACCATCAATTTTTATGATCGTGCTCGCCGTGTGAGTCATTTGCCGATTGAGCGTGCGAAAAATCGTCATAGTCCCCAAATTTGGGCAGCGATTTCTCGTAGTTTGCGGGCGCAAAACTCGCTGGCGCGCGCCATACCAAAAAAACGAGGGAGGGAGACGCGCCGCCAACCAACGAATTAGGCACAATTGACAAAGAGGCGACACCAATGCCGCCAACGAGTTTTTGGTGTGATGTGAGCTGCTTTTGCGCACTTCGTCGTCAGACTTGGTTCCGTTTTTTTTCTGCTTGATATCCCCCCGATTTGATTATCCGCCCATCTTCTAAACCGACTAAAACGCGAAATGTCGCCAAAATTTTGGTCTAGTGTGACATCATGCTTCTCGCCTATTGTTTTGCGAGCAAGATTCGTAGCACACAGGGCTAATTTAATTGCGACCAATAAGCTGAACACAAAGATCTATACATAGTTTTTTTTTCGAGAATTTATTCGTTTTTTTAAATTTTCGCGTTCTGATGTCGGGAAATTGAAAAGATATGTGTTGAGGAATGTAGTGGTGATCAAAGATTCGGTGTTGGTGTAACAAAAGGTCACCATTTTGCAATGTTCCTAACCCATTCATTATTTCGAAGCAAAAAAAAACCCTACCGTTTTCGAAGGTTTTGATATTGGAAGTTTGAACTTTGAAAATGGTTACTCTTGTGTTTTCAAAAACAGTTTTTTTTGGAATTATAAGATATGACGAACATTTCAAAGATACGACATTCTACGAAAAAACCACAAAAGAGAACATTTCTCTCGGCAAACTTTCTTTTTTTTTTGTTGAAATTTTTAGCTTATCTGCAAACACACAGACGCACACTTCTTGAATTCAGGAAATTTTGGAACTATTAAAAAAACGAGCAGATTCGCATTTTTGTTTAATTATAATTTGAATCACGAGAAAAAATGATGGTCCACAAATACGCAGGGTATCCGTTATTATTTCGCCTTATATATATATACAATTCGAATAATTAATGGCTGAAGATAATATTATTTTCAATATCAAAAATGTTAAAAGAGGTTGTCGTTTTTGTGTCGCACTTTTAGAGACTTATCGGCACATGATATTTATAATTTTCATAAATTTCTCGATCTAACAATATGTATTTTTTGAACTGATTGTCCCTCTCTGCATCTCTTTCCGTCCCATCTCGCCTGCACCCTCGACTAGCGAGCAGTACACTCGTCCTCCCATCGACCACGCCCACTTTTGACCATTCCGTCGCAAGCCGCTGCCGTCGCCGCCGTCGCTTCGTTTCTGCCGCACCAGCAGCCGTCGGCACGTGTGTCTTCGCGTTCATCTCGCAACAGTTTTTCTACCTTTTTGAATTTTTTTTTCAAACATAACTGCCGTTTGATGTTTTTTTTTTCGATTAATTCGTTTTCGTTTCCTTCCAATAGCATTTTGTATGAATGCCGTTAAGAATTGCTTTGTGATGGTCAAAACGTTCGATACGTTTGCTGCCCAATTTGACACTTAAATTGTTGAGTGTAGGCGTTTCTCCGCGCACAAACGTCTTCTGCCGCTACAATTGTGCCGAAAAAAAAAACACGAAAGTTTTGGTCATTTTTTGGTGTGTGTGTGTGTGCGTGCGTTGAAGCTGAGGATGTGAAGCATGTCTATTTACCACTCGAATATTCACTGGTCCTTTCCTTGTTGCGTTTTTGTCAAGTATGAACGAGTTGCGAACTCAATGAGCGGTCTTCATCCAACATTTTTTGAATGGTCACCTCGAGAAAACATTTTGTAGAAATTTGTGCGAAACGAATAAAAATTAAAGGCCGGGTCCCGTGGGAGCCCGCGATAATGTCATAGTGTTTTTTTTTTGCGCCACCAAAAGTTTTGGGCATTGTCTTTGAGTTTACTGGAAAAAGCGTATGTGATAGATTTATTGCTGGAAAATTGACGCTAAATATTAATGCTTTGTTTTGAGGTGTGGTATTGATGAGAGCCGCAGAGAAATAATGTGATAGAAAGTATTTTTGTAAATATTCATTTTTGACCCGAAAGCTGTAAATTTTGCAAGCATATGAACATATTGTTAAAAATTCCGAAAGCGCAGAGTATGTTTGTTATAAGATTTAAAACTTAATTATTTACTCAATTTTTTTTTTGATAAATCACGAGAACACAATTAGATGGTTAGTTGAAATTGTTGCTAATTCGTTCCAGTTGGTTAGCAGAATTTTATCAAAAGCCAACAATAACCTAATTAGCTTTTAATAGAATTTTCCCATTTAATTTGCATAATCAGTGTTGTGTATGTGTGTGAAAATCGATGTTTTCTCGTGTACCAACAAAAGTGAAAGTCCGATTTTTTTTTTAGGAAATTGAACTCGCTTTTTTTTGTCGAATACTTTTCGAGTAATAGTATTTCATCAGCAAAGTAATAGAAAATGTAGAGAGGCACAACGAATAAATATTGCCGAAGGCAGCAAAAACGCGGTCATTTGACGCCTCGAAATCGAGTTTATCCCGCCCGTTTGACCGCAATTCTGTGCGTATGTGTGTGTGTTTGTGTGTATGTTGCCTTCTTTGGACGGGGCTTCTGGTGTTTAGTGTTAAGCGTAAAGTAAACACACACACACACACACACACAGGCACCAAGGCGACGACGAACTTGTTCCATTATATATTTTTTGGCCCGGTTTCGCTTCATCTCCATCAAATTAGCATTCTCGAGCGAATCGGTTCGCATGATGAACACGCGACGACGACGACGACACTCTTTGTTTTTACTGTATGTTCGTGTTGGTGTGTACGCGCATACACCCATCCACACGTGTGCACTATATGAAGAGTGGAAGGGCAATTACTCAACGGGCGGATCATTATGACATTGTGCGAGATGAACATGAAACCCCCCTCCATCTTCGCACCATGTTGTTTCATACGAATGTTGTCAACTTTTTTTCTCGTTCCGATAGAGGTCATCGATGGCTTTATTTGGTGTGCGACAGCATAGGTTTCAGTAGAATGGTGTGTCGAAATATGGGAAACAAATGTCGAAGGGCTCGTGGAATGATTCATGGCCAAATAATGACTGTCCTCTGAAGAACTATTAAGCTGGACTTGAGAACGTGCCAGCGAACATCATCAATTGACAGATTTTTTGTAGATTAAAAGTGTGATGATATTGAATAATTATCATCTTTATCTTATACATATACTATTTGGTTATTTATGTAGATGACATCTGATGTTTAGTAAGACGCACATTCGGAAAATCTGATAGTTTAAAATCGTAATTTTGCCCGGTTCTAATCAATCTATGGTAATTAGGGACTAGTGTATTGTTACGAAGCTTGAAGCGATCAAGTAAAAATCCGGCGCGTTTTCTCAAACACAATCCACCATCAACATCGCAACATTCCTTTCAACGTGTTCAGCTTTCCCGCATTTTCTTTGTTTTAGTTTTTCTTTTGTTTTTTTTTTGTTTGTTTATTCGTCTCATCTCCGGAAATACGGACAACAAACAAAAACGCGCGAACACATCCGAACTCGTATAGAAACTTATCAATGTTTGGCCTAATTTGGTCGTATCAAATTTCGTTATACCACGAATAATTTGGCACCGTTTTTTCGCTTCATCACCCACTAGTCATCCTCTCGGCGATTTCTATTCGCACTGTATCTGTTCGGCCGATCATCTTCATCATCATCATCATCTTCATCATCATCGTCGGCGGTGTCGGGCTCCTCTCTGTCCGCGTCCGTCTTTGACCCCCTGCCCTGCCCTCCTCGCAACGATTTTCCACAATGAAAAGTGATTCATTTGCATCGGTTACATGTGGTTTAATCGGGCACACTATCGATTTTGGTGTGGTGTTTCGCACCAAACCGGCGACCAACCACCCAATTCGGTTTATTTTCTTCATTATCGATGCTTTCTTTTTGTGTTATTATGATTTCGAGAGCGCAAAAACTGTGCTCGGTGTTTATTTAAGCGTTGGTGACAGCTTGTTTCGGGCATTGCTCGCCGACAAGTCAGGAATTGCAACCTGCTTTTTAATTGTTGGAGAATTTGATTTTGCACTCACTCTTATCAGCAATATCAATGAGTCATTTCTGTTTGGAAACCAAGCATTTCAAAATATAGTATCTTCGAAGTTAGTCCTAATCAAACACAATTGCTCGTTAGTTTCGTTCAACGAACTTTCCTTTATTCGAACTTCACTTCCTTTTTTCTCACTTCTTTTCTTATAAATTTAAGCTTCAAGGCCATTTTTGTCCATTCTTCAAATTGCATTTCATCGTTTTTTGTCGGTGGCATTTACCACGCTTATGTATAAATCATTTTCCTCCTCTTCTAGCGAATTCAAATCAAAAGGGCCAGAATTGGGTTCGCGATTAGTTTTGCTAATTGTCGATGATGTGTATAGTTTATAATAAACCTTCCTCTTTTCTTTCCGTTTTTTTTTTCTCGCCGTCCTATCAACTTTAAAAATTGAATATGCAGATTTCAAGTCAAAATATCGCCATCCTATGAATGAACAACAGCAATGAGATGTCTATTATGTTCACGCTTGCTATTTGGATTTTAGTCGGCGTCGCCGACGCCGGAGATGCCAAAGTCTACTCATTAACCGATAATGTCGAATTCAACAATCCGAATGCAGGGCCCGAGTTTCACTTTCAGAAAATGGTAGTGTCGGAATGGGGGGAGGGAGGGATTCCGTTTTATTATGTAACATTATTACGTTTAGGTCATCGATCCGACGACGACACGGGTGTTCGTTGGCGGCATCAATTACTTGTACGATTTGAAAAGTGAAAATCTCGAAGTGCACCATCAAGTGAAAACCGGGCCTGAAATGGATCAGTGCAGCGGTGAGTGTTTTTTTTTGAATCAGGGTCGTTCGGGTTGTGTTAATGAAGCAACCCGGAGCCCTGGCGGGTCACCCAACTTGCTCTCGCTGATTGTTGGAACATGAGGCTAGTGCTCATTAAAACATGTGTTGTTTCCACATGTTTAATACATAGTTTGAGTTGGGTGTGATAGTAGCCGGCTCTCGGCTAACCGCACCAGTTGTCCGGCGAGGCACCGCTCGCCGGATTGCACTTGTTGTACTAGCTAGTATTCGATGCCTCTCACCCTCCCTCCCGTATTGTTTTATTGGAATCGGATGTTTGGGCTGCTAATGAATGAATTGCGAGCTAATTGGTTGGTTGAGAGATGATGAACAGATTTGCGAGTGAATAAATAACTTGCTTCGAATTTGAGGGGGTCTAAATAACCGATCAGAATGATTCAGACTTGAGTTTCGTTTCGATTACGAATAATAATCTGATTTTTAGAAGATTAGTCATTGAAACTCTAGATTGATTATTGTTCATTCTGAAGCATGGAAGATCGTAAATTCAAGATTTATAGCGATTTGAATGCTATTTGTTCACGGTCGTCCCTCCAGATGTTCATTGTCATGGAAAAGAGTTTACCATAAAATTTCAATAGCGATTATCAACAAAAACATCTGTCTGCATGCAAAGATTTCGGTGTTGTTCTTTATTCGTGCGCACATCTGCTAGCCACAAAGGTTTTTGGATTTTAATTTCGATTCTTTTTTTGTTGCTTTGCCTGATTCGAATCAAAGGGGCCATATTATGAATATGCAAGTTGATATCTAGTTTAATATTAGTGGCTACTTGAGACAAAAGTGATTGTTGCGCACGAAATTTGTGCGCAGTGTGCATATTTGTGGTTTGGTTTTGAGTCGAAATCAACGTGCCTCTTGGGACGACGAAGAGGCGATGCCCATTTTTGGTGGATGAGGCGATTTGTCACCTAATGACTTGGGGGGGAGGGGGATGGCTTCGCGTTTTTGAGACGACGCGAATAAGGTCTCACACGGAATTTGAGCAATTGGATTTCCGTTCGAGATTGTTCTGCTCGCCGCGCAATCAAAACGAAACACGCCGTGTTGTGTGGGCACGAACCCGGCAATTGAATTTAAACGGGTCGTTTCGGAAGTCAGCCGACTTGTGTTTCTAATTGAGATATTTTTAAGAAGTCGTCGCAGCAATAACGTATGGCGCGTCAAGTGGGCAAATGAGGGGAGGGGGGGGACATCTTGAAACTATTTGGTGGAGGAAGACGGGGGGTGTTGGAGGTCTCCTCATTTGCTGCTTCCCGACTTCGTTGTCCGTTTTTCAAGTCGTAATGTATTCATTAATCATCTTGACTCGCGTCCCGTGAAGAAGCGTTCGCCCTTAGTTCCATTCATTTAGTCGTCGCGATTTATCGTCGGAGGGGGTTTTGCATTTTGAGGGCACTCTCGGGATTCTCGCGTTTTATAATCCGCGCGTGGACCGCACAGATTAACGAACTAACACATTTTGTGTATGTGTGGGGAGGGGCAGTCTGGAGTGTTGCCCAATAGTCGAATTTTGTGTTTCAAGGTGAATGATTTTACAATGGAGTCGCTGGCGTTGGGTTTTCTTTTGTCGGTTTTGCAACAGGTGGCTCGACGGGATTTGTTTTGTCGGGGGGAAAATTTTGGAAACAAAATTGAATTGAGCGAGGTCTCACAAGGAAGCCCGAAGTTGAACGTTTTCATTTTGAGAAATCTCATTAAACGTCACGCGCCTTTAATTTCATTTGATTCTATAAAAAGATTTGTCGCCGGATTCTTTTCATTTTACAACGACCGTCACTTCAAATTTAACACAAAATTTATCGTTGCGAATTTTTGATCACCAAATGACCCGATTTTACGCATCGACTTGTAAAATTTTACGATTTTAATTGAATTGTCAACGAGACAATTGAGGGATCTGAATATTTGAACGTCTGAAAGTTGTTCATGACGTCGTCTCATTTCTGATTTTTAATCGTTGGCTTCCTGTGAAATCTAATTGTGATGTGTTGACACGGTCATATAATTCGGTGTGGTTTAATCAAACATGTCAGAAAATGGTGGGTGTCCGAAAGCGGACGGACAGTGTCGCATGTGGCTCGCGCGCTCCCGCTAATCCCGCTCATCGGGTGCGGTTCGAGCATGCCAAATGATATACAACGACGGATTACTGTCCGACTGTTGGTTGGGAATCCTTCTCGACGTTCGACTCCTCGCATATAATTCCTCGCAATTATATGTACGGGCGAAGTGCGTTGATCTCGCCGGCAGCTTGTAAAAACGTCGAGATTTTATTGGGCGATTGTATATTGTGTGGACCCGGTGCGGCGTGTGTTGCAGGTGAACAATTTACAATCGGTGCGATATTCTCGAGAAGACGGCAAGACGAATTAGACGAACGAAAAAAAATGAAAGAAACCGATAAAACAAATGATAAATCTTTGCGAATAATATCAGTCAAGGTCGTGCTTTGGTAAAAATGCCGCCGCTGAAGTGGATACCGGACGAAGAATGCGAATGAAAAAAAAACGGCTACGCAAGGTCGTTTCGGAACGCAATTTCACACCTGATAAATTGGTAGTTGAACGGGGGAGAGGGGGTGAATGTATTGAGGCGCTGATTGCCAGTTTCGTTGATAATTGTGAATTCGAACGAACGGGCGAATCGAGCGGGTCGAATGGGATGTGGACGATGGTGTAATTCGAATTGTTCAGGGACTCATACATGTGTTCTGTGTGGAAACTATGAAAATCCAATAGAAAAATCAAAAGTGTAATTCAATTGTCGGATGTTGTTGCAGATTTGCCCATCTCGGAGAGCAAACTCGCTTACTCACGAGTCCATGCGCATACAAAAGCATTGGCGATATACGACAAATCATCGAATCTCATTGAATGCACAAATGCTTGTCGTGGACAATGTCGTCTGCGAAATCTGCACAACATCTCACAAGTGCTCGCTAAAAGCGAATCGATGATACCGTATGATACATCGTCGTCGACGGTGATATTTGTCGGCCCCGGTCCACCGAACATCACCATCGATCCGGTTTTGTACGTTGGAGCTACAGCGCCAGAGGTTTGAGAATTTGAAGCGTTCGGATTGTTGTAAATGTAGTTTGCAGAACACTGATCAAAAATCAATGTTTACGACATTCATTGGTCCGAAGAGAGTGTTCGAATTAGTGTTTAACACGTATTATCAGAGTTCATCTCTAACCATAGAATTTAGTTCACGGCACAATTATTCGTAAGTGAACCATTTTCGGTTTTGTTTGGTTTCAATTCCAACGAATTCAGAATCGATTACGTTGGAGGATTCCAGTCAGGCGATTATGCGTATTTTGCTACTAGACAAAAATCGAAAAAGAAGGATGGTGTTCAACAATCTCGACTTGTTCGGGTTTGCACGGGCGACAACGCGTTCCACAGCTACACCGAGGTTGGAACGAATCGGATTTCGAAAATATTCAATTTTTTTCTGAATAGGTTCCTCTAATATGCGAGAAGGATGGTGTTGATTACAATCTTGTGCAAGACGTCTACCTCTCAATTGCTGGATATGAGCTTGCGCGAAATTTGTCGATTGAGTAAGATTTTCAAAGAACACCGTTTTTCATTGAAAAAATGTTATTTTTTAGTGTCAACGATCCTGTTCTTTTTGGTGTCTTCTGGGAAGGCTTCAAGAATTCGACGGAAGCTCGTACACCAACTGGTCGCAGTGCGGTGTGCTTCTATCCGATGAAGAAAGTTGAGGAAATGTTCCGCAAGAATATCATGGATTGTTACAAGGGAGAAACAACTAATGTACGTATATTCATTTCTTTGTAACATATTCAGTAATTCTTTTTTTATTTCTAGAACCTTCCGTGGCGGACGAACGCGAAATGCCAGAGGACGAAACTCGAGTGGAATGCGGTGAAGTGCGGAAAAGACGTGAATTCGATGATCGGCGGCAACACGCCAATTATCGGCACAGCCACCTACACCGCTGACGAGATGTTCACATCGATTGCCGTGAATACCACGAAATCGAATACGGTGGCGTTTGTTGGTTCGGAAACGGGACAACTGCATAAAATTCTACTGAAAGCGCATGAATCGTCGGAGAAATATGCGACGGAAACGATTTCGAATGAACCGATTCTTGGCGATATGGAATTGAGCGGCGATGGGAAGTTCATCTACATTCTAACACGCTCTCGAGTAGGTTTTTTTGTCCCCACTAGTTTGCCCAGTATTTCCGTCTTGGCGCATTATTTGATTCGAGAACACGCGAGTCGTTTGGAGAATTTCCGACTTCCGGAACGAAACTCGAAAAATGTTGCCAAATTTGTCTATTGGGGGTTTTTGTTTGGAATTACAAAATTTTTGGGGATCGTCTAGACGAGATTTTGTTATTCTAGGTCATCAAATCGCCAACGTCTCGTTGCGAGACCACCGTTTCATCTTGTCATGCTTGTCTGGATCGTCGCGATCCCTATTGTGGTTGGTGTGTGAGAAACAACTATTGTACGCAGGAGGACACATGTGAGCTTGTCGTTCCGCGAGCTTCTGGAGGATGGCTCGATTATCAATACAGTAGATGTCCAACGTATGAGAACTGTTCAGTGACGAGTGTTTCGGAACAATTCAATTAATTCAGGATAAAATCCGTTGTGCCCGAAGAGATTCAAATCACTACTGCCGACTTTCTCAATGTAACCGTTGAACACTTGGAATTGTCGAAGAACAAACAACTCCAGTGCATTTTTCATTTTCCAAACGGCGAAGAAGTCAAATCAGAGCCAGCGTCATTTGACGGGTTAGTATGAAATTGAGAAATTCAAAATGTAGTAATGGAATTTCAGAAGTTTGAAATGTGCAACACCGCCGAAGGAGAAGCTACCGAGAATTGAGAAGGACCAAGTACATCTGGATTCTGAGCTCAGGATTGTAGCCGAAGGTAAGGACTTTAATTCTTTTCAAAACAACATTGAATTGAAAAATTTGATTTATTTTGGTTTGAGAGACTTTGGAATAATTAAAAATGTTCAATGAGTATTATTAAGGAAGCAATTTGCCGCTTGCATTCTCGAATTTTACCTTCTACGACTGTAGTCGGTATACGACTTGTACCGAATGCGCTGCTAGTCAGTTCCCGTGCGACTGGTGCATGAAATCGAATGAATGTGTTGCTGGAAAACTTTCTGAAGACAAATGTCGAGGTCAACCTCTAGTTAATGGATTGAAGGTGACATTAGCTCTCGATTGAGAAACTGATCGTTTTCGAATTTCAGAGAGACGGTACCTCGGAGAGAAAGGGACCATCGAAATGCCCACATATCGTGTCGACTGCATCCAAGAGCACGGTTGCTGTTGGAGAACGAAGCAATATAAGTGTTAAGGTAAAAAAAAAAAACAATATCGTTTGAGTTTTTGAAATTTTCGAAATATAGATTCAAAACGTCGATACGAAATTTATGGGCGATTTCCGATGTCAATTCCGGTACGGTTCAACGGTTCATGAGAAACTGGCAATCAAATCGTCGGAAGATACGATCACCTGCGAAGAAATGCTCTTCGAACCTTATGGAGCTTCGCTTGCTGATGGTCATGTATTCTATGACTTCAATGTGATGTGGAGTTCGCCAATGTCGCGACAGTCGTATAGCCTCGACAACATTAAGAAGGTAGCAATCGACGTGTATTCGTGCGAGAAGCTCGCTGCGAATTGCGGACGATGCCTCACACTCAATGACGAATATGAATGTGGCTGGTGCTCGGCGCAACGAAAATGCACACGTCAACGATCGTGTAGCGCCACGTCGCCGCTGCAGTTTTTGGATCGTGGACAACTGTGCGCGGATCCGTTGATTCTTGACTTCAATCCGAAAAAAGGTACCGTCGCTGGCGGTACTCGCATCACGATAGTTGGAAACAATTTGGGACGAAGTGTTGCCGATATTCAAAATGCGGTACAAGTGGCGAATGTGAATTGCAAGGTTGTTCCTGAAGAGTATGAACCATCGTCGAAGATTGTGTGCGACACTCAAAAACCGCCGATGAACAATCCGAATCAGCGTGGAAAAATTGTGGTGACATTGAGAAACGAAGAAGGATTTTACACACATTCAGCGCAATACTTTTCATTTGTTGAGCCGAAAGTCACCGGTATCGAACCGAAGACTGGTAAATATAAAAGGTGAAAACCAGAATTCCAATTATCATCTTTAGGTCCAAGATCCGGTGGAACCGATGTCGCCTTGTTCGGAATGGATTTGGATGCAGGATCAAGCGTTGTTGTCAAATTTGGTGAAGTCGGATGCGAGGTTTTGACGCGATCTTCGAATAAACTCATATGTCGCACTGGTAATGCCGACACTACCGGTGAACGACCATTGACGATATTCTTTGATTCGAAGCTGGTTAGGCAACGAGATCTGAATAACTTTGAATTCACGTAGGTTCTTCAATTTAAAAACCAACGTATTTTAAAAATTTATTAACGTTTTTTTTAGGGATAACCCTCGAATCAATGGAATTGTGCCAAATCGAACAATCGCTGCCGGTGGAATTCATATCAACGTTGAAGGAGATGGATTTTCGTTAGTTCAGCGTCCGCATATGGTTTTTATTGGTGCTGGAGGCGAGAGATCGGTTAGCAAGATGTGCAAAATAATCGACAATCGATTAATGGAATGCCAAACGCCGCCGGTTCCGTTGAGCGAGGCGCGCTCATCGCGATTGTACAGTACAATTGCCATTTACGAGTTCGATCTTGATGGCACACCGACGCCTCGATCCAATATGGAAGTTGCTCCGGATCCGACGGTTGAATTGTTCTCCGAAACTCGATTCTACCATCCTGGAATGGATGCGCTGACGATTGCTGGAAACAATTTGAATTTGGCTGCCAAGGAGAACGATATCAGCGTGAAAATAGGAGAGGCTGATTGTGCGAATGTGACAATCACAAATAAGGTTCTCACGTGCAATCCGCCGCCGAAGAAGCCGTATCATGCTGGGAAAGTTCAACCGGAAGTCATAGTCCAAATAGGGCTTATGACTTTTTCGGTTGGCGAGCTTTCTTATGATCTTCCCGGGCTCTCTTCAACCGTCTACGCCATCATTCTTGCGTTTATCTTTCTAATGGTCCTTCTCGTTGTGTTCGCGATTGTACTTTATCGCAGGAAATCCAACACTCATCAAAGACAGATGAAATATCTGAAGACGCAAATGGACACGATAGAAATGAAGGTAGAATCCTAATTTGGGTTTTTAAAATATATTAAATGGTGTTCGTCAGGTCGCCACGGAATGCAAAGAAGCGTTTGCCGAACTTCAGACATCCCTGAATCAATACACTGCCGATCTGCCACTTGGAACTCCGACAGCACCATTTTTGGAGTACAAAGAATACTGCGCTCGTGTTCTCTTCCCAACCAACACTGCTAATCATCCTGTTCTTCGAAATCTGGAAGTCGATACCACAAAAGCGGAAGCGATTGAGGCGGGATTGCGCGAATTCCACAAATTGCTCATGAACAAGACGTTCTTTTTGACAATGTTGCGCACAATGGAGAACAATAAGTATTTTGTTGGCAAAGATCGCGTCTACGTCGGAAGTCTGCTGATGGTGGTACTCCAAGAGAAGATGGGATATTGCACCGAGATGCTCAAACAGTTGCTTCGCGAGCTTATTGAGAAGACGGTAGAGAAGAAATTCCAGCCGAAAATTCTATTCCGACGCAGCGAGAGTGTTGCCGAGCGTATGCTGGCTGCCTGGTTCACATTTTTGATGCACGATCATATCAAGGTAAAAAATCAGTCATTCCATCATTCGAGCCTATTTTTCACAGAATTACGACTCTGGCAAAAAGTTGTACGAATTGTATTGGGGAATCAAACAACAAATGGAGAAGGGACCTCAGGATGCCATCACTCTGGAAGCGAGGTATTCTCTATCTGAGGAGAAGCTACTTCGTGCAACATTCGAGTACAAGGAGCTAACGGTATTCGTGTCATCATCTGATTCGGTGTATTCGCAGCCAGACATGCCTGTTCGAGTTCTCGATTGTGATACAATCACACAGGTTCGATTTTCTTATTTGATTTCTATATCGATAGTTGATCTGCAGGTCAAGGAAAAGTGTTTGGATATGAAATATCGAGGATATCGATTCTCTGAACGCCCTTCGGCTTCTGACTTGGAACTTGAATGGAGAACTGGTGTTAATGGAAGAATGATTCTTCAGGTATTCCTCATCAATCAGTCTAACTATTCATGCCATATTGTTTTAGGATATCGATTCGTCATCGAGAGTCGAGCCTGGCAACTGGAAGCGTCTCAACACTCTTGCTCACTACAATGTGCCCAACAATGCGATGCTCACACTGACGGCGAAGTCGAACTCGTTGTACAATTTGGTGAATTTCTCGTCCTGCGTTAATACCATGGTTCGCTCGCGCGTCAACCCCCGCGTCGATTACCGCATTGCTAACCCTCAACAATTTCAGTCGCTGCTGTCCGAAAGAAGCGAAAAGTCGTCGACGAGCCTGAAGAACTTGAGTCCAACATCAGGTCGGCCGTGGGGAGCGGCAACGACGAGCAGCTCGAACTCAAAAGTATGTTTATCAACAATAATATTATAGTAATAGAAACCTTATTGGTAATTTATAGGATATGGACAACGGATTTAAGCTTTACCATCTTGTCAAACCATCTGAGCACGGACCATCGGAGAATCAGGAGAAGATGGTCACAGAAATCTATCTGACCAGACTTCTCATGATGAAAGGAACCCTGCAGAAGTTCATCAACGAGCTTCTGGAATCAATTTTCTCGACGCGAACATCACCACTTCCCGCTGCCATCAAATACATGTTCGATTTCATGGACGAGCAGGCTCTTGTGCATGGAATAACCGACCCTGAAGTGGTGCATGCATGGAAAAGTAATGCGCTTCCGTTGAGATTCTGGGTGAATCTTATAAAAAATCCGTAAGTTCTTCGTTTTTTTTCGTTTCCTCTAATATACGAATTGTTGCAGGCATTTCTTGTTTGACATTCAAAAGCCGACAAAGATTGAAGGCTGCCTGTCGGTCGTTGCTCAGACTTTAATGGACGCGTGTTCGACGCAGGACCATCAGCTAACCAAGGATTCGCCGTCTAGTAAGCTTCTGTTCGCCAAGGATATGTACCAGTTCAGAGAATGGGTCGATAGGTACGAAAATTTTTCTCAAACTTGAAAAAAAGCTATTATTTTTTCCAGTTACTACACCGAAATCTCTCGAATGCCACCAATTGGCGATCAAGAAATGGGTAACATCTTGTCAGCAGAGAGCCGTCAGCATTGCGGAGAATTTCACGTGTTCTCGGCGCTCAATGAGCTCTACAAGTACCTCGATCAGTACAAGGAGAGCATCATGGATGCGCTCGAGGCGAATGAGCACGCGCAAGCGAGTCGTCTACCTGGACGCCTTCAAGACCTTTTGGCGCTTATGGAGTCTGACTTTGGACGCGCCACTGATTATGAGAGCTCGACATTGGGGTTGGGATACAATTCGAACTCGCGGCTAATGCCAAGAGATCGCTTCTAATGTGTATATTGATAGTGTTGTGTTGGCCATCCAAATACGGGTCGACATTTCTCATGAAATGAGGAGTTTAGGATATTTTGTTCGTTTCTTTCTCTCAAAAAAAGGTGTGCCAAGTCTATTCGACTGATCTGTGATGTTGTTTTTTTTCTTTTGTATTTTCTTTTTCCTGCTTCCATCAGTCCCCTTTTTCGTATTGTTCTATTTTCTATTGTTCTTAATTAGAATAATTTTATTATTGAGATTTTATAATAGTGTTCGGGTCAAAATTGCGGTGTTTTCAGAGATATTGTTTGTTTAAAAAAAACACATTTGTGAACCAAAAAAACTTCACTTTTTCGTTATTTTTTTTGCGAATCCTTCTGCCAATTTGTTTGCCATTTTGTGCTAAAATCTTCTTGTGAGTTTTGTATTTTTTTTCTTCTTTCCATCTTTTTTCTTGTGCTATTTTATGAAAATAGTTTATTTATTTGATAAATTCGAATTATTTATTTTAACTTGATTTTTAGTCTCAGAAAAAATGAGTGATAAAATAATGAATTGAGGCTTCATTCAGCATCAGGTTGGGCTTCTGGAGCAGCTTTTTTAAAAACATCAAGAGCACAAATGTTGGCTTCCACTTTGGAAAGAATCGGAAAAGGCTTCAAATCAACTTTCAACCTTTAATCATTTTTTTTGTTTATGAATAAAATCTCGGGATTGACTACCTTCTTGCATTGAAAACAATCGATGGAATTGCGAGATCGGCAACCGAAATGCTATCACCAACCGCATATTTGCCGGAATGTTTCTTTAGAAGCTCTTCAACTACCCGAAGACCTTTAGTGATCGATTCGGCTGCGAACTGGAAAGTGTCTATTTTCTAAATAGTGAGAATTCCTATTACTTGAGCACCGTATCCTGGACATTTTTGGTCAAGAATCCCTTGAAGTGTAATCGTTTGTAGTGGCTGAATTCCGCAGGCGATCTGCAAATTATTTATGAATTAGGCACGAAAATATTTTAAATATCGAGAATCTCAAGAGATTTTTAAATATCCACACATTTAACAAAAAAAAAAAGACTTTTGGGTGATAAATTACAAAAATACCTCTAAAAATATTGTCTTTGCATGTGCCTTTTGAAGAGGATCCTTTGGATAAAGAGGATTTTCAGGATAGACATCCTCAAGATAATCAATGATTGCAAGACTTTCAGATATGGCCTGCCCGTCGTTATTCACGAAGACCGGCACAAGTTTTGCTGGATTATATTTCACAAACTCAGGATCATCCTGAAAATATTGATTTTCAGGGGAATAGAATATCTCTCGAATACCTTCGAATCCTGCGATAAAATATTAATTGCTCTATATTCGTAATCGATTCCTTTATAAGCAAGAGCTAAACTTTTAATAAATTGATGCGAATCAGAAAGAATTAATCTCACCCATTCGAACCCTCCAAGCACAAGAGGACCTCCAAAACGAGTACAAAATTGGTTTCATAGTGGCACTCGAACTTTTTTTTTAATGTGGGACTCGATTCCTTAAGTGAACGATTAAATTAGAGAGAAAACTCGCAACTTCAAGCTCACCGCAACTCACGTGCGGCCTAGAAAAATTGGTCAACACTTTCAAAAAGCTAGTGCTGCATACAGTTTTCACGATTTTCTTTTATTTCCACGATGATGCGACTTTTATTTTGATATTTGGTTTTTGAACACACAAAATATATACGTATTCATTTAGTCCTATTTCACGGCGTTCACACTAGTGGGATTTACATGAAAAAAAGATTTTTCTCAATGGAGCGCACATGCAGCTTAGCGCTATTCCGGTGCATAAATTCAACAAATTAAATTTGTGAAATAAATTAGAAATGTTCTCTAAATGGAGCGTTTTTTCAATAAGAACGATTAGTTTTTATATTTCTTCGGGTGGATCATATTCACCGCAATTTATGGTCTAATTAGTTATAAATTAAATAAGTTATTTTAATTTATATAGGATTTTTTTTTAAACATAACATTTTTAAATGATAAAACCATCAATTAAACGAAAGAAATACTACACAATCGAATTATGATATAAAAATTGATGATATGTAGCAGATGAATTCAATGCGAGTAGATAAAGACGCGAGAGAGATTGAATTCGGAAAAAGAGGATATAAGGACATTTGGAAAATTGCAAAACTAATAGGGAAAAAATACACTTATCAATTTGGAAACAAATGGATAATCAACAAACACATTTAACAAGATTCTCTTTACCAATTTCATTAGGCAGCTTGAAAAGAACACTTTGATGTTATACAACACAAATGACTAAAAAAAAAATACATTTTTGAGTTGAGGACGTCTTTCCATTGGTCTTTTGAAGTAATTCGGAAGTTTAAAAAATCTCGAAAAGCGAATTGTCCGTGATATCGTCTCATCACTCCGCCAGCTTTTGATTTTCGAGATGGAGTGCTTATCTGAATTCAATAAATGAATTCAATGCGAGTAGATAAAGACGCGAGAGAGATAAATAGAAAAAAAGAAGCTGAAAACGGTAAATTAACGTAAGAACTAACGAAATTAAAAAAAAAAAACAACAAAAAAATTATAGAGAATCTCTTGCAACTTCTCCGCCGAAATGACACACTATTTACATTTAAAATTTGCAAAAAAAATAAAAATAAACAACTATGAAATGTTTTTCCAAGTGTTAACAAACATAACCGTATAAATCAAACCATATAATATAACAATAAATGATATTAACAAAAGAGAGAGTGAAAAAACAGAGAAAAGAAATGTGAATATTTTTACAGTTCAATCTTTAAAAAACTACGGACATCTGAATACTTATCCGATTGAATTATAGTTAAGCTTTTTCGATTGAAAAAAGCCTTGCGAAAAACGTGGTCGGTGCACTTTTTTGTTAAAATTTGAGAAAAATTCAAAAAACTTGAAAAAAGAGTCAAAACCTGGCGATTTTTAAAAAATTCGTCTGCGCGACAAAGACGCCAACAATCGATCACTGACACAGTTTGAGTTTCCATTTCAGGTATTGTCGGCGTCAAACGACTTGATGGGGGCGTGGCCTTCAGTATATCGTAACCAGTGTAGATTTACGAGCGGGTAGATTTACGCGCTGACCAAATATTAAATGGTTTTTTTTCGATTTTTTAATATTAAAAAAATGTTATGCGTGTTTTAATCCTGATACCCATTGTCATTTGCATTCTTATAATGAGTCGACCTCCATATATACGTAAAAGTTCACGGAACTAACGGCATTTACTTAAACAAACGAGAGAATCGTACATTTATCGAATATCTTTAGAGCACCACAACAATGTTTTATTTACCGTAAAAATAGTATGAAAATTATTGTTCAAAGGGGAAAGTCATCCGATTAATTGAGAATTCTCGAAATGTACCAAGACGCCGCACACTCTGGTAAATGATTCCGAGTCGTATACGAAGAAAGCTCAATCGTATACGCTGATATCGCTCTTCAAACGCGGCCAAATACGATTGGGATTTCTTAATATACGATTGGCATTTCTTCGTATACGATTATAATTCTTCGTATATGATTGTGATTTCTTCGTATACGACTATAATTCTTCATATACGGTAACGATTTCTTCGTATTCGATTGGGATTTTTTCGTATTCGACTGGGATTTTTTCGTATTCGATTGAGATTTTTTCGTATTCGATTGAGATTTTTTTCGTATACCATTTCACTTTACACTACTCGTTTGGCATTTTAACGTTTTTATATGATGTAAAGATTTCTATACCTGTTTATTAAAAAAAAAATATGAAAGACAAAAAAATGAAAAAGAAAAAAGAATAAATAAATTAATTTTGGTTGGCGCATCAACCATTTTTTTCCACTGCTCGCGCTTTCGATCGTGAATTGTTTCTGAATTAAGTTCATTTGAATGATTAATCATGAGGCAGTCTTCAGCATGTGCAGATTTTGGAGAAAAACGCAAAAAATCTGATTAAGACTAGTTTAGCCGAATCTTTATAATGTTGTCGAGTTTCTTTAAAAGGTTTTTACTGCGTTTCTTTTCAAAATCTGCATAGGCCCACTAAAAAAGTGAAAACTCACAGGAGATAGGTCATATGACCGTGTACCAAATAGGAGATTGTAGAATTCGCCGTTTCGTCAGCCATTCCAGCGATGGTAACCGTCTTTTGTAAAACAGCTGAAATTAATTTAAACATATTTTAAACATTTTTCGCGCTATTTGAGCATACCAATCGCTGTGTTGACAAACCGAACTGGAAGCGTTGCGTGCGGCGGCGTTGGCTTAAACGATGTTGAATAATTCACACGATCGTTATTCGGAATTGTCTGAAGGTATTTTTTTGCAACTTTAAATAATTGTAAGATACCTTATCGACAAATCTGTTGACAGTAGTATTTATCACATGCTTCAGAGCTGCCTTCATGAACGGAATTTCCAAAAATATTTGGGCCACGTTGATGTCTCCTGTTAAAAGATTTAATACAAATTCAAAGCTTTCGAAACACAAAAAACCCACCATTTCCATCCAGTGATCGAATAATTATTTCTGCGTCTTTAAGAGCTTCAGGGTTGTATACGGCGATCACGTCGATCTAAATTTAGAGAATAGCAAAATTTAAAAAAATACTCACATTGTTTTTGTTTGGCTTTGCCGCGAATTTTTGGGATAAAGTTTCTATCTGGAAGAATAGGGTTTCTATAGTTTCTATTGTGGTACTATGCAGATTTCGCAAAAAAACTCAAACAGCGGTAACCATAATTATAATGGTTTTTGCCGGTTTTGACGAGTTCTGATATTTTTTTTACGGCTTTTGATGATTTTACTGCTTTTTTTTTGCGAAATCTGGTACCATTACATTTGGAATGATTGAACAATAAATAAAACATACCGTGAACATGATTCCTTTCATGGCAAAGGCAATTGTCCTCAAATGATCATCGGACGAAGAACATAATTGATCCACGTTCGTATGATCGAACTGAAACGTTCCAGAGAGATTGGTATGTACAGTCTTCTGTAAATTTGCGTTAAAGTGGAATGTTAAAATTTGAATTACTTTCAAGTCGATCAATTCCTCCGGAGTCGAATGATACAGATCCTCGCCAAGTTCTAATGGGCATAAACCATTCTTTAAAAATAATGAAGATTCGAAAACAGGAAAAAGATGTAAAATCCCACCACAATTTTACGCTTCCTTGCTGGTTGGTCGTTTGGCATATCGTCAACCTGAATGCCTTCGATGCTTCCAAAATCCAGCTCGTTTTGACGATAGTCTTCGAAGTACAGCTCATTTTCATCGACTTCTTCCTCGATGAGCTCTCCGTCAACGACAGCCTTAATATGAACACTATTTTTTTTAACCATTCAAGCATTTTTACCGTTTGCAATCCAGTTTGTCGTAAAACCAAATTGCGTTTGGTATTGGTATGCGATGTTGCTTTGGATTTTGGACGAGTTTCTTTAATTTCTCTTCTTGAGGCGTTCGCTTCAATTATTTGCTTTACAAATGACTGCGTGCGCTTTGACATCCTTAACAAAATTATAATCGGAAAAAAGTGTGTATTAACTGAAATTAGATAAGTTAACCGTGACTAACGGATAAACTCTAATATATCACTGAATGATCAATAAATACTTTATTCAAGATAGCATAGGTCTGAATGAAAATGGTAAAACAGTCGTGATTCCATTGTCAGGAACTGTGATGGCGTAGCCAATAAGGTTAGAAATTGGCAAGCAAAATAGAGAACCTTTATTTCTCACCACAGCACCATATCTGCATGAACCGATTGTCGAAATGCATTGCTTAATTTCTTCTTTTTGAAAATTTTGATGGAGTGAGTTTGCTAATTGCAATAGGTTGTCTGTATTTAGAATGTATGGTTGTAGAATAACCCGGTCACCGAACTTCTCATTGAGGAGAAATCCCAATACATCGCCATATTGCAGTGAATTTCGCCAACGAAACATCACGACGCTATTATCCGAAGCAGTATTTCTTTGTATTGAGTAGTGTGAGCCTTGATAGCTGTATTTCTCAGTAAACAAATCGCCTTTTTGAGCCAGCATTGAGTACTTCAGTGGGACATCTGTCGTTTTTTCGATATCATCATTCTCCGAATATCGAAATAGCAGTTTTCTCAGTTTCACGATAGACACATCATGTTGTTTTGTCGTTGGGTCCGAATGAAGTCTTGCACGAACTTCGGTCGTCAAATCTTGCAAAATTGCAGCACTAAAATTTTTCTACGGTGTACAATTTTATAATAAAGCATACTTCCGCAACATTCTTTGCCCAATTCCCTTTGTGATTTCTGACGATAATAGTCGTTTCAAACTGTGATATACGTGCTCGGAGGATTGGGTACTGAACGGATACGGGCTCCCATACATTCGAACGTTTTCAGATAAGTGGAATACAATCTGCTGAAAAAAAAAACACTTAGAATGCTTTCAATTTTAAACTGATTTACATGTACTTTCGCGCCGCGATAAAATTCGGGACATACTCGGTTTAGCGTTATTTTTATACATTTGCAAATATTGGATACCTAAATATAAAGCCGACTGTAATGAAACTAACTCCTCACTCACCGTATCGTATAAGTTCTTGTCACCGATTGACATCGGAGATACTATTGTTCGATATAAACAATGGAATAGGAGGATTATCAGTGAAGCATCAGCAGGTAGCCTTCCAATTAATGCATCGGATACCAGCGATGATTCGAAGATCTAAACTTATTATTTTTGCGAAATGATATAGCTTTTGTTACCACAGTCCTTTCGCAACCTGTAATTTCATGAATCCGTCCAGAAATTGAACGAAAGTTTGAGGGTGTTCGAATGCTCGTGTTTAACATCAAGCGACAACCTTCGAATACTTTATAACGGCGTTCATTTCCGAATACTTCTGAAAAGAACATATAAAAACAGAAAGTTAACTATAAATACCTTTAATTATTTTTTTGAATATACCTTCTTCAAAACAGTGAAATGAATCAATTGGCGACTCCCACATTGGAATAATCGAATTAAAAAAAGTGTGTTTTCCTTTTTGCATTAATCCGTCTTCCAAATTAAGAGGTACTCGGACCCCATACTCGTGACGGTCTACATTTAGTTGTTTTAGAATCATAAAAGTAACAGACCTTTGACGCTCTCATCATTGATTTTCACGAAAGTTGATTGGTTTAAACAGAATACACAGGCCCCCTTTGACGAATGACCCTTTAAGCCATATACCTTTCTTCTAGCCTACAAATGGGAATTTTTAAAGGAAAAAAAATCAACTCACGGGATCGTCATGCGAGCCAGCAACAAGAGCTCCTTGATACCAAATCCCATTATGATGGTACGGCGTCGAAAAGCTGTTGATCACCCACTTTACGATTCGATCGTGAATGTATGAAGACGGGTCCACCTTACTTAGATAAATAGACGATACTATAATCGAGCTAGTTCGGGCACGATCGTTATCTTCGAAATCCAAACATTGAATAGAAAAAGGCCAGCACTTTCGACTAAAACTACATTCTTTTAAAATAAATTTATCGAAATGGTTTGCCTTTCATTTCTCCTCAGCTTTACGCCATCAAATGTACACATGAAATGTACAATGACTCTTTGGTTATCGTTTTCGATTTCTTTTAGAAGTCGTTTCTTTAGAATCCCTTCAGCCATTGGAGACGAGCATGGCTCATCTTGAAAAATTTTATTTCGAGTTTGCAATATTTTCTTAGAATTCAATTGTATAAATGATTGAAATCTTTCCGTTAAATCGGAAAAACATAATTCGGCATTTACATAACCAATCGCGCAAGTACATCTGAATATCATGTTATTTGCTATTGAATTTCTCCAAAAACAATTTAAAAAAATATCAACACACGTAAATTACTTTTCATTGTCATTTCCACAGTTTCCACACACATTGATAATTGTCTGCTTGGCATTTTCCAGCAAAATTTTCTTTATTTCAACTTCATTTCGATTTTCTTCCATTTCAAAATAACGAATGATCGCTGAAAATTATGATAATGGTTAAAAACTCTTCAACCAACCTGTTTTTGAGCTAGTATAAGTCAAAAAAAAAGTGAATCAACAGTAAATCTCGCGAAGATAATGCTTCCCATTGGCCTAAAGCGAAATAATTTCAAAAATATGCAAAAACGGTAACAACCTCTCGACGTAATGACTGTCTGCAAGTTGTCACAGCTCGACATTGACACAAAATCTTCTTCCGCGCAAGTGAGTTCATCTTCAGACGATTCTACAGAATCTATAGAAATTAAATCTTGCTCTGTTTTTACTTTTAGTTATACCTGATGTTAAGGTTGAAGTATCTCTATTTTCTGAAAATAGTTATTTTCTTCATTTTTTCTGTTGTTATCACCTGTTTCCGTCTCGTTCCGATATTCCCTATATATGTTTTCCATGATTTCAGTAAAATGCACGATTTTTTTGGAAAGTATATATATTAAAACGCAATATACGCATAAAAATCGAATATGAAAAAATTCGAAAATTTTCGAAAATTGTTTTTCGAATTTAGACGTCAATTTTAATGCATGTCCGCAGTGTATCATTGTGGTGGTTACACTACTGTGATAAAATCCAAATCGTATACGATCCTTGCAATAACGTATACGACGAGGAAATGCGGATGTTTCGTATACGATTACAAACCATTCATCAGAATCGTATACGATCCTATACGATTCACATTAACTTATACGATTACCATTAACGTATACGATTTTAATTTTATCTTATACGATGAAGAAATTCGCTTTTTTCGTATACGACTAGGAATCATTTACCAGAGCAATTGAAACTTATAACCGAAAGCCAAACGAGTGTTGATTCCAATCGCCTAAAACTAGTAATAACTTCACATTAAATACAAAATTAAAAAGAAAACTGAGTCTACAAAAATTAAAACAATGATAACGTACTTTTCGGAAGAAGCTTGAAGTCATTGAGTATATTTATTCCTTTCCCTAGTATTGATGAAGCTGTGAAGTACCGAGGCGAGCATATAATTCAGAATTCTGTGTTTGTTGGAGGTTGTCTTCGAGGTTGCGCGAAGGGTTCAATATTTGATGCCATTGTAGTCGCTGCAACTATAATGATAAAATAATGACTATTTTAAATAAAAATAAATTAATACCCGTCTTAACTTCAGTAGTTTTCAAAGTCCTTCGGCTCCTGTTCAATGTGATTGTGTTTCCTAAAATGTACTAAAAATTAAGAAACAGAAAATGATGAAGAATAAGTTTTTACAATGTCAAATTAATTAAAAAATGCCTTTAAACATATTAAAATTTAAAACTATCAATCAGCGATTATAAAAATGTAAGATAAACCGTAAAAATAAAAGAAATTGGCTAATAAAAAAAGAGATACAGAAAAATTCTCAAAAAAATAACGCGCCCAAAAACACGCTGCGCAAAACACGCTGCAAAAGTGTATGCCACATACACTTCTCTTCGCCTCGAGAAATCTGGCAATTAGCCAATATTTTTTAAATTTTCGTCAAGTCGTTTGACGCCGACAATAAATCCCACTAGTGTGAACGCCGTGATTTAATGAAATTAACTAATTCATCAAGTGTGGCCGTGGCCGAACCTTATTTTATAACACAATTTTTCTAGGCCACATGTGAGTTTCTGGTGAGCCGTAATGCGACGTGATCGCAGGACCTTTGACTTATTATAAATAATTTGTGCAATAAAATCTTACTTCTGCAGACTTGCATTTTTATCTTGAATATTTCCAAGGCTGCAGACTATCGCAAGATGCATATTTTCCTCGAAAATACATTACTCGAAGAAAACGATCGTTTGTACATATAAATAAATAGTATTCTTGCATTTCTTTTGAACAACAAGTTTAAACTAAGAATTTTATTTAATAAGTAAGTACAGAAATCTGTGTTATTTGTTTAAATTTGAAAAAAAAATCACAACGGAACATTTGTGGAACAGAACAGGGTAAGAAAATAGCGACTACCCGATGGGTGGGGTTGTAAAATTGCGACTAGAAAATTGATACAGAATGTTGGGAAAATACATTAAGAAGAGTAAAAAAACTAGAAAAATGATGAAGGAAATCCCGTTTTTTGGTGGATGGTTTGTTCGACAGAAATATTGATATTCGGGCGGATAGATGGTGGTTTCAAAAATCTGGCGAAGAAATGTACAAAAAATCCTACAAATGTGTCTAATATACAGCCAGTTTAGAGCACCGTGTTGCTCCGACGCTTGCGCTCGGTTGGATCAGCGAGAAGCTTGTAAAGAACCTCACCGAGTTGGTCAATTTCATGAGCATTTTCCACCTGAAAATTGTGATAAAGTAACAGAAAATCGAATAGAAACCTTACGAGATAGATAAGCGTTGTCCAAATCATATCCATCAGTTTGGCATCATCGATTTGATCGATTCGAACATTAATTCCCTTAATTAGCAATAATTGATCAATATGAAGAAATATTTTGTGAGAAACATAAAAATGACAAATATGTTAATTTATTGTCGACTCGCGCGACTGTGGAATATTGGCCAAATGCCAAAAACACAATGACAGTGGTCTTGGTCGAAAACTAAGTGTAGATTTACAGTAGTTTAAAGGCGCACAGAGACCTCTTTTAAATTTTTTGGCATTTGGCCAATTTTCAGCAGTCGTCGACATTACATCATTTTACTGAACTTTTCTACCTTGGGACTGATTCTGCAGAATGGAATGTTATAAGCATGACATCGATCCTGGGCCATCTCAACCGCTGTCAAATCTTGTCCGACCACCTGAATGACCACATTGAATACGGCGCATTTTATGAACATTATTCCAACCTGTTCGAGAATCAATGTCGACAGGTGACCAATGTTCTTTGCGCGAGCTCGAATGCTTTTGCCCGATTTGTATTTTCGCTCAGAGATTGCCGGCTCGCCAGTTCCAATCGACAGCACACCGGCGAGATGAATCGGATTGCCGTGTTTGTTGAACAAATCGTATTCTTTGAAAAGCACATTCAGCGGGTAATTGGCGACAAACGAGCCATCGACGAGAATCTTGTTGCCGTACACGAATGGCTCAAAATATGTGGGCGCCGCACTGGAATTCGATCAATAATCAATTTGAGTTCGCCAAAAGAGCAACAAATTCACCTGCTCGCACGGGCGGCCTCTTTGAAGAAGACGTCTTGATCCTCGTTTAATGGGACGCCGATTGGAAGGGTGAACGAGTAGTTTCTGAATGAGTGAAACTGTACAAATTGACAATGTGCCAAAATTTCTCGAACCGGAAAATGTGAAGCTTTGCCGGCGCTGTTGAAATATCCAAGGCGGGAACGGTCAAACGACGAGTGCATCCCAAAAATGTTTCGGTTGGGAAGCAATCTTCGAGAACACGATCAATGTTTTTCGTCTGAATCGAGACCTGATCGCCGAGGAGACGATTGAATGTCGAGCCGCGAAGGAAGATCTGCGCCTTCATGTCCCAATATTGGAAGAAGCAGTCGCGGATTGATAGGCCGTTGGCTAGCGAGAGGGCAAGCATACTGCCAGTACTGAAATTGAATCCAAATGTCTGAATAACAATCGAGAAAACTGCTTGCCTTGTTCCAATCAGCCAATCAAAATAGGACGGAAGCGATTCATCTCCAAGAAGGCGTCTCGAAGCGAAGAGAAGACAAACCACCGATACCAATCCTCGCATACCTCCACCATCGAGACATAATGGAAGGACACCTTCGGGCTTTTTGTTGCGATTGATATTAATTGGTGTTTGCTCGTACATTTCCTCGTAAATCGTGCCCGCCATATCGAGGAATCCCTGCCATTTCGGCGCGCATTCCTCACACACACTTCCATTTTCGATGCGATCCGCCAACGTCTTCTTCCCGTAATCATCAATGTACAAATTGGCGGGATCGCCACCTAAAATGATGAAGCGATGACAACTACGATATATGGACTACGGTACCCAGTGTGAGAAGAAGACGGACCTCGGTGATGGTGGATTGCGGAATCGCCCAGATATCGTGCAATTTGGTGGTTATCTGAAAATGTTTTCCGGGTTCAAGTCATACTTTCATACGTTGTTTCATTTGATTTCTCATTGATAAATTGTCGACAGCTGTCGTGTTGCAGCAATTTATATGCATCACAAAAAAAATCAGTGCGACAATCAAAAAGAAAACAATTTTTTGTAGTCGATGATGGATTGTGATGGCCAATTCGCACAACTTCCTCCATCTTCCCACCCAATATGTTCATCCACACAATATTCCATTGATTCCCTCTCAACCAACCTGCTGCTGTTGGGCGGTCTTCAAAAACGTGATCACCGAATCGACGCGTTCCGCCTTTTTATTGCTGCTCAGCCGATGAGCGCATCGCATCGACGGCATTTTTCCCAAGCCTCCTCCTACAGAAAATCAAATCAATAATTATTATGTTGGGAATCGTCGAGGCGCAAAATTTGCTATAAAATTCAGCGATAAGAACGACACAAAATTGTTGAAGGCTTGACTGCTAATGATAACTCGTTTACTCGTTGCCTTATTTGCCGATCGGTTTATTTGCATGTGAATTGTGCGATTGGGGCAAAGGTTGAGCACGGGCAAAAAAATAGAGATAGCAGAAAATTTTGGAAATGACTCAACGGCGACTTTATGACTATTTCGGGACAAAAACGAAATGTACACAAAGATGATGATTCCACAAAAAGGGTACTGTAGATTTGCGCTTCGATTCCTAGTATAGTTCAAACTGAATTAACCAATTAAAAATAAATATTATTCATCTCATTGATTTTAAATAGCAATTTATCATATTAGACGAGCAATATGCGTGCAAATTTATTATTATTCATCACAGACATTAGGTGCTGGGCCTAAATATAAAGATAGGAGCTCAAAAATAATGACACTTTGAAATTTTGAAAAAAAACTCAAAACGCTGGTTAAAACTAGTTTTTTGAACAATCAGCATAGGCTTTTTTACGCGTTTTTTTTGCGAAATCTTCAATATCACAACAAAATTCGTGTTAAAGTGAAATGATATTTGAATACAGTGTAGTTTGCAAACTTTGATTATCAGTGTTTTCTTAATGAACGACATTCAGAGCACCTATAGAACGAACACTGAACTTCCGGGTATTTTTTTAAAGTAAGGCTGAAACTATAGTGCTACAATACTTGCGATAATACCAAGATTTAGCTACGCTTGTTGATTGGAACTCACCGTTTCGGCGATTCAACAAATATGGACCAATAGGATGACAAGACAATGTTTGACCTACCATCGCGGCTACCGACAATACAAGTTCGGTGCTTATAATCACTTATTTATACGAGTCGCGGTTCTTTGCTCAAAAACAGAGATAAGAACGAGTTGCCAACCTCCTCCCGCCAAAAAATTGTTATCAGTGGGCCAATGATTTCAACGAAACAGTATTGACAAATGGGACATCATTATTAAAATCATCGTCGTCGAGAGCTCGACGAGAAAAAAAAATATCAAGAGAATGAGCTCGAGATAATGGAGAAAGTATGGGAGAGACGGAGGTGGCAGACACGAAAACGGAGCCAGACGGCGCCATGTTCTGGAAGGCGTACGACGACGAAAAACGCTGTCGCACGTGTCGCAACATTACGAGAACACCGGCAAGGAGGAGGACAAAAGCCTTTTTAAGGAGAGGCGAGTACAACCAAAGAAGGCACCAAAAAGAACTGCCGAAGAATTCCCTCGAGAAACACAAATTTTCGACGCAAAAAATAAGGTTGATTCATTCGCTGCCGAAAATCATATTTTCCTTTTTTTTTGGGAGGAAAAAAGTGGGAAAGAAAGGCGAACTAATTTATCCCGTACACAAGGATGAGCGATTATGTGGATTAGATTAGGATTATTACGATTTCCAAATATAGTAATACATGAAAGTTAACAAATATCACATTATTGAATGGAAGAAAAGCAATGGCAGATATTAGGAAGAAAATTAAAAAAAAAAACCAGTTCTTGCGTAATCTACATATGGGTTCTAGGGAGGTTTGATAGTTTTTTACCGGTTTTTTTAAATCTGCATATAGTTAGAGTCCTGCAACTGCTGTACGCGGGTAGATTTACAGGGATGCGTCTTTGTCTTTTTCTGGCGCGGACTATCAAGTTATTTTGCATTTTATGAGCCGGTTCGATAATTTTTGAAATCGAATGACGTTGGAAATTCAAGGAAATGCGAACTCGTCAAGAAAAATGAAGCAGTTCACGTGAAAACAGCAAAATAAGCGTTCACATGTGGTGAGACCATTTCAAAAGGCGCACTCGTAAATCTACCCACGTGCAACAATCGCCGGACGCCGACTATAAGCTAATAATAAAGATACGAGGGTTCTATTCTTTTATTCGTCAAAATTAGTTAATCGATTCGTTATTGGCAAGTAAAACATGTCAGAAAGCAATTTTACAGTTTTTTTAAGATGGTGTTTTCATTCAAAGTCGAATTACGTAGCACCGATTGATGACATACCTTGGCTCTTTTTGTTTTTTTTTGTGTATAAGAAAGAGTATTACGGAATTTTTCGTTGAATGAGCCCACATAGTCTCAATATATATATTTATATAGTTTGTTTTCAAATGTTCAATTTTCCTACGAAACACCTGAAATACGATACGTCTAAAATCAAACTAGGAATAAAAAAAACGACGAAAATGCAGTGTTTCTCAAAACCGCATGCTAGTAAATCCATCCGAGTCGGCGGAAGTCAATATGTAAATTTACTCGGCCAACGGAAATGTGGAACAAAATGTTGGTGGATGCTGCTGATATACGAATAGGCATTTATAAGAATTGAATTTATTCGATTTTTTTTCTTAAATTCTTTTTGTAAGTGTCATTTCTTTAAAATGTTTAAAATTTTAATATTGTCGACGTCAAAATGATGAAACTGACAGTGTAGATTGACGAGAGCGCAAATTTCGCGTTAACAGAATTTTGAATGCGAATACGTGAAATGTAAAGTACGAAAAAAATCGTCTCTCGCTGGATTATAATGAAATGTTTTCACTGTTCTCGAGTAATGGCATTATGAGCTCAAAAAAAAAACATCAATCAGCTTAAAAATATTTATTTCGAAATCTGAAAATTACGGGAAAAAACACATTTAATCTGTTTCTTTCTTTTTTTATTTGTTTCCAAAATTTGCAAAAGTGCCATAAAAAGCTAGAATGAGCTAATCCTTTGCGCAGCGCACTGTATTTTGAAAAGGGTGTTTCCGTAAGATCCCAACAACATTTTTTTTCAAATTTTCTAGAAAAAACAATGAATCCGCGCGACAATAAACGCAAAAATGAAGCGATCGAGCATGTGATGCAAAAAAAAAACTCGAATTCTCCAATAGTCTCCAATTCAAAGCGCGGACAGCCATTTTTAATTAGAAAATGCTGATGAAAGCCTCAACATGCGCATTTTTTTGCAGAGAGAGAACACCATATTTGGATACGAAATGCATCGATCGTATGGAATATTCCAGGCCGTTTATGTGCCATCTAATGTCAATCATTTCGGGTTTGACCACACTCGTGTAAACGCTGGTTGATGAGTTCTTTTCGTGTTAGCAGTGCTTTTTTCACAAAAACGTTGGCGATAACGATCAAACACTATCGTTATCAACCTATATTCGAATGATAACTGTTCAAAATGACAAAAAAATGAAGAAGAAGACGACACCGATAAGGACGACTAATAATCAAAACGGAAAATCTCGAGAAGAAAAGAAAAAATGTTTGGTTCCCATTTGGCAGTTTATGTAGAACAAAAAGTAGTGAAAACAAGAACCAGATTTCAACAGAATCGAACCTTTTTTGATTGAGGACGTAGTGTTTAAAAGGATATGAATAATATTCAGATTTTTCAAACTACCTTCCTATTTTTCTTCTTCTTGGTAGACTACTTATGATGCGAAGCGAATTGATATTACTCTCAGCGATCACTACTTTCTCTTCTCTCATGGGAATATCAATTTTAAAGTACAGTCTCGTTGAAGATTAATAGGCAACCAAACATGAGTCAGCAAAAAAAAAAGGCGAGAGGATTTTTGATTTTTCTCATAGTTAATTCGGCTAAATTTAGGGGGAATGCGCCTTTAAAATATTGCCGAATTTTAGAGTTCATTTTTTTTTATTTTTGTTACACTTTTTTCTGTCTTTGTAATGCATAAATCAAAATTCAGTTTGTTTCCGAAAAAAGCGGCTACCAAAATTTGTCGCTATAAGACCCAACTTATTTTAGAAGCATTTAATCAATTATTTAATTTTTTAATAAAAAATATATTTCACGATTGAATTGAGGTTTTTTTCTCACAATTTTACGAAAATCGATTTATATGCGAAAATATATCAAAAAATTAATGGACCAAGTCTGCGAATTGGAAATATTTTTTGTTTTTTTTTTTTTCTTATTCAGTGATGTTGAAAAAAAAACATTTAAAAAATGTTTTCACTTCGCAGAATATGCCCATGGAAAAATTGAAAATTGAAAGGATATTTATAAGTTGAAAAACGCCTTTTGGATACGGTAATTATAGCTTAACTAAATTGGGGTAGATCAAAAATTTAGTCGGTTATCAACGGGGGTTTCGAAATTTTTACTGATGTGAGATTTTTAATCTCCAAAAAATGGAAAACACGTGGTGACACGACAAAAATTGTATTATTTTTAAATGTTTAATAGTTTCCAGAATTTTATGAGCTCAAAAACGACTCGTCATTTCTGTTTCATTCTGTTTCGGTTTAGTTGAATGGAAAAAAATTAGCAGCAGTCTGTATTTTCCATTAAACTAATATTTGATTTTCACCAGCTCTTTTTTTTCATCCAAATATGAAATTCATTCACAAATCGATTCGATTGAAATGTTTTGTATCCCCCTTTTAATCGATTCAAACTTCGGTCAATCTACAAAAATTAAAAAATGATCATATGAAAAATCGAAACCAGGAAGTGTTTTTAGAAAATGCCTAAAAATGGAAGAAAACGATGAATAAGACAAATATTATTAAACAATTTAAAGTGTTGGAAAAATTTAGAAGAAAAAAGTACAAAAAAACGACTGGTAGGAAAATAATGATCATTCAACACGATCAAATGTACACATTGAACAACTGACGAGAAGGAAAAGAGACACAAAGGGGAGGGATTAAATCAGACTCCAATTTTTCAGTGTTTTTTTTTCTCATTTTCAAAAAAAAAATGAGCGAGATTTCGATTGAAAACGAATTTGAAGACGCATGTGTTCGGTTAGTAAACGTCCGAAATATTTCTCGTTTCCCGAAAATATTTACGTTTTTTTTCGGAGGAATGAGGAGATGTCGCAAAAGAAATGTCGCCATAGTCCCACTAATAATAAATCATGACGGAATTTCAAAGTGAAACAAATAAATGTGAAAAAACATTACAATTTTTATTGCGCATAGTACAAAAATCGTCCGAAAACACCAAAGCGTGGCAAATAGAAGGTTTTCGATCCAAAATTTAAAGCAAGTTAAAAAAAAAGAAAACACTTAAAGGAATGAAAAAAATTGAGCCCTTTGAAATATTGTGAACCATCGCACCTTTTCGAGGCGGTAATTCAATTTTAAGTTAAAAAAAGGGAAAGCACCCTGCGAATTAAATTCGCCGTAAATCTGCACGGGTTTTTTGCAAAAAATTATATTAGTAAAAGAGGAAGTGCATAAGAAGAAAAAGAAGAAAAATCTATGATATTTACCTGAAAAAATCTTAAATTTTGTGTGTAGAAATTTCGGAACAACGCCGTCTGATTGTTTGAACAAAATGTGACAACGCACAAATTTCGTCAAGAAAACGATTCAATCGGGACGAGCAGCGGACCCTTTGTGGTTTTCGGAAGAAATTGTACAAACAGGAAAAACTTTCAATTATGGAAACAAAAATTACTCATGGTGAGGCTAGATTGAGGGCGTTGTGTGAATGGAGTGTCGTACTCAGAGTTGGGCAGAATGAATATTTTGAAAACTCGGGAATGCGGAAAAGGTAAAATTTGAGGAATCCAATTCTTGAGGTACTGGTATCCAATTCTTGAGGTACTGGTAGAAAAACAAGTTTTGTGACAAGCCGCGGAAGTTTTTGGGAACTCCCGTGGAACCCAAAGGTTTCAACCAAAACCAAAACCGGGTCATTTTCGAATCATTAAAAAAACCATCTATTTATTCCGGAGACAATTATCGAAACAAAGGGAAATCGAAATATTCTAAAGAGAAGCCGACATCTCAACTAATGAGGCATTCAAAATTAATTGCAAACATATGTGCATGTTGCATTTTTTGCAATTCTCGAAGAATTTTCACAAAATCTTCGATTCGCCGAACATTTTTTGGTTGAGAATGTCGGCGAAATTCGATTTCGCATTGACAATGAGAAGAAAGAAGTACAACATTTTGGTTGTATCACAAATGAAAAAAAGATCACAGAAAAATCGTGAAAAACTCATTAAATTTTAATAAGTATGAAACATATTTAATATTATAAGAATTTCTAATTTCTTCGATATTTCATAAAACGTGTTGATACTCAATACGTACCTTAAATACATATTTGAAGAAAGATGGACGAATTTGACAAATTTAAATTATCAAACTCGTTAGCCATTTTTGATCTAAGCGCGAAATCTACAAATTCTCGCATGCGCCTTTAATATTTACTGTAGTTTTCAATGAATTTCATAATCTATCAAATAGAAAATGATTATAAGAAAGTGCCGCCAAAATTTGAATAATAAGCAACGCCCCTAAATTTTTCCGTCCTCGACAATATATTTGATGGATTTCTTCAGGAAATATTTTTTAAAAATATTTTTAATTACCTTAAACGTGCGTGTTTTTATTTTCGAAACGTGTGATTAAAAAAATATTTTTTCATGAAATCTTATAAGATTTCCTAAAATTTATTACAAAACGATGTAGTTTCAAATTATTTTAAAGAGACAGAAAAGACACACAAGTAATTTTTTTCTGGAAAAAGAAAACATCGGAAGCAAAAAAAAAACGAATAAGAAGAAGAAGAAGCGGGACATGAAATCATCACATAAACAGACCGTTAGTTTTTTCTCATTCTGCAACGGAGAAGATTCGAGAATTCGGGAGCAAATTGAAATATGAACTACGATTTTTTAGAAAACTCAAAACAAGAATGAACGGAAATCTTGGATATAAATACACAATTCCGTTAAGACATCAGTAAAGAATTTATAGTTGACTGAATAAATTATGAGATGATTTCGATGTCATTGAGCAAGAAGAAACAAATTGTTTTATTAAATTTTTATCTTTTATTTTACCGACTTTTTCATTAAATTTTATTTTTGCAAAAAAAAACCATTAAAGGAGCATATTTCTTATAAGAAGAGATTCATGGAGAAAGAAAAAACACAAAAATCTTAAATTGAGAAAACCATGAGGAGCACAAAAAACGATATACGCGAACAAACTGCACATTTATTTTTGGAGATTTTGGAAATTCGTAATTCATCTCCCTTTTGAGCCTCAAAGGAATTGACTATACAATTTTGTGGAAAGATGTTATTTCGGTTTCGAAAAAATTAATAGATCCGGCTGAAGATTCATGATTATCACTAAATAATTGGAAATTTAATTGTACTCAATATCAGCTGACAAATGTAAAAATCATTAGAAGATTAAGATTCAAAGCTGCAAATTATAAATTCTAAAAAATGGGAAAAATTCAATGTAGTAAAAAAGAGACAAAAAACATAGGAAAATAAAATAACTTTTTCTTTTTTTTCTCCCTCTAACTAACGGTCATTTTATTTTTTTTCTTTAATTTTTTCCGCATCGCACCGGTACAAATATAAAGCGTAGTATGTAATCACATAATTTTTGGAAATTTCTTCAACCTAAACGATCGATTTTGCTTAGGTGCGTCGAAACAAACTAAAACTAATAAAATATGCAAAAGCACGAAAGCAAAAAATTCGAGACGAGACGATTTTGGAGAAATAAAATGCGTTTTCTCTGCCAACGGAAACCAATTCGTCGAGCATTTTCAGTGGTAAAAAGAGAAATACTCGAATCCGAAAAAAAAAAACAAATATATACGCGAAAAAAATGCTATTGTGTTCTTTCAAAATCGATGCGTAGACGGCGTCAGGCGAAAAAAAAGGGTTTCGAAAAAAAGAGCAGTCAGCTTATGGTTGTGCTTCGTCTTCTTCTTCTCCTCCTTCTTCCAGTGCAACAAAAAACCTAATTATCGAGTTTTTTTTCGCTTTTACCACCATCATTAAACCCGTCGTGTGAAATTTATTCGAGAAAAAGCAGAATGAAGCGGATGGGAAAAAAATGAGGAAAACATATTTGTAGAAGTGAGAAACACGACGAACATTTCCGGTTGTGTGTCTTCGGGGAATTGGAGCCACTTATTGCCTTTTGCAAAGAGTGTAACTTTATAAATAAACTACAATTTGACAAGTGAAAATTTGGGAAGATATTCTCAAATATCAAAAAAAAAGATAAGATACATCTTCTTTCAAGCGGTTCCGTCAGATTTGTTCACGATCGAAACCTATAAAATTTGGGTTTTTTGAAAAGCTTGCGAGCATATATTTAACTTTGCAAAAAATCATTGAGACCCACACATCATTATAGTGACCGGTTATATAAACAAAGTGTCATTTTTGAGTACTAACGCTGGAAACAAATAGAAAAAAGAGATTATCACAGTTATCAGGAATAAATATAAATATGAGATAAAGAAATGGCAGCGAAAGTTATGTTTACATCAGTTGCAAGCATAGTTTTGAATAAAACTTACACACATTAGTGATATTTATATAAATATATTTGAAAAAAAGGCTCGATTTAATCCAGAAAAAAAATCGATTTAATCCAGAAAATATTCAATAATTTTAGTTACTGTATCAATTTAGAGGGCAGTGGGAAAATAGAATATTTTTCTCGAATATTTTCACATTTTTCCTTTTTCTCATTTTCTTGACATTTTTTCTTTTTATGCTTCTGTAATTTTATTTTGATTTTTCTTTCTCTTCATTTTCCTCCATTTTTTTCTTCTATCTCAAATGAGAAAAGTTTTCCATACCCCATTCACTATCAAATACGTTTCCATTCATACGTGTCGAATATGCATAATATAACGGTTCCGGTCAAAATTCCAGGTGAAACAGTATAGAAGACGAAGAGTGTGCAGTGATATATAGTGTTCTACAGAGCGATTTTGCTTATCTTTCATTCATTTTTCATCAATTTTTTTACATTTATTTTCACTAAATTTCTTTTTTTGAGGTTTCAGACATTTAATCATGCCGCGCCAACGGCAGAGACCGAAACGGGATGTCTTAGACCAGGAGCAGCCATCAGCAACAATCGCATTAGCACCGAAGAGGCCTTCAAAAGTCGCAATTTACTGGAGGTTTCCAATTTTTTTTTCTGCAATAAAAAATTTAATAATTTTTTTAGAAACTTATTCGGATGGGACCTTCTACTAATCGTGTCTGTGATATTCACAGCATCTGCTTATATGTTCTTGTACATTTTCTTGCATCCATCACTTGATAAACTTCCTTCAATTCAAGGTCCCGATTATGACACGGTTTGTGTTTCAATGAAACATTTATAAAGAACTAATTTAAGAAACTTTGGGGAAGTTACCGACCCCACTTGTACTTTGGCATGCGGACAAGGTCCCCAACATCGCCCCTATTCGGAATGATGTGGTACGAGCAGCCCAATTATGTGCTGAAACCTCACATTCGACACTGGTGTAACCAGGGTGATGGTATCGACAGATACGGTTGGTATGAAGCCGATGCGAGAACATTTGGCAAGCAGAACATCACCGAATCTTCTGGACGTATACAAACCGACTGGATCAATGAATCTGGCAGCGGGTTCTCGGCACGCATCAAATTCAATATGAAGCCAGGGAAGAGATTCAATGTGATTTTCTATATGGCATCCACTGATAACACGAACAGTTTTCGATTGGGAAAACATCTAAACGATATTTTTTACGGTCAATCTGATTCCTTGGGAAGAATGAAAGTAAAAAAAAAATGGAAATTCAATGTTGACATTAAAAAAGTTTTACAGTTTTCAATTCATATGAAACGTTCCACAAAAATGGAACAATCGCATTCGGCATTGGTGGTCAACGAGAAAGTGCCGATTGATAGGTATCATGACTTTATGACCGATAATATGGTAGGTTTACGGATTGTGTTGAGGAAAAAATGAGATTGATTTGAATTAAAGCAAGTAATCGATTCCGGCAACAACAACATCCATTACATTCTCAACAACAAACACAACGATATTGATGGAAGATTCGTCGCAGTTCAACTCAATTTCGGAAATTCCGCCGAATTCGATATTGCGTTGAGGTTTGTTACTGAATATTCAGTCGTCGTACTGATTTGATTTTCCGCAGTGTCGGCCCAGTTCAACCACCAATTTTCGAGAAATTCGACGCGGAAATTGCGCGAAGATCGAATAATTTCAATAGGAAATACGAGAATGCGTTTGGAATCGCCAAAAAGAATTATTCGGTCGTTCAACAACAAATGGCCAAATTCGCGCTATCGAACATGCTGGGAGGTGTCGGCTACTGGTACGGACTCAATCGGGTAATTTTGTTTTTAATTTAAAATTATCATCACTGCTTTTTAGGTTTATTCCACACCAAACTATCTTCAACTTTATGGCCCACACACGCTGTTCTCGGCGGTTCCGTCCCGTCCATTTTTCCCACGAGGATTCTTATGGGATGAAGGATTCCATAATATGCTTATCAGAAAAATTGATCCAAAGTTGTCTCTTGAGGTAAAAATCCTCGAATATTACTATTCCTGTCCCAAATATATTTTAGATTATCACTTCCTACATGAATCTAATGGAGACTAGCGGTTGGATTCCACGTGAGGTGATACTCGGCGCTGAATCTGAAGCCAAAGTTCCTGCCGAATTCATTCCGCAGCACACTGATGTTGCTAATCCCCCAAGTTTCTTCTATGTCGTCGACAAACTCGTACACGATGAGAAAGTTGGTTTCTAGTGATTTTTGTGTTCACATTGAGTGGGTGTTTGAAGGTGATTGGCAAATACGGGCACATTTTGACGCGAATCTATCCACGATTGGAAAAATGGTTCCTATGGTTGAGGTCCACGCAATTTGGACCATCTAGAACTACATTCAGGTTAAAAGGCGATTCACTTGTGTTATTGGTTAGATTTTTAGATGGCGTGGTCGAAATGAGACAATCGCGACTGAACTAAATCCAAAGACTCTCTCCTCTGGTCTTGATGACTATCCGAGAGCCAGTCATCCGACTCCAGAAGAATATCATCTTGACCTCCGATGTTGGCTGGCCTTGTGTGGAAAAGTTTTGGAGCGCTTATCGAAGCACTATGGAACCGATTCGGATCATCGTAAATTCTCGAAACACAAAGAAGAACTGAATGATCTTGAAAGTTTGGTTAGGGACCATTGGAGCGAAAAAGACGGGGTTCGTTTTCAATTTTTCATTTGTTGTTGTTGAAAACTCATCAGTTTTAGGGATTTTTCGATTTTGGAAAACATAGCGATGATGTTGGTCTCGCGCCGGTACCAAAATCAAGCGAACCGAGAGGATTTGAATACCAAAGGTTCTTGAAACCCCTATGCGCTTCCAATTAATGAGTTTAGAGTCACGTCTCGCGCTCCTGTCTATAAGCTCGTTACGAATGTCTACGGCTATAATAGCCTTTACCCAATGATGTTCCGAATGTTCCCAGCCGATTCGAAATACTTGAAAGCTACTCTTGATAAAATCCGCGATCCGAAAGTCCTGTGGACTCCGTTTGGCCTACGATCGATTTCAAAATCATCGCCTTATTATCAAGCGAGAAATACCGAGCATGATCCGCCATACTGGAGAGGGTAAGTGATTTGAATATGTCATTTCGAATCAGAATTGTAATTTTTAGAAATATTTGGATTAACATTAATTATATGACGCTATCAGCACTTCGGTATTACGCTGATCAGAAGGGTCCGCATCAAGTACAAGCCGAGCAAATCTTTCAGGAATTGAGAAAGAATTTGGTGAACAATATGGCTAAGGTGCGCCTTTTTTTGGAACTTTTTCGTTGATATCATTACTTGTCAGGAATTCCGTCGAACTGGACATATTTGGGAGAATTACAACGATATTACTGGCGAGGGACAAGGAACCCATCCATTCACTGGTTGGTCATCGCTCATTCTAATGATCATGAGTGATAATCTGGACACCTAGATTGTCTAGTGATCAACTACTTCTTCTATTTTTGGTTATATTTATTTATATATGTAATCGGTTCTGTTCTTTTCTATTTTCTAGTCTTTGTTTTGTTGACTTCATGTTAAATGGGTGTCTCGATTCATGTTTCTCTTTCTTGGTTCTTTTATCAATTCACTTTCTTGTTTTAATTCATCATATTTATGCACTTTTTTTTTCTATTTTTCTCCACTTCAATTCAATCAAACATACTGTGTTTCCATATCTCTCGGTTATAATCGCCAAGTTTTGCCGTTTTGTTCTTCTTTTCGTGTGCATTTCTTTTTCTTTGGTTTCGTTATTTTTAATTATGGGTATTTAACTGATATTTATGGCGTTTCTCTTTGTTTTTTGGGTAATATGTAAATTATTCATTGGATGCTTTTGGAAGAGTTTTTTTTACAGTTTTGGTGTTCTTTTGCACCGATATAGTATTTTGAATCAAGTGCTTACTGAAATTAATAGGAACATATTTTAGGTTTGAGGAAATTCATGGAAAAATCGATTTAGGAAGCTGAACATCGCGAATTTCCAAGATTTTGCACATAGGTTAGAAATAAGTTAAATTTCGTCGGTTCTTGTGCGCCTTTAACCTATTCTTAAGCTTCGGCTCGTAAATTGACTCTTAGTTTTGCTTCAAAACCGCTGCCATTATTTTTTGACTTTGACAATACAAAATTTAATAAAAATCATTGGAATTTTTTTTAGAAAATTTTGAAATGAATTTTAAAAATAAAAAGAGAGAAAAATGAGCACACTGTAGATTTACGGTGGATTTGATTCACAGGTTATCTGTAGTAGTCAAATTCTGTTTAACTCAAAATTTGAATTACCGCTTCAAAAACTTGATGGTCCACGATAGTGCTTATTTTTTTGCGATTGAATTTGTAACACCGTATTTTTATTAAAAAAAATGTGTTATTTATAAACGAAATACATATTTATTTTCTTAATTTTGAATGTTTCCAGCCCAAACCAAAAGATTTCGTTAGAACGAATGAGGGTTTTTAGAGTGAATCATCGCCAGAGATTTTCTAGAAATTTTGACTTGTTTCTTTGTGTCTCGACTAGTTTTTGTACATCTTTCAATATTTTTAAATGGTTGTCGATTTTTTTTTCTTTTTCAGATAAAGATATAAGATATAAGATATAAGATATTCGTGTGCGAAAATCACGTTTTCGTTGGGGACGCAAAATTTTACTCCAACTATCAATCGATACAATCTTTAAATTTGTGACTCAAAATTTTGCAACAATTAGTTTGTCCGGTACAAATTTCAACTTTTCGGTATCAGTGAAATATTTCTGATAATTCAAAGTTATCACGGAGAATGGCGTGATAGTATTGCACTTTTGTACGATATTCAAGGTCAACTGTTGATTGGCTCTCGTTTCTGAGAAACTTTTTTTTTATTATTTTGCCATTTGATGGAGTATTTAGACACACGAGGGGGTCTTATCGTTTTTTATCAGCGGCTCTAAAAGGGCATGTGACTCCGTAGACTTTTTTCTCCGGAAAATGATGAAACATTATGCAAATTGTAGAGAATTATGTTAGTTATACAAAAGTTAGATGATTTAATGAAAGGTTTGACATTCTTTTGTTTCGCATTACTCAATTTTTGTGACTTTTCTGAATACTATGGAGTTGGTGAGTCAATTAAACAAAATAAATAAACAAATTGACGAATATTGCAATAAACATAGACGAAAAGTTGTCCAGCACTCCAAATTTGCTCTTATCATCATGTTTTCGATCACGATTTATTTCGACGCGAAAATTCTCCGAAATTATCGATATCAGTGGCGGTTTAGATTATAAATTGGGCCCAGTTTGTCTTCTAGTTAACCCAGAACATTTTTTTCGTTTTTACTATTTATTAATTTGTATTATTTTCAGCTTATTGGTGAAAAGAAGCCATTGGTGCGCAAAAAACGCAAAGAGCGCTCGATTGGATATCTGTTAGCGCGAAAATTAGCAATGTCCTCGTATGGTGCAATTGGTGTTGATAATGAGTTCGTTTTTTTAATAATTTTGAAAAAATAACTGAAATTTTTAAAAATAATATTTGAAAAATAATACTCTCCGCACGTCTACCGACATTCCGAATTTTTGTGTTTTGGGTATTCTTCTTCAAAAATTCCAAGTTTGCTCGTTTTTTGTCATTTTTTTTGTTTTGAAAATTGCTTTATTTCTGCAAATTTGACTAATCAGTAGAGAGTAATCAGGAGAAAAGAAGGAATGTTCAATTGTCGAATGCGATTAGCAGCTAATAATCGATAGCAACCTGGTACTGACTGTTACACCACGAGGGTTTGATGGGCATAGCTTGGAAGAGTTTTGAAATAATTTTAGAACAGGGGATTTTAGAATTTTTTTTGAATATATTTAAGAAATTTTAAATTAAAATAGTTAGAAAAAAATTGGGTTTAGTACTGATCCACTTCTCGACGACACACCATCAGCCACTGGCGGAATTCCAATTGGAAGAAGACGAGCAGCATCATCATCGAACCTAGTAGTAATTCATTGCTATTTCAAATATTGTTGTCAATAATATTTTGTTAAGGGACGCTCTCCTGGCAGTGGAACGCCTTCAAGACAGCCCTACTTGTTCACAGGCGGTTTGGGACTTCGCGAGGAAAGCCTACTCTCGTTGCACTCGGAAGATGATCTACATCGTGAGCACAATAATGCTCTTCGATATCGACTGTATAACAGACTGGATCCCGGTGGCGAACATTTTGTAAGACTTGTTGAAACGAGAATCGGGAAATTGAGAAATTACAGACGATGCCCGATCATGTGATCCCAGCCAGTTTGTTCTCGATTCTTCCGTTTGAAGAGCTCAAAGACGTGTCGGGAAAACAAGGAAGCCTTGTGACAATGTGAGAAAACACAAAGAATAACAGTAATCTGAAAAAAAAGTTTTCAGATTTTCCATTTGGAATACAATGATGGGAACCTCGCTTCTCGCCATGCCATGGGCTCTTCAACAAGCTGGACTTGTTTGGGGAATCGTTATTATGCTTGTGATGGCCGCTTTATGCTTCTACACTGCGTTTATTATTATCGACAGTCCTAAAAGGATAGGTGCGAATTTATCATTGAGAATATTCTTCGAATAATGTTTTTAGCGCAAATGGATATTGATCCAAGTCTCGCAGAATTCTCCGATGTATGTAAAGCATGGTTTGGACGTGTTGGTGAGATTTCAATTTTGCGATTCGCTGACAATTGTTCGTTTCTAGGCGAAATGACGGCTACGATATTCAGTGTATGCGTGTTGATTGGAGGAATCATTGTCTATTGGGTGCTCATGTCAAACTTCCTTTATTACACTGGAGCTGTGGTATACGGTAATCAATGTTTTTATGAAGCACACACTCGAATGTTGCAATTTTTAGAGGCTTTGCAACCGAATAGCACAACGATTCCAGTAATGGAAAATAAGACATTCACATGCGATGGTTAGGACTCAACACTGTTGGTTATTCATTATTAAAAGTTTTGTAGTTTACTGTCCCGAAGACATGGTATGGTCGGCTCCGAGCTGGGAGCAAACCATGATGGATGCGATTGAGCAGTTGGAAGGCGACGACAACTGGAGTTTTGACAAGTTCTGGTCCCTTCAGGTAGATTTGTGTTGAATTTCGACGAGCTTACAAAGTCGATTCAAGGGATCTGTTCCAATTTATCTCGCATTTGCATTGTTTCCTTTGATGAACTTCAAGTCGCCGACATTTTTCACCAAATTCAATGTTCTCGGAACGGGTAAGCGTTTTCAAATGTTTCAGTTAGGGGGAAATGGGGTCCACTTGGTCTTGAAAGGGTCCCGTGTTGTATATCAACGCTGACCATTCATTTTGGCATTCCTGGTTTCGCATGAAATTTTGAATGTGTGTTTTCAGTTTCCGTCATGTATCTACTCCTCTTTGTATTCTCGAAACTTCTCGAATGCGGCGTCAATATGGATTTTACGAATCCCAAATCGATCCACTATGTTAAATGTAATCGTTTATTTTTAATTTACCATTTCCTTACTTCATCATATATGTATTTCGGTTTTCTAGTGTTCAATTGGCATTTTCCGGCTCTCAGCGGAACATTGACACTCTCATATTTTATTCATAACGCGGTTTTGACGATTCTGCGAAATCAAAAGCATCCCGAGAACAATGTAAGATTCGCGATCCTCCCAAAAAATGTGAGATTCGAAATATTGTTTGAGGCTCGAGACTTGTCGATTGGCTACTGCTTGGTCGCTTTTTGTTACGTTTTCATTGGATTCACATTTTTCGCAGCTTTTCCTGTTCAAAGAACCTGTATAAGTGATGTGAGTCTCTCCTTTGTTTTTGGTCATCGGAAATCTTGATTTCAGAATTTCTTGAACAATTTCGGCGCTGGCGATGTTCTATCGAGCACCGCCCGTCTTTTCTTGCTATTCCAAATGATTACCGTACTCCCACTGCTTATGTTCCTCGTCAGATCGCAGCTGTTTTACGCAATCTTTGGGAAAACCTGGCCAGGGTAAATTGATCGATGCGAGATTATTTAGTTATTAAAATGATTTTCAGAATAATTAAAGTAGTGATCCTCAATATGGTTCTCATTGCAATTGCTGTTGGTTTTGCAACATTCTATCCCAACGTTGGAAGCATTTTGAGGTATCGCTGTTTTCTCAATGTTTCGCCGATCGCGCGATTTTTCTCCGCTTCTGTGATTCTCTCATTTTTGATTCTATGACTCTCTCGCCTTCGAATTCCGAACTCGAATTATCTCAGCGACTGCCGGATTGACGTGGCCGAATGGTCTAGTGGTATGATTCTCGCTTTGGGTGCGAGAGGTCCCGGGTTCAATCCCCGGTTCGGCCCATCTTTTTTTTGGTGTGGGGTGGGGGCTGTTCCTTTGAATCTTTGAAAACGTTCGATAATGCAGTTGCACCAGTTTTGGAATAATTAATCGTCACATGGTTTTTTTTTGAATATCTCAGCCTTTCGGTCACGAATTCGTGGTGATTGTTCATAAGAGGAAATGTTTGAGAGATCCGTGAAATGTTCGACGTTCTTTGTCATCATTATCATTTCATAACCGTTTGTTAATCGTCTTATATTCGCCACGTGATTCCAAAACGTTCTTTGAGTTTAAAAAAGAAACGACGAGATTGATTTCAGATATGTTGGTTCAATATCGGGTCTGATCTACGTGTTCGCCCTTCCGTCTCTCGTCTATATCCGTCAAAATCGTGCCATGGGAACATTGACGCCTTTCAAAAAATACGCCCATCTTGCGATTATCGCCGTCGGCGTTGTTAACCTCATTGCTCAATTTGTAATTTAGATACTACCAATTTTGGTTTTTTTTAACCATCTGTGATTTCTTTTGTTCAAATCTCACCGCAATAATTGTCTGTACGTTTGTTTTGTTCATTTCTTATTCAAATTACGGGAATCTTAACCACTAATCACTTTTATTTAATAAATTATAAATTTCAAATTCGGTGTTTTAACCATATTTAACGAGTATGATGCGCTTCACATTTCGATCTTTGTCCAATTTTCGTTTTTTTTTTTAATTTATTTTTCGCTTTTGTAGCCCTTGATTTATGGCGATTGTAATGCGGAATTTTTTGAGCGGCCCGAATTGGAGGTTTTGTAGTGAGAACGTGTTGAGTGATAAGATTCTGATGCAGGCTATATTGTACTGCCGGCACAACGATGAACTACGTCGACCGCGTGCGGCTGCTTGATTATTGGAAAATTCAGGATTCAGCACTTCAAAAGTGAGTCTGACCGATTGAAAAAAAACAAAACGCAAAAAAGAGTGGTTGATTTTCAGTGAATTCACACGATCGAAGTTTGTTCTAATGGTTGATAAGCGATTATTAGTAAGGAAGGATAAGTCGGATATTGTTATGGTCGAACATTCTCAATCGGGTAAGGCTGATAGTTTTTTTGTTTCAAATGTTTTCTTTTTTCAGAACTTCGACAAAAGCTAGGTGATTATGGCCTCCAATTCGATTTATCATGTTCCTGTTTGCTTGATGCCGTTCCGGGGTCAACGGACATGGTCCCATTGTTTGGCACGTCTGTTGAGGCAGCCGATCCGCCGGAAGACAGTCCCGTAAGCAAGCATGATGTGCTCAAGAAGCTTGGTGATTCTCTTGGAGGTTTTTTTCCTCATCGCGTTGATCCCGAATTTTTTTTTTATTTTAGGAAGATTCACTGACATTCGAATGGCTATGCTCACAATGAATAACGAGAGACAAAGGAATCTGCTGGCGAAATTCCAGTCCCTTTCGAAATGGTCGAAAATCTATCGACGATGTCCGAAATGCGCGTCTGCACTAAGGATGCGAGTGAGCAAAAGTGGTTGTGAATGCTTGCAATGCAATAAATATTATTATCCCTCGGTGATTACCTTCATAATTATATCACCAATATCACCATTTATAGTGTTATCCAGTTGCAATCACTCTTGTTGTGGATCCCACGAATGAGCACGCACTCCTCGTGAGGCATCGAGGATCAGCAAATAGTGTATTCACAGCGGTTGCCGGATTTGCACATGTATCATCATTTATTAATTCATTTTTGTTAAACTGAATAATTATTTTCAGTCAGGAGAATCTCTGGCAGAATGTGCTCGTCGTGAAATTGCGGAAGAAGTTGGAATTGAGGTCGAATCAATCAAACAGCTCGACATGTCGCAGCCTTGGCCGATGCCTGATTCTTCACTGATGGTCGCTTTCGTAGCAGTTGCCAAAATGGATCAAAACGTATGAAATAGCGAGAATTTGATAACAATTGATCAGATTTACAGATTTCGGTATGTCCCGACGAGCTTGAAGCCGCCCAATGGTTTACCAAAGACGAGGTGAGGCAGGCTTTTGATCGCACGAACTCTGATCTATTCTTAAAGGTTAGAAAATTAAATATATTAAAGTCATTTCTCGAATTCGTTTTTAGAAATTGCCAAAATCATTGGATGAGCGGCAAAAATTGCACTATATTCCGCCACGCGGTGCAATTGCTCATATGATGATTCGCGATTGGTGTCTTGGAAAAATTGAATCGAAACTTTAATCATTTTTTAAGCTAGATCCGGTTTACACTCTCGAGCGCAAAAAAAGGAAATTCCCTAAATTTTTGAAATAAAATCTACTAAATAATTGTTTTCTATGTATTTATTTTCTAATGCGGTGTTCAATTATTAAAATTAAAAAATTTTTAATGTGATTACCATTGCAAAAAAAACTTTGAATAATTGTATTTAGACCATCTCACTTTTTCGAGGGCGGTAATTCAAATTCGAATTTAAATTGGGAATTTGGGTACCGTACTATGGATAATCTGCGAGGCTAACTCTCCGTAAATCGGTGCAGGATTTTGCAAAAGGAATTTAATCGGCGACTGATGTAGGCGGGTAGATTTACGGGAGAGTCTTTCGAAAAGGTCTCGCCACACGTGAATTCTTATTTTTAAAATTTCACGTTAACTGTATCATTTTTCTTCATATCACTGAAGTTAAAAATTAATTACCTCTAAAAGGCAAATTAATCAGTTAATCCGCGCAAGACCATGGCGAAGGCGCATGCGCGTAAATCTACCTGCGTACAGCAGTCGACTATAAACAAGACTGATTTTGATTCGTTTCGTGTCGAGAGTCGACATTGATTTTTGTTATGCGTCTTTCTTACTGTACAATGTCCGACATTTTGTCTTCTAATATCTCGAAAATACCGAAATGTTAGACGGATACAGTGGATTTGTGCGTCGGGTCTCCAGAGTCTTGAGAAATTCTCATTTTGAACTCGATCATTCTTGTCAAGCATAATCATAATAGTTAGGCAACAGGTTCAATAGTTTTATTAATTCTCACTCGATTTCACTTTATTCTTTTCTTTTTCTTCTTTCGATGCGTCGGCCTCCGCCTTTTTATCGACTGAATGAAAGAATTTTTTTTTGAGAAGTTTTCGAATGGAATGCCTTTTTCCGACGATCCTCTCCCTGTCTCCGCCTCTTTATTCTCCTTCTTTTCCTTTGTGTACTTCTCTTTGCTCTTCGTCCGATGCTTCTTCTTCCTCTTCTTTCGACCTCTCACCGATCTCTACAATTGTCAGACTCTTCGAGAGCCCCAAGCTCAACATCACCTGCCTCATGCTCAAGACTTTCAATTTTATTATTCATTTCTCTCCATCGATTACGATCCTCAGTTCGTAAACTCTCAATAGCAATATAATGCTCCTTTAAATTCTTTGCAAATTGTCAAATTCCACAAAAACCCACTCGAATCTTTTTTGCGAGTTGTGCAATTTGAGCCAACGGGTCCATATCAAATGCTTATTTATTGTTGGAAAAGAATTGATCAAATGAAATGCTGAAAAAATGTGAGTTTTTTTTTGCAGAAAGAGAGAAACGTATTATGTTCACTGGCTATAACAGAAATATACAAATAATAAATAAAATGGCGTTTGGAATAGTAGGATAAGAATGTGGAAATGCAATTATCTCGAATAAAATCAGCTAATAATAATAATAGTAATAATTAAAAACGTGACACAGTAAACCGTATTTGGGAACACGAACACACAAATTGATTAGAGATACATGGGATCGTCGAACGCGGATATTGTGATTGTGATTCGGCCAACCGAATTCCCATTCGGATCCTTTATCTCGTACATCGACTCGCGATTCTCGTTGTCGATCAGCGCTATGATATTCGTTTGGCCGATGATCACGTCTCGAGCTAGGCTGTGATGTTCCCACACCTCGATTTTGTACTCTTGACGGCTTTTCAGTCTGAACATTCGATTCGGATTTAAGATCAAATGTCTCGAAATTTACCGGTGGAAGACGAAGTTCTCATCCCACTCGGGCTCGATTCCCTCCCGATTTCCAGTTCGGTAGGCCTTCTTTGAAGATTTGACGATGACATATGTCTCGACTTCTGAAAAAGAAAAGCAACGAATCGGCATGATTCCTCAGATCTCGTTCGAGAATCGTACGCTTTTTCAAATTGAGCTCGGCTCGATGGATGGTGATTCTGGTGACACTTGGTGCCGATTTGCACGAGCAAATTCCGAGTTTTGGCGAATGTTTCGTGAGCTCTTTGAAGTTGACATTTCTCTCGGAATAGACGCGAAGCATGAATTGCGTCTGCTCTTTTGGAGCAAACGTCGTCGGAACGAGAACGTAGCGACCGAGTGGCAGCTTGTTGAGATGCATGTAGACGGATCGGGCGCTCGCGTATTCCGACGTCGCCACCTGCGCCATCGCCTGATGCACTCGATGCCTACGGTTGTTCTCGACGCGCATCACGTGCATTCCGATCGTTACGAACGGCTCGCGCTTCTTGATTCCCTCGCTTGGATCGCGTTGAGTCAACGCAAATATTATAGTGCCGCCTTCCGAATCGATGTCGAAACAGTACTGAAAACCCGCTGATTGGTATGATTTCCGACAATTTCAGACCTGTGGATTGCTGCAGAATGTGGCTTGAAAGTTCAAACAACCGCCAGCTCGGTCATCCGGCGCGCCGCTTTTCTTTCCATTCAAACTCCACTCGGAAAAGATGATCTTCTCATGATATCTTCAAAAAAAAAATCACCATGCGCCTTTAAAAATCGATGATTCAAACCTGGGGGATGTCGAGAAAAAGCTTGTATTGAATAACTGGCAAATCGAAATATCGGTGAAGTACTGAACGAACGACTCCCAGGGCATCCAGAAGTCGCCGTCCTCCTCAACACTGATACCCATCGATTTCTTCTGAGGTTCAGAGACCTACAAAATTTTAATGAAGCTCTTCTCACACCACACTTTGGGTTGGTACATTCTGCCACTCGATGCTATTATCACTCCATGCCCCATTCCATTCCTTTTCGCCCCAAGGATTCTGAAGTCGTATGAGATTCTGCTTGCGTTTTGTGCCTAGCAGATACGAAGTGAGCCCTTTCTGAGCGTCGAGATCCACGGTGAGAACGGCTGTGACGGCATAAGCATGGCCTTTGACCAATCCGCAGGTGAGCGATTCTTCGACTTCTTCCTTCGTTCGAGCCTTAAATCAAAAATCGCTCAATTATGATTGACTGCGAGAAATCTCGGAATACCGCGATCGCGGCCACCGTCAGAGCGCCGTCGTCGAATGCGTTTTTGAGGTTGTTGAAGAGTAGAAGCTTGTTGTCGTTCAAATCCTAAAAATCTTTGTTTTTGAGGAAATATGATTTTCGATCTGCGGGCATTTTTGCCCAACAAGCCTTTAGAAATTGTACAAAATTCATTTTCGGTTGATAATTTTTTTTTGCCAATCAAAAATGTCCGCAGATGGTTTTCTCACGTCTTTTAAGAACTTCTTGACGTTGACTGTCTCGGCAACACCACCGGAAACATCTTGAAGGGCGTCTGAAAGATGGCCGCCGACAAGATTCTCATAGCAGCCATATAATCTGGAACATGCGCCTTTAAAAAACCTGGACTACTGTAGTAGTTCTTACTTGGCGAACGCTTTTTCGAGAAGAGCCGACCAGAATTCGTTGGGGGTTTTTGAGCGAGCGAACAGCAATTTGCCATCTCTGAAATTCATCGATTGCAATTTTTTTTCTGGCTGAAACCGCGAACCTCGTCGGCAGCAGATCATCGACAACCACCTCGACCCATTGGCCGAATCTCCAGAAGCGGAAGCGAAAAATGCCGGCGTACGGCTCCTTCGTCGACCATTCCTGGCGATCGGCGTCGGGTATGACACGGTCCAGCAGCTTCTGGTTGTGTGTCAACGCCGAGCACGCTGAAACGAACCAGCAATTACCGAGGATCCCCTAAATTTGAAGCAAGCATATTATATGGGGCGAAAAACTCGCGCAGTCGTCTCTCGCTCGCTGACTCACCTGCGTCACGTCGTTTGCCGAGGCGCCTTCGACGAACAAATGCGGATTCTCATGAAGCTCCTGCAATTAATTGACGATTCACATAATTGGCATCTGCCGACGCTTTTTCGAGTTTCAAATGTCCGCAGCTCAAAATTCTTATGAAAATAATTATTTCCTATTACCGTGTTGAATGAAGCTGATTTTTTGAATCTTCGAATAGAGTAGTTTCACGGGGCATGCGCCTTTAAACGTGAAACGTAAGAGAATGAACGATGGCATCGTTTAAAGGCGCATTCTCGTAAATCGACACCACTGAACTGAACACCTACCCCAGGTCTTTTCCAGACGATGTCGGAACTGCGTCGCTCATCCAAAAACAACGACTGATTCGTCGGCGGAAAAAGTGTGTCGACGAAGAGATTTCGCTTCGAGACGCACGTCTTCTTCAATCGCTCATAGTGCTGATTGCCGAATCGCCGCAAACGCTTCTCGGATCGAGTCATGCTCGCTGCAACACGGAACTGATCACGCGAACGCGAGGCGACGAACACAAAAACGCGAGGCGAAGAAACGAAAATCGAGTGGCGTCGACGAGAGCGGAGAGAGCGTGCGGGCCGAACAACGAGGAATTCGTTCGTCTCTCGATGACTCACTCGTTCATCCAACAGTTTTCATTCGACTAACTAAAAAAAACAAACGAGATGATTGATTTGAGGCAGTAGGGGCGGGTCTTCGACATTGCAGAATGACAGATATAAAATTCTCAAAGAATTGAGAATTGTTGGAAGATTGGAAAATATTGAAAGTGCTCTTCGAGCCATAACGAAGACCTTTGATTTGCCAATTTTTCCAATTTTTGTCAAGACTGCAAAAAAATGACGAAGAGAGCGAAAAAGTTCGAAAATTGAAAAATCGCATTTTTCGAAAAAAGATATCGTTCAAAAAAAACTAGAGTATTGGTCTCGCAGTGAATTTACAGTAATTATTTTTAGCGTCCAAAAAATCCAATTCAAATAAAATTTTCTAAAAAGGCTTCCAGCAATTTTGAGAGATAACGAATGAAAAAATATATTAGAAATGTCGATGTAGGCCGTTTTCAAATATCATCTTCTTCGTCTCAACTGGATCAGAATAATCAAACAACTTCAGAAATATCACGTCATTTAAACGATATTGACGAGAAAAAAACCAAAAAGTCACACGATAATCGTAATTGAAGGTTTTTTTTGTAGTTTTCATGAAAAGTTAAAAATTAGATAATATATGGATTCGAAGAGCATGTTCCTTTAAAAAATGGTCTCGAAACAAGAATATTGAAGAATGAAAATTACAATTTGAAAGGGAGTTGTCAAATTTTGATGCGGATGCTGAAAATATTTGAAAAAGTGATTTCAGCTTTCAATTTGCCTCTAGTATTTCAATTATTTCACTCCTGATTCGAATCACCAAAATTTGCACCAAAATTGGCACCATTGACCTTCTGTGCGATTTTTGCTCAATTTTTATTTATTTTCTTTTTACAAAAAAAAGTGAAAAGTTACATTAAATTTTCATTTTTTTTTATGAAAAAAAAGAGAAATTAAAATTTTTATTGTATGAGTTTTTTTTCCATTTTCGAAACCCGCAATTTACCAGACCCATTAAAAACTATAAGGCTTAGATTGAAAAAAAAACTGTATTTCGAGGAATACTATTAGGAACTGAAATTCGGGTTTGATTTGAGCTCTAAGCAAATTGTGCAAAATATTCAAAAAATTGGACAATATTGAAACGAAAAAGGAAATAAAACATTGGTTGGAATATTCGAATGTCGTTTTCATACGTCGCTTTTAAGTGGTGTAAATTAAGGGATTACAATGCTGAAGTAGTCTATTCGTCAATCGCGTTGAACGGTGTAAAGATCAAAAACTCAGAACACACACGTCGACGAAATATGGAATCCGGCTAGACGATGATGCGAACTGATTTGGTGATGTCAGTGAGGAAAAAAATGGCGACGGCGGCGCGCCCGCCGCGAAAATGACGAAAAAGAATGCAAAAAATGCACAGAATTGGAGTGTGTGTTATCAATTGAACTATTTCGATCGCATTCCGAGCCGGTAGGTCGATTTCGATTTGTATTTTGTGCGTGGGCGTCGTCGTGTCAGAATAAACAACAAATTGTGCACAAATCATGCATCAACACACACTCTTTATTGCAAATCGATATCGAATTTCAGCATATTTGACGGAAACGCATATAATTCGTTTCGAATTATTTGTCTTGTGGCGAAGAAATTTTTACGAGAGATTCGTTCGCGGTAAGACCATCTTTAAAGGTACATATTATGACAATGCAGGGAGAATTTAAAAAAAAAGAAATTATTTTTTTCTTTTTTTCTCTGCCCAATTAAAAAAATTCTCTTCTGCATTGGCCCATTAAGATATATTTCAGAGAAATTTAAAAAAAATGCAATTTTGAATGAATACAAGATTTGTTAAAATCTTCGTTTCGAGACACCCCCGATTTAAAGGCACATACGATTAGGTCTCGCCAATGTCTTCGTTATGCATTACAAATCTCAGCGCCAAGTCACACCTTGGAAAAATCCAGTGAAACCTTGTGTAAAACCATCATAAAATTTGTCGTACCAACATTTTTTCTTGGTGTCAAATGTCCGCAGCACAACAAATAATAAAGATTAATGAAACAACGGTAGCGAATAAATGATAAATGAAAGAATGAAATGAAAGAGAGAGAGAGACGGAAAGAGAGAGGCCCAACATCCATGTCAAGGACGAACAAATGAAAGCATGATTGCGATCGAATTGGAATAAAAATCAATCTCGACTTGATTATTTGTATGCGAGAGACGAAAAAAAAAGAAGAAGAAGACGATGGAAACGAAAGTGTATAGATATGCGTACGAATGTATTATCAATAAATCATTTGTCGATACACCATTATTTTTTGTCGGAAGAGGACGCACAGACAGTGCAACAGAAACGATGATGCGCGTATGCGGAGAATGTTCCAAATAAAGAATGAATTTTGCGGAAACCGCGTCCGAAACAATCTTGTTTGACTATACGACTTTCGGTTTTGTTTGTTTGTTTGTTTACCTGCGACGAATTGAGACATTCACGCTTCTTTTTAAAAAAAAATTTTAGTTTTTCGTGTTGCGTCAGTATTTGGAAAATGGCTTATTGTTAGGCCCTATATAATTCCACCTAAAACCGTTTTTTAGTGTCTTGTTTGATTGTCGACCAGAAATATCGTTTAAAATTCTTTAATTGCGAAATTTTAAAAAATTATTGGCTATGTGCCAATGCGTCTCGAGACGTCGAGAAGTGCGCAAGACTGCGTACATTGCATTATAGTGTACGCGCATTTAATATTCAGTCAACGATTAATTTAAATCGACACTGATTTCGCTAATTTGAAGACTCCGCCTCCCTTCACGCTGACAATAATTGTTTAAAAAAGAGAGCTAGAGAGCATTATTAAATGAGAGATTCTAGACAACAACATGCTACGTTAGAGCGCATTTGCACCTATTCGTTAACGGAGTCTGGGTAGAATTACGAAAAAATCTCGCTGAGAGGCATATAAAATTGTCTAAAACTATTGTTACAGGACTCGTGTCTCGAAACAAATATCGTTTTTAAAAAGAAAATATATTCCTAACAGTGATTTTCAAGCGGCATAGATCTTATATTGAACTGGACGGACTCCAAATAATTTTAAATATCAAAACAAATTTTTTGAATTTTTCAAAAGGGCGGAACATTGTGGTCCACCTAAAAAATACCATAGTTGATGACTTAATAAAATAGTTTGATGTCAGATTAATTTTGGTCGTAAAAAAGAAATCGGCAAATTTCAGCGAATTGGAGAGACATGATTCTCATGCCGCTGATTTTTACACTTTTTTCGGAAGGAAAATGCCATATTTTCCGGTTTGATTTTTTTCGATGAGGAAATGATAGCGAAAAGATAGGTAATTCGAAGAGAGTTTAAAAAAAATGTCTCGATGATGAAAATGTGATGATTCTACACGAATCGCTTCTCAAAACCCTGTGTCTTTTTCTAGATTCACTAAAGGGAACAGATTTTATCTTCACGTGCTTCTCAAAGGAGTTTCAGAATTAAAAATTGAAGTCAAAAGAAACCGGAATTAAAGTCGGGGGAGAAATGAAATTTTGAAGCGTTTGGATCCCTAAAAGTGTCGCATTTCGACCAATTATGAACCATCGCATTTCTTTTTTTGGGAGCGGTATTTCAAATAGAAATTCAGTTACCGTACTACGGATAACCTACGAATCAAACTCACCGCATGGTGACCGTTTTTTTTGCAATTGTAGTAGTTGGAACTAGCAAAAATAGATAGATTCAGGATATTCATCTGACTTCCATGTTCAGCAGTCATCCGAAATACCAATTTTCTTCTTAAAATGATGCCAAGTTCTTAACATAGTGTCCCACACTTGCCTACTATTGAACACCCTTTTATACCATTCCATTCATCACCGCTCGTCAATAAATACGGACGGGAATCGCCGAACGCTGAAACAACAATCGACATCAATAGCAGTGTTGGAAGTGACGTCGAAAACCTGTACATTATTTTCTAATTCAATTAGATATATTTGCCAAAAAAGGAACATTTCAAACATCCCGATTCAACTCAACGAAAAATGGAATATATTATTCGAAATGAGAGAAAGAGAATCAATGATTTCTTTTCGGCAAATTTTTATTGGATTTTGGAATTGCTCCGATAACGTTTCAAATGTGTTGATAAGCGAGTTTCGTTTCGACTCATTCCTCCAATCATGCGAACTTTACTAGTTGCCGTTTGTAAGCTTTTAACGCGATATTCAATCACACTCAAACTTGTGTTACAGTACTCGCGGCTACCGTATCGTGTCAAGACCTTAGCTGCGTTGACGCCAAATTCCAAGGATGTCAGTACACGCTGGCTCAACAGATTGGCCTCAATGACACGGTCTCGGCGCAACTCTTCAAAGACTACACTATTATGTACAACTACTTTTTGTACATGTGGGGAAAAACGCCGGGAAGTACGGTCGACATGCTTACAGTATGCAAGTAGGAAAAGAAATACCGATTTAAACAAAAGTGTGAAAATTTGAAGCGGTCTTGAAACATTCAATTTGTGTATGCATGGCAACAAAGGGTGTTTGGATGTGTCGAATTTGATCAAGAAAACTGATATCAATGATGTAAGTTCGCCAATTTTTTTTTCGAGTTTCCACAATCGAAATTTGAAATCTCAATGAATCCACGTGGCAAAATGAGTTACACCCAGTTTGATCTTATCATTCATTCCTAAACGCATAAAAATAAAATAATTTTGGTTATCATTCCTCAATGATTTCATTAAATATTTACACAGGAAATGCCAATATTTGTTTGAACCGCTTTTTTTTCTCATTGTTGGAAAATATCCAGGTTTCGTGGGCGTATTGTGTTTGATACAAAGTAGAAATTTTTGTTTTCACTTAACTGTCCCAAATTTGCTTTTTTTTCAGCATTTTCCATCTGAAAATAATTAACAATTGATTAAAATTATCGTTGTTTATCTAACTAGATAAAAAATTAATAAAAAACCGAAAAAGGTAGAAAAAGTTGGGAGAACGTGAAAAAAAACGAAAACGCACACGGAATACAGTAACCCGTTCGGTGTACTGCACAAAACGCAGGATTCCACGACACGAAAATACAACAAAAATCGCTTGCCGTAAAATTTTTACATTTATACAGAAAAAAGAAGAATAGTAATAATTTGTTCCTTTTCTTCTTAATTTTCTTTCTTGCAACATTGAAATTTCTTTTTATTTCGGCACACCACTCAGGTAAAAGAAAATCAATCCCATTCGAAGAAAAATGAAATATAAATTAACCTGTTTCGATTAAAAAAATAATTCGAATTCGATTAAGAAAACGTTTAAATTCGATTTGAAATCTCTTGGTTTCGATTCAAAAATCTTCGAAATCGATTGATTTATTTCTCATTCTCAATTTTGAAAAAAAAATCGAATTCGATTGAAATTTTGGAATAATTCGAAACAGATTAATTTACATTCGATTCTGATCGAAAAGAAATTATTTTCGAATCCGATTGATATTCATTTACCTGAGCAAAACATTTCATCCTCACTTTCTAAATAATTCGTCTTTTTCAGGCGTATGGTGTCGACGCCACTTACAAAACCTATCTGCAATTCAACTGCGGTCCAGGAATCAATAGTAATTTTCGATCAACTCAACAATTGGTGTAAAAATTTCCCAAATTTTAGCACTTCTTCATGAAGGTCTCACGTGCCCGCAGCGAGTAATTCAAAATAAACAGAATGTTCTTCAAGCTTGTGTCAAAACTTACGAGTTGAATGTTGCCAATGACGCGAAAAAAGGATGCAAGTAAGCATTTCGACTAATTTTTTTCAGAATATTTGTCACAATTTTGCAGATATGGTCAGGATTTGATGAATTGCTGGTCAGCGCCATTCGCGGTGGCGCCGTGCAGAAGGGAAGAAGGAATTGCCACGTGGTGGGCGTGTGAGGCGAATCGCGTCTTCGTCAAATCCACATTCCCGAGTTGCCAAAACACTTGCAGCGGTTAGGTTTTTGAATGTTAATTTATTTTTACGAATCGAACATTTAATGCTTCCATTTCAATAGTCCACTTGGGTCTCGTATGGAAAAATTGTTACAAAATTGTTAGGATCAATTTTTGCGTTTTCTAATCCGTTATTCTAATAACGCATAACATTAATTGCAATTAAAAACCGCCCCTAGCAACACGAATGTTCAAAATATCTTACCATAACGATAGTTCAATAAAAATTTAAATTTTGAAATCTGACAACCTTCCTTGTGAGGATTATTGCAGAAACAACACGTTTAAATATATCTCACTTTTTTTCTAATTTTTACGTATATTTAATTCCGTTCAATTTTTCATTTTTTCAGAAAAGTTTGGCCCATTCAGTGGCGAGCATGCTAATTATCTCAGCACTCACCACAAAATCGTTGACGGCGAGCATTGGTTCAAAATTTCGGACCGCGTTGAATTGCAAAATGGAAAATTGGTGACTATCGAGGGAGAATGGCTCAAATAAATTGTTTTTTTTTAATTACAAATATAATATCATAAATTTATAACATATGTTTTCATGGAAAAATACACTCGTATTTGATTTTTTTAGAAAAAAATGTTTGTTATTCTTGATTATTTTAGGCTAATAACAGAATTTCTTAATTATTAAAACCAATAATTAATAAATATGGAAATTTAACATATTTCCTTTTTGACATTTTCAAACGAAACCAGTTCAATATTTAATTTCACAATCAGAATTTGAACTGCCGCGCGTTCTTGTTAAAGGCGCATGCATTTATCGAGTGTCTGTCACTCGCAGCGAAGAGCTACTTATCGAACCGTCGATGATTTTTTAATTTTCAAATTTTTCATGGATTTTTGGCTCTTTTTCAGTTTAAAGCATTTAAAAGTTGTTCTTTTTAAGTGAATTATTCAAATTATTAATTGTGAATAAAATAAAATGTTATAATAAAAACTTTAAGCGTTAATAAGAATGATTTTGAAGCAAGATTTTCTTTTCTTCCGAATTTTTTTGCTCTTTTATTAACGCGTTTTCATTAAAAAATGACACTGTTAATACTGAACGTCGAAATTTAACTTTCAGGTAATATGTCGCTCTCCAGAACGACTTTGTTGCCATTCGTGAAGCGTCAAACAATCTTTTTGACGTACCGTGGTTACAGCAGCACACAAGGTTTAAAATTAAACGCGATTCTTGAAAAAATAATTATATCACACTCAGATGCTGATCTCGTCGTTATTGGAGGAGGACCAGGAGGCTATGTTGCCGCTATTAAGGCTGCTCAGCTTGGAATGAAGGTGAATTTAATACATTTTTTAAAAGTTATCAATGAATGCAATATTGAAGACCGTGTGCGTTGAGAAGAACCCAACACTTGGTGGAACTTGCCTTAATGTTGGATGCATTCCATCAAAAGCCCTTTTGAACAATTCCCACTACTTACATTTGGCTCAACACGATTTCAAAAACAGAGGTTTGTTCGGTTTGATTGTTCTTTAGAGTATTATTTGATATTTAAGGAATTGACTGCACCGCAACATTGAATTTGCCAAAAATGATGGAAGCCAAGGCCAACTCTGTTAAGGCTCTTACTGGAGGTACAATTTTTAAATTTTAAGAATTTTATGAGCTTTCAGATGCTTTGCATTTTTTTCTTCGTCAAAATTAATTTTTAGGAATCAAACAGCTTTTCAAGGCCAACAAAGTCGGACATGTTGAAGGATTCGGAACTATTACTGGACCGAACACCGTTCAAGCTAAGAAAAACGATGGCTCGATCGAAACCATCAATACCAGAAACATTTTGATCGCTTCGGGATCTGAAGTCACCCCATTCCCAGGAATCACCATTGATGAGCAACAAATTGTCTCGTCGACTGGAGCTTTGTCTCTTGCTCAAGTTCCAAAGAAAATGGTTGTGATTGGAGCTGGTGTCATCGGACTTGAGTTGGGATCTGTCTGGCAGCGTCTCGGAGCCGAAGTCACCGCCGTCGAGTTCCTCGGACACGTCGGAGGAATGGGAATTGACGGAGAAGTTTCCAAGACATTCCAGCGAACCCTTACCAAGCAAGGATTTAAATTCCTTCTTAACACCAAGGTAATCTTATTAATCATAGGTTGGTATTTTTATTTTTAAGTATTTCTTAGGTTTTGGGAGCTACCAAAAATGGATCCAACATCACTGTCGAAGTTGAAGGTGCCAAGGATGGAAAGAAGCAGACTGTGAGCATTTTCAATTATTTTTCGTTTCCAATTTGGCCATTTTTCAGTTGGAATGTGATACTCTTTTGGTTTCGGTTGGACGTCGCCCATACACCGAGGGACTCGGACTCTCGAATGTCCAAATCGATTTAGACAACCGCGGTAGAATTCCAGTCAATGAAAGATTCCAGACTAAGGTAAAAGACCATATTAAATTGAAATCATCGGGAAAACGTCAATTGAACTACAATCTATTTGATGATAACAGGCATTCAAAAATTAGAACAATCCGGCGTCTTAAAATTCGAATAAATTGAAATCACTTTTTTTTTTAAATTAAAATGATTTTAGCGTAAAAAGACAAAGTCAATAAAGATAAAATAATAATTTTAAAAAATACATTTAAAATGCTATTTTTTCTGGTTTACGAACGTGATACAACGGGAAAATTCAATTTCAGGTTCCATCTATTTTCGCTATTGGTGATGTTATCGAGGGACCAATGCTTGCTCACAAGGCTGAAGACGAAGGTAAAAAAAACTCCATCTCTTATTTATATGAGTTTTTTTTTAGGAATCCTTTGCGTTGAAGGAATTGCTGGTGGACCAGTGCACATTGACTACAACTGCATCCCATCGGTTGTCTACACACATCCAGAAGTCGCCTGGGTTGGAAAGGCTGAAGAGCAACTCAAACAAGAGGTATTTTTTATCGGAAAAAAATTGATATGGTTTTTGATCATTTTTTCTTATTTTAGGGAATTGCATACAAGATTGGAAAATTCCCATTCGTTGCAAACTCACGTGCCAAGACCAACAACGATCAGGAAGGATTTGTGAAGGTTCTTGCTGATAAGCAGACCGACAGAATGCTTGGTGTGCACATTATTGGACCGGTATTTTTGAATTATTGAGAATTAAAAAATTTTCGAGTATGGTACTTTAGAATGCTGGAGAAATGATTGCTGAAGCAACGTTAGCCTTGGAATATGGAGCATCTGCCGAAGATGTTGCTCGCGTCTGCCATCCACATCCAGTAAGTTTAAAAAAAAAACATAGGAAATCCGACAAGTTGAAAAAAACACACACAAAAATTTCTTATTGAAATTGACTAAAAAATAAAGACAATAAAATTGTTTCATTTTTCGCTTTGGTCTCGTACGAATTCTTTTTATTATCCATATTTTTGGAATTTTTGGATTTTTAAAATAAAAATTAAGAAACGAACATATTTTTACTAGATTCACCTGTAGCCATTTTAAAATTACATTTTTTTCATTCCTACATTAAAAAATGTTGTAATTCTTAACATGATTTAGGTCCATTACTTATATTAAAAACACAAAGCTGAATACTTTTGAAAAATTCACTTGCGTTCGAAAATTATTTGGCGGACATTATGACCTCAGTTTCTGATTCGCCGCGTTTCAAAAATCGAATAAAATTAGAATCTTTTGATTTGAGTTAATTTAATTGAAAGGAATCATGAAAACACACTAATTAAATTGTTTCGATGTATGTCAATTAATTTCAACGGTATTTTTTTTGTATTTCGCATTCGAATTGGATTACTCTTAAAAACTCGATCGAAACAACCTTGAGAATTGAATCTAGTTTGAACAATGGGAATTAGCGTTCCAGCCGGTGGTGGCGAATCAAGAAGCTATTCAAATTGTTTGTATTGTCAGAGAAAAATGTAATGTTATGGTTTTGTCATGATCATTGAGATGTTAAATTGATTCTCAACTTTCTCTTAATTTGTTGACCAGAATCGCCGGTTTTTTGGCATTTTTTAGAACATTGGGCGGATAACTCAAGTTTAAACAGCGCAAAAAACAATGAACAATTGTTCAAGAATATATATTGTGTTTCTTACGATCAACATGTGATGTTCAAATTTTTAAAGATAACGATATAAAAAACACCAACTAAACTTAAGTGTGAGAAAATGGTATTATCATGACCTTTTTTCAACGAATAATGCTTTTTGGCTGCCATTATGAGCAATTAAAAATCAATTAAGGTCAATCTCGTAGTATAGACACCCCAAACAATGATTTTTTCCATTGAACAAATGGTTTTTGATATTTTTGCCCTAATACGCTTCTCGAATGTTTAAAGTAAGCCGGTTTAGCCAATATATGCAAACGCGCATTTTTTCCTCCTCAAACTGACGCTTCATTCTTTTGTTCATCGATGAAGGTTTTTTCTCTACGATGCTGCTGAAATTGGGTGTATAAATAGATAGAATTTTTCGACGTGGTTTCATTTTGTCAATTTTTTGAAGGCCAATAGCTATCTGACATTTTGAAAAGTTCCTTATTTCGTTCGAAAATCCTTGAAATGAAAAGAAGACAAAAAATGGTCGGATTTCCTGAGGTCGTGTTGATATCGGTGGGGGTTGACACAATCGTCGTGTTAAACGTGATTTATATTTGGCATTCTGTGATCTTTTACCCAATTTGGTTTCTCATTTCTATCTCATCTTTTTTTTCAGACACTGTCCGAAGCATTCAGGGAAGCAAATTTGTCGGCGTATTGCGGAAAAGCTATTAACAGCATCTAAATCGGTTCTAAAAAAAATGCTTTTTTTTTGTTTGATTTCTCTTGAATTCCGTTTTGCACATTTGACGTAGTCGATCGATTTTTTCTTGATCATCTCGGTAGTAGGAAATGAGAGTCACTTTTATTATTATTTTTCTTCGAAAATTGTATTTTTATCATGTAGTAATGAAGTCACGCCCACTTTTTTCTTCTATGTCTATACGCATGTGTTTGTGTGTGTGTGTGTTTTAATTTGTTATGAAGGTTCGAACCGGAATCGACTCGCTTCATGATTGAATTGACCATTTCTCGAGATGGTAAGTGTAAATTGGCAAAAAATTCCGGTTCGATTTTTTTTCAACCTCGTCTCCTTCCCGTACTCCCGATGTAACCACTCTAACTTCGCCGGAACAGTTTTTATTCAATTTTCTTTTTTGTTTTTTTTTCAGATTTTAAACAATCAAATTAATTATTTTGGCCGGATTCGAATATGATAGCGGCTACTGTACTACTCTTTGGTGTTTTGGGTCTCGTGACGACACAAAGTGTCGAACAAGCAACCATTTTTATTAATCAGTGAGTGTGTCCGCGTCTATAATGGATAAGTGGCTTCTGGCGTTCTTTTGTTAATGTGATTAGGAATCCAAAATGGATTACAGGACGGACTGTAATGTTTCGAAGATGTGTATGTTCAAGCCACGCGGCTGCAATCCCAATTTGGATTGCACATTGGGAGTGGTTCTCGAGACGATCGGGCCGAATAAACTGAAGGTTCAAATGGTTGCACAGGTTGAGCAAAAATCGGCATTTGAAATTTCATGAGCCAATTTCAGACGATCATTCCTCCTGTTCAACAACAATATGTGGCCATCGCATTCTCACATGATACAATTATGGTTCGTATTTTAATTAATTAATTTGAAATATCAGATGATCGCATTTGCTATGAATTTCAACAATATCATCTCGTTTGTTTTCTTCCTTTCTAGGGAGACGATAGTGTGACGGAATGTGTTCTCAGTGATATGGGACAATTGGTCGGATATGAGCCGGAAGTTTTCCTTTCGTACAACAAAGGGAAATCGAATGATCGAGTGTTTATGAATGATGATGAGCATGCGATTGTGTTCACGGATCTTCGCGGTGAAGTCGTCGACGGTCGAGTCGCTTGCGAGTTTGTCGAGCAAATCGTGCCGCAAATCGACAACAAAAATGGATTGATTTGGAATCTCAATAAGGATTATTATTTGATGGCGGCGACCGGAAGTGCCCAACCGGATGGTGGGTTTTAATTCGCATTTTCGACTGTAATTTTAGCTTTCCAATTTCAGAAATTAACACTAGCGGTTAATGAAAACAAAAAACAAAATATCCATTATTTTCGAAACAGTATTGTTGAGAAATGACAAATGTATCCAGGTGTCGTGGGATCCTGCGTTTTGTACGCAATGCTAAGAGACAGTTACCGTAATCCTCGCAGCGATTTACGGAGATTTTTTTAAAAATTTTCTTTCAATTTTTTTGCTGAATTTTCTAATTTTCTTTAGAAATCTTATATTTAAAACCTGTAGAAACCGAGTTTAATTATTTATTTTTCAGAATATGCACTTTTCCATTTGTCTAGTTGAGTTGGGAATTATTGTGAAGATTTTGACGCTCTAAAAATTATTTTGAAAATGAAGAATACAAAAACAAGATAATAGAAACGCATACAAAGAGCAAAACACGATTAAATAATTTTATTAACGACAAAAATGATTTCTTTTTAATCTCTGCTGTTTTTACCAAAAAAATATCGTTTAAAAGTGCTTATTCTGCTAAATACATTATTAAACTCGGTTTCTGCAAAATTTAAAAATTTAAATTAAAAAATTTCGAAAGAAAATTAAAACATTGAACGAAAAATAAAAAAAAATGACTATGCGAAATTTAAAAAAAAAGTCTCCGTAAATCGCTGCGAGGATTACGGTAACTGTCTCTTAGCATTGCGTACAAAACGCAGGATCCTACGACACCTGGATACATTTGTCATTTTTCAACAATAATTCCCATTTTTGAAATAATTTATTATGAAATCAAAGTATTTTAATATTTTTATGTTCTAATGAGCGGGACCATAGCGGAATCAGAGAAACCCCGCAATATTAGCACAGATTTTGGAATATTTAGGCGTAAACTATAATGCAAGTCCGCAGAATGCACCCGACGTGTTTGCACAAGTTTTGTGTTTTATTGTCGGCATCGCGCGACTTTGGAAAATCGGCAAAATGCCAAAAAAAACAATGATAGCGGTCTTGACGCAAAACTAAAAATGTAGATACTACCTAAGCATACGAATAGGTTGAAGGTGTACAGCTCATACTCAGACCGACGTCTCACTGAATAATTTTGGCATTTAGCCAATTTTCCGAAGTTTCGCGATCCCGAAAATATTAGAATCGCAGAAAAACGAACACTCTGTGCAGGCCTGCGTCAAGATTCTGTATTACGGTACCCACATTTCCACTGTTTAATTTAAAATTTGAATTACCGCTTCAAAAAATATATGACATCGAACTCTGCGGATTGCATTTTAATTTACGCCAAATTTCTATTGCAAAGTGTACTCAGAAGTTTCGAGATTTTCTGAGAACAAAATTATTCAACAATTTCCACATGCCGTAAATCGTTCCAATATTACATTATTTTCTTTCTTCAAATATATTCAAATTTTCAGAGGTCAATGCACATGAGATGAACCACGAATCGCACTTCTTCCCGATGACCTCAACCTCGCAATTCAACCCATCAACATTTGCTAACAACGTAATCCTTCAATTAAACCCCCCAAAATTTCCACTGAAATTCGTTTCAGTTTACTCATCCAGCCAATTTTGTGCCAAAAATCGACATTTCGAATCGCGCTGAGAAGCGTCCACTTCGTCCAACCACTCCGCCAACAGCAACGTCAGCCTGCTCGTCGATTTTCCTTATTTTTGGCTTTATTTTTGCACTTTTTCACTGATCACTTTCGAAATAAATTGTACGGGTTGCTAATGAATAATTATGAAAGCGATGATGGATTTTGGTTGGCGTCAAAAGTCAAAACTAAAAATTGAGGCAACTTTAATGAAACATTAAATGCCGACTATTTATTCGTCGTTTGGGCCTCCCGCGCATCAGTGGCAACCGTCTCGTTGCTTCCGATTCAGTTGTAATCCGCGTGTAATACAAAAAATACACACGATTAAAGGGGGGAGGTGGTGGCTAAGTTCTCATTGTACATTAGTATCAGTTCAAGTTTTCTTTTTGCCCGCCGGCGAATCAAAACAAATTATTTCTAATTGAGTTTTTTTTGCCGTCGTTTGCTCGCCGATATGAGCAAGCCTTTTATGGAAGTCAATTGATGGGCTCTTTGCAAATCGTTTGCTTCGGTTTTCTTTGAAAACTTTTCTATCCAAATTATTCAATTTTTGTTTTTTTTGTTGGAATCAGCCCCTTTTTGACCAATTTGAATCGTTCTCTTTAAATATGTATCGAAATTGTTTCGTCACAGCATTAAAACCTTTTGTACTATGTCTTTTCGTGGTAGGACCAATTGATGAAAAGCACGAAGCTAGAGGCCCAAAACTAAAAATGTCGAGTATTCGATCGAGCATACAATTCTGCTTTTAACGTTGCCGGTTTCTTTTCGATCTATCAACTTTGTGAGGTGTTAAGATCTCAAAAATTGCATTTTCTTTTAACTCGGTCAAAAATGGTCCGATCGGGCCAAAAAAAAATTGGGCTGGGCTTTCAAAAAAATGAGTATTCAAAAAAAAATTTGTGGAAAAATGAGTAATGTGAAAACACATAAAACCATAAATTCGCCAAGAATACACGGAAAAAAATTGTTTTTAATAATTATAAATATTTTTCAGTTGAGATTACTGTAGCGAGATGTTCGACTCGGTGTACGCACAAAATACATAGGACATCGCTGCAGTTTTTCAGATTCCTCATTTTTCCACAATACCATCGCGCCCAATTCCAAATGGCGCGGGTTTAAATGAAAATAGTGTAAATTTGAACATATGAAGACTCTGCAAAATATCGAATTACGTTCTGTAAAAAAAAAGCAAATTAAAATTGTGCCATCAAATAAAAATGGCATAGCCATTGCCGATTTCTAGCGGAGATTTCGAGAAGTCTAAAGAAGATCGATCCGCAATTTTAGTTCTCTACTGAAATTGCAAAAATTGTCAAAATTGGATACCGGCCAACTATTATTATTATTGTTCTCATTCATCAAAAATGAATGACCGTAAAAGAAGTATTATTACTATTTTTGAGTTGCAAAAATTTCCATTTTGCCCCATCAGAATGCAACTCGCCAAATACTATTCCTATTGGTTCGTATCTAAAATGGAAATATTGAACTGAATTTTATTTTAACTCAGATGTAATTAGCAGAAAAGCCCCCAGAAAAATAATGCGAGTTTAATGAAAGCAAAAAATCGACGTCCGACGACTGATGTAGATTTACGCGTGCACATTTCGAAGTGGTCTCGCCACGCGTAAATTCTTATTTTGAAAATTCCCGTTTCATTTTTCTTAATGATTATTCGATTTTCTTGAATAATTAATTTCGCTGAAATCAAAAATTAACGGAATGACCTCCAAATTGCAAGATGACCAGTCAGTCCGTGCGAGACCATAGCGAAGAAGCATGCACGTAAATCAACTCAGCTGAAAAATCGAATAAAAAGCAGAAATTGTGAAAAATATTTTAAAGGCAAATTTTATTATCATTTTTGCGTTGTTTAAAAATTTAATAATTGTTCGAATACGCGAAAAGCTGCTAAGAGTTCTGGATGATATTGTAGGGTTGTTGGCACACACTCGGTTTCGATTGACCATACTGTAACCTGAGCATAAATGTTGCCCCGCGGGGCTCATCTTGTCTTGTTCTTGCGCTTCTTCTTCTTCTCAAATAATGAATGCTCGCGTTTTGCTTGTTCACACAACCGCCACAAGTACACACACATACACACACACACATACAGACAGAGCCCACCCACCCCAAACACTACCGTTTTTTTTTAGTTTATTCGGGGTTATGTTGCATTTTGTTGCACGTTTTTTTTGACGTGTTGTTGATCAAAAAGATTTTCATGGTATTTTGTTTCAGAGCGAACTTGCGCGATTCCGATCGAACGACATGGCGAGTCAGGTCGGCGCGATCACCTCGGTCAACGCCCTGATTTCCAGGGTTTTTGTGCAGCCGAAGGGTGACCTGGTAAGGCAGTTTTTGGGATGAATCGAAAATTAATTTGAATTGATTCAATGCGGGAAATGAAAAACCAAAAACCGTGTTGGTGGTGACATCGCGGTTTGTAGATCTCGCAATTTTTTTAATCATTGTGCGAATGGCCTTCATCAATTTTTAAAAAATCAGAATTTGAAGGATTTGAAACTTTAGAAAAAAAATGTAATAATACAACAATTTTTTATTTTAATCACAAAAATTTTTTGGTAGTAAAATTCTATTTCTTTTTTAGGGAACTGATAATATGTATAGATAATGTAGATATTCAATTCGCCCTTCAAGCGGTTGCTGTTCATAGAAATCAATAATGTAAAATCTTGGATGAGTGCTGAGGAAGCTCTCGAGTGCGCGCTCATTTACGCCATCTTCAACAAGTTTTTGTTGTTCAACAAAACGCAAATACATATAATGTGTATGATACTCTGTTCTAATGAACACATCAAGAATAAAAATGGGGGGAATGACTCAGCGATTCGATGGGGACCCTTGGGACCAACGGCGAAACATTTTGGAACGATCAGTGGAAGCATTGAACTCGGTCAAAACAAAGGTCGTCCACGGTTTAGTCCGACTGGCTAAATTGAGGGCGATGTGTAATTGGAGCGTCGTACTCGTTGGGTAAAAACAAAGTTTTTCGGAACCCCCTTGTAAACCAAAACCAACTCAAAGAGGAATTATAGCATTTCAAAATTGTTTTGATCTACTCGAACTTGCTCGTTTCATTTTTAGACGGATCGCCTCAATTCCCGCATAACGGTATGCATTCTGGCGGTGTCGTCGGTGTTGATGATGTCGACGCACTTCTTCGGCGATCCGATCACTTGCTGGACACCGGCGCAATTCACCAAACAATGGGTCGATTTTGTGAATCAGTATTGCTATGTGCACGGCACTTATTTCGCGCCGTTCACCGAACAATTATCGTTTGAAGACGATGAGAGGTGGTGGCAATTCTAGACGATCATCGATCTTGAATAACCATATTCTTCAGAAAGAAGGCCACCATTCAATACTACCAATGGGTTCCATACATTCTCGCCGTGCAGGCCGTCTTTTTCTATTTGCCGCGATTCATGTGGAAGTCGATGATCGCCTACAGCGGCTATGATCTGGCTGGAGCGGTGAAGTACGTCGATCGATTCTGGAATTCGATTAGAGATCAGGATGCCGCGTTCAAAAGTGAGAGATAAAAGAGCAACGAGATGAAACGTTTTTGGTTCAGCGCGTCTTGCTCGTTTCGAAGGCCAAGCGGCGGTCTACATTTGGGAAGGCTTGCGTCTTGCGAGAATGAAGCGAAGCCGTGATATGGCCTTGTTCTACACACTGGCGACCGTCATTCAATTCATCAACGCCTGGATTCAATTCTACATCATCAACTCGCTCTTGGACTCTCCCACCTACACCTTCTGGGGCCCTGGACTCTTGTCGGACATTCTCCAAGGAAACGACTGGCAGACAACCGGACATTTTCCACGAGTGGTTCACTGCGATTTCAACCGGCGACGAACCGCCAGCGTCCAATTGGACACCGTCCTTTGTGTGCTCACTTACAATATCTACTACGAGAAGCTTTTGCTGTTCCTTTGGTTCTGGTTCGCCGTCGTCGCCATCTGGTCGACAATCAACTCGATGGCCTGGATTTATCGGCTTTGCTCAACAGTGAAGGTAAAATGAGGAAGACGCTTTGAAAAAAAAAATGAATTTGCGATTATTTGAAGACCCAAAAAATGATTGAGAATTATTTGGGAACCGCTCCGGTCAAAGCTCCGGTGTCGGACGAGGTGTTCTTCCGCGCCCTCGGAACTGACGGAATGTTCGTTATGCAGCAGATGGCGCTGAATCTAGGAGATATTCCAGCAAGGTATGTATAGCTTCTCAGAATATCTATCTCGAACCCACAACAACCAGTTTCGAAATCGCTTCCGATTGATTGTACTTTTCAATTTTTTTTCTCGAATTCATAGACTTCTCCTCGATTCATTGAACTCACTCTCCCTCCCCACATTTTTTTGTTGGTTGAAATTCTCGCGCCAACACGCGCCAAATTGTCCATGACCATTGACACGGTGCCCCCCACCCTCTTGATCAACGAGTCTGTGTCCGATATGCATCTTTGAATAGCTGCTAGTTGACTTGTTAGTTAGCAGCGGCAGAAAAAAGCGATAAAATCGAATCCGTCTCATGGATCTTTCAATCGAATTGTTGCAGTTATTTGACAATTGCGATGCGCAACATTTGCCCGAGCTACCTCGATACCGACGACGATTATGATGAGAACACACCGCTCACGATTGTCAAGACTGTCCGGAATACATAATTGTTCAATAGATTGCTTTTTCTTTCACAACGTGGCATTCTTGTCACGAACTTCAATTTCTCTTCTGTAATTCATCTAGAAGACTTTCTCGTTCATTGTTGTATGTGCTGATGGTATTGTGTGTGCGTGTGTTGTGATAAAGCTTCTCAATCAGGTTTTCACATTCAAATTTTTGGCACCATAAAATGTCACTATTCCGGTTTAATCGCAACTCGAGATCTTTCGCGACTTTACAAAAACCAGTAGACATTTATCGCGAATTGTGAAAGTTCAAACAAAACCTGGTAGTTATGTTTCACTCAAGTAATAACTATTCAATTGAACGCATAATTTCGCGGCTTATTGGTTTCAGGAATTGGAAGAAAATTGGATGCTTCAGAAGGAACAATCAAGACAATATTGTCTGGGGGATCTCGAAAAACAAATTTTGAACAATTTGAACATCTTGATGACGAACAATCAAATTAAAAAAAATTGTGAAGAGTCGTATTAAAAATGTTTTTTAAACTTAATCGAATTTAAATTATTTTTTTTTCAATTTTCTACGTACACATAAATCACGTGATTTATACATATTGTCGGAGTCAAGCGACTTGACGAAATTTAAAAATTAATTGGCTATGCGTCTCGAGGCAGTGAGAAGCACGCGATATTGCGTACGTTGCATTACATCGTACGCGCATTTAATATTCAGTCAACGATTAATTTAAATCTACATTGATTTTGTAAATTTGAAGGCAATCGTCGACCATAAATAGATATCAATATTTAATTGATTAAAACTTTCTTTACATAATGAAATGAGGTGATGGATAGAAAGAAAATAACTCGTCGGCACGAGATCACATTTAAAGGTGCATAGCCGTATTTTTCTGTCTTCTCCACCAATTTTGATAATTATTTTTGACAGATTTTCAATTTTTTAAAAAATTAATTACTCATCAGTCGAATTCGCTAATTATTTTTAGTTCCTTTTATGAGATGCACAATTGTCACGTCTTCTGGCTCCATTTCGCAGGGTTCCCCCATTTAGCTAGGTGGTGCAAAAGGCGTTTATCAGAAATTCCCTTTTCCATTGGTTTTCTCAAATAATATTGAGCCAAACAGTGACAATTTGCCATTGAAAAAACTTTCGATTCCCAAAAGCTTCTCGCCATTAGCGAAAAACCGCTACATCATACTCAAATTTGTTTTCACTTTACGGTCATTTCAAATTATTGTGTCAACCTTGAATTCTCCCTTAGTTCGTGAAACTTTTCGAAGAAATGGAAAATTAATATCGCGAGCGAAAACAAAACCAAAAAAAAAGAAGAAGAAGGAGAAGCGGAGAATGTCACGGAAATCGATTGGGGAAAAAATCGCCCAACAATTGAGCGTCAAAAAATTCGATAGCTTATCGCGATTATTGTCACTTTTTGCTTGGTAATTATTCTCGGTCCGGTCGATGAGGTGCGCGAGATTCGATTTCAAACCTCACACCATGTGTGTGAGCGCGTCACTTTCGGTTCGGTTTCGCTTATGCCCTCAAATTGAGGTCATCCGCATGGTATGTGTCAATGCAGTAAAAAACCAAACGATTTTCGCCTCGTTTTGTGGGCGGAGACGAGTGTCGGCTTCTGCGTGATGGCTTCGGCTACAACTGCTTCTACGGAGGTGACGACGGACGGACGGACGAGAAAAGCGACCACGGCGAGAAATCTTGGAAAACGAGGCGGGCGGCGAGGAGAGAGGGGGGGGGGCGGAGGAATTGGATGCCGTTTGCCGGCATTCGACCCAAAACGCGTATCGATGAACTGGCCATCATCGTGTCTCGTTTTCGCTTTTTTACACATTTTTTATCAATTACCGCCAATCGATGCAGAGCAGATTGTGCAATTGCAACAACAGCAGGCGTTCTGCTTCAAAGGTTTGTTCATCACTTCAGAAGCACGTCAGTCTCAAAAATCCGTTTCTATCCTTTCAAACATTCATTTAAAAAGAGCATCTTGAAGATATATTAGGACAATCGAATGTTTTTGTCGCGGTAATTCAAATTTCGATTCAAAACAATGGTGTATCCTATTGCATTATTGCCTGTTTATTAAAATCACTATAATTTTGAAATTATCGAGGCTGCTAGATTTTTTTGTGATAGCGATAGTCTATTTCTGAGATTCAAAATATTATAATCATAAAAAATGGCGAGCATCCTGTGTAGATTTACGGTGAGTTTGATTAGCTGCAAACAATTTTGACTTGAAAATACACCTCACATGCCTCTTGCAAAACGGTACCATTATTAATCACTAATTCCGATCGAGCTGAAAAAAAAATCATTCGATATTATTCCAGAATCGTTCTTCCAATGAAATTGTTTGATTTTTTTTAAATTAGAGCTCACATATCGAAATTTCTGTTTTATCAATTTTTTAACAAAATAGATGTGAAATTCATTTTTTTCCGCGACTTCAGAAAATTGGCGAAATGCCAAAAACAACAATGACAGTGGTCTTGGCGCAAAATGAAATGGTTAGAATTTTTTAAAGATTATGGGTAGGTTAAAGACGCACACCTTCGCAGCAAAACCTCTTGCTACATTTTCTGACATATAGTTTTCCACTGTCGGCACAGGAAGAGCGATTTCTTAATCAAAAAAGGATATCTCCGTCTACCAAAGTCACACAATCTAATACTACTCTCACAACTAAATTCCTCGACGTTTCGACATCGCGATTTTCAGAGCATATCAATGCAATCCATTTTCCCGCCATTATATGAAGCCGTCTTTCAGAATCTCACCGAATCGTATTTGACGATTCTTGATTCATTGTGTATATTTTACGCAATAATCCACCCACACAATTTCCCGTCTCATAATTCATAATAAGGGTTTTGTGTGTTCCATCCATCAATTATTAGTTCTGCGATCTTGCCAATTTACTATTCACAACATCTCGGTCGCGCAAGTTTCAATTCGCCGTCGTTCGGCCGCTTCTCCTTCGTTTTTTTTCTATATTTGGAAGTACTTGAACAATGTTTGCCTACGGTTTTGCCTAGTACATCCAACGCGTGCGCGTGCTTTTTTTTTGCAAATTTATGCAAATTGCCGGCGGCCGCTTTTGCGATTAGTCTCGATCATCGAAACCCGTTCATTATATCATCGAATTTTTTGTGATGCGCAAAAATTTATGAATTATTATGAACAGTCGAGAACTGGAATTCGATGGGGGAGGGGGGGGGGTGCGACTGATTGGATTTGGGCGTGGATTTATTGGAAAATTTAATGCGTGATTGTCATGAGAACCAAAAAAACTGCATTATAGGAATGGAAAGAAAGCCTGCTTGAAAGGAAAAAAATCGAGAATTTATTGTTTTTAGATGGAAAACTTTTTAAAACTGTGAAGAGCACTGAAATTTCAATTTCAGATATCGATGAGGACATTTGTCCACAAAGGGAAGGCTTCGACTCTGAATGCGATCGACGGTGCGCTCAGCTTTATCCTATGAGGATATCCAGTGGCTGCCGCACACGATCTTCTGGAACATTGCTATCATTCTTCGGTATTCGATCGTTTGTGTGCACTTGCCATTTGGCGAATATTGCTTGCGCCAATATCCAATTCGCCATGCACCCATTTCACATGGCTGTTGTTCAACAGCATTCGTATTTGACATCGCTTGCCAATGGCGAGCAAACGTGTGATCAGGTAACATTTTTTTAATATTATGATTATATATATATAAATTTGATATTATATACATAAATAAATTAAATTTAAATATTAGCGATAATATTGCTAGTAATTAAGTGAAAAATTTTATTTCATTATGCTTTATTTACTTCAATAAAAATGTTGATTAAAATTCTGGAAATGGAATCGCTCAAACGATGCTCCACGTGAACACAAATTTCTGCAGTTTAACGTAAATTGTTCCTTTTTCTTTTCATTCGTTTTTTTGTGATTTACGCGGTTCTTTCAAAATTTGATTGATAAAATTCAAAAATTTAAAGAAAAATGAAGAAAAATTTGAAACGAATTGCAAATGAAAAAAATTTCCAGCACAAACTATGTATCTTTATTGATTTGATAATCTTGATACAGAACTATTTTTTGTTTTTTTTTTAGATTTTAACTTTTAGGGCTATAAGTATGGCAATTTATATAAATTAAAGATTATCAATTGTCTAATTAGGTACATTTTTTTCAGATTTCGAATACAGCGCAGCGGCTCACATGTCGCGACAACTTCCAACCGCCCAACTGCAATTGGCGACTTTCCAAAGAGTTCGAATGGTTCAGTGCGCAGCCTAATGGAGGTCCGATGCCCGGCGAGGCGCCAGGTATGATCGTTGATGAGATTAGTTTTGAGTGATCATCACTAATCCGCACGAGTCGCACTTACTGTCTTGACGAGGTCAATTTATGCATGGGCGAAAAATGGTCGGTGAAAGCGATTAGCCGACAATTGACCCATCGCTATTCCGGACCGAATCAACAATGAACCGCAACAAGGGTTTAAACACGATTTTCTGTTGAATAATTATGGTTTTCTTTGCGAATAATTTAAGCTTTCAAATGACCCAAATTATCGGAATTCAGCCGAAATTTTATCAAATTTTACAGTTATTTTTCAAAATTAATCAACCACCTGGTGAAAATATTTTTTTTCAATCATCTTTTTTTCGACAAAAAAATGCCAGACATTTTTATCAAATTAATGTGCTTTGTGATCTGAACTTTCTTTTTCTATTGCTTTTACCTGGTACATTAAGCTTGGATCAAATTAAATCTCCTTTGAATCGGTCGAACAATGTTTTAAACACAAAATGCGCGTAATCATGTTAACAATGAAAATCAAAATGTTTGTTTTCCGGTATACACTTTTCTTCATCAAAGGAATTATTCCTCAAAAATCTTTCAATATAGCTTCTCAAAAAAAAAATCGCAACAACATATTGCAATTAAATCTATACTAGAGACAATTAAAGCAAAAACACATGATTTTCTTTTCAGTGGGTCTTTACCTCGCCGGATCTAGTCAATCAGGCGCCACCTGGGCTACCGTTTCCACTTGTGACGGTCTTTGTTCGAAGACGTCTGTCAATCTGACCGCCCGTATTTGGAGACCGCCAACTGTAGTTGTCGAGCTTTGCTTCAAGTATCATTTACATTAATAATCGTCCAAAAAAACGCTGGCGTTTAGGGAAAAAGAGACGACATTATGCGCACCCGTTCAATCATCGAACGGACGACTTTTGAACGAAGTCATTCCGGAAACACCATATTATCAGGTGAATTCAGACGTTCTCTGGGAAATACAATCAAAAACTTAGGTGATGCTTCGATTCTCGAACGTTTCCGCCGGTGAGATGGTCCTTCTCGACGATCTCTCGGTTTCATACCAACCATGTGATTTGTCGCAGCCTTCTTCTGTTCAAAGCAGCGGCACCAGTCAAGTAGCTCCTGTTAGACTCACACATCGTTCGCGCGAAGGAATTCTGCCGAAGAGGATTTGCCAAAATGGTAACAAAAAATTTGTCGAAAATTGAAATTTTTGAATTGCGCCGAAAAAACTACCGTACACCATTCAATAGGATTGATGAAATATTTCAGGAGACTGCGTGCATTCGGCAAGTCATGTGGCTGATCCTTACCCAGCTCCAAACATTGCTCATTCGCAGAAAATGTGCGTCGGACGCGCTGGATTGGCGATCTGCCGACAGAAATGCAAATCACTCGACACATCAGAGTAAGGGTTCATTTGAATGGAGAATTTAAGACTGATTTTCAACATTCCTCAAATATTACATGCAATTTATTCGTAAATTCAGCTCCGCCGCTCGTTGTATTCGCCAGCGTGATAATCCGCTTGTCAAAAAGTGCATTTGTCAAGTTCGACGATCGCCAATTCGAAAAATCGACGGCGGAAGTCGAATCAGCGATGACGTGAAGTCCGACGAGCAACTCTCGCAGAATCGGATTCTTGCTGACGACTCGATTATGAAATCCGATCCGATGGGCGCTGTTCTGAATAGCAGCACATGGTGCAATCTAATGGAACGCGATATTTGCACGCAGAAATGTGGCGCCGAAAATCCGGAAAGCTCCGGCGTCTGTCATACGCCACAAAACTGCGAATGTCGAATGAAAACGACGTGCTCGGTGAACACGTGCAATTTCGAGAAAGGCACCAAATGCGGATGGGCCGATTTGCGAATGCTCAGCCAACACTTCAACAATATCAGTGTTGCGATGAAGAAGGGCGATGAGAATCGCTACGGGATATCGCGACTCAAATCAAGCTCGTATTCCGGATTGCTGTACAAGGCGAATCTCATCGGACCGATCTCGATGTCTGTCGATGTGTTCCCCTCGCATGTGATTGACGTGAGGATATGCGTGCAGAATCTTCGAAAGTAAGTTGTTCACGCGTATTTTTTCTTCAAATGGAATTTTTATGTTGTCGTTGAACATGAATGGCCATTAAAATTAATTGTGGGTCGGTACTCAAAGATCAACACTGTCTCGTTTAGACTTGTTAATGAAATGACGGGTCGCTTCGCGATGGGAGAGCAAAATTTTGAATTTTTTTTTTGAAAATTTAGCCATTTTTTCGAAAAAATAAGTTTTTTGAGTTTCTTTTTTCCAAAAAAAGAAGAGAAATGCTGATTCCGATATTTGACAGAGACAGGAGTCGATTTACTTCATTTTCCGCAATAAACTCGTTCCACACAATGATTCGACCACAAAAGAGGGTTAGCAACTATAACATTTTAAAATTTTCTCAATAAATAAAAATATTGAACAAAATTAAAGATTTTAAATTGAATTTTCTATTGGAAGGAGAACTCGTAAAATGCAATTCAAACCAAAAATTTCATATTTCAGATGTCAAAGCCAGACAATTGCTGCTCGATCTTGGAATCGAATCAGCGCCAAAATCAAAGTACCATCCACCGAGAAAATCTTCGTGCTTTTTTACAACTCGGAAAAAACGCCAAAATCGATAGCAATCGATAATATAATAATTCGAAATGGTACCTGCGTGTAAGGTTGCTCATTTTTTTCCCTCCTGATAATAATTAATTCGACTCTCAAACTCAAAACGGGCCAAATTTGTACAATTAGAATAAATGCATATTTTATTATTTTATATTACTACACTTGAGAAATGAGAATTTCACCTGCGTACATGTCAAATATCAGCTCAATCTGAAATAAATCTAACTTTTTTGTTTCTCGATTTTCAAGAATTACCGATTTTTGTTGAAGCGAAACGCGATTTTCGAAAAGAAATGCGGCCATCGGTCTCGATTTAATATTTCGCTCGCCGTCAATTTCAAATTCATAGATGACTCCATCAATTTTCTCAGTTTTCGGTTCGCAATTCACCTAAAATTCATTTGTTTTCTTGAAAATTTATAAAAAAAAAGAAACCGTGAATTTCTTCGAAATTGTCCGATATTTTGCAATATTCTCCAGTTTGAACTCAAACTCGAAAATGTCAAACTCTTGCGACTCCCATTGAATGTCCGGTCGATCTTCTACAATAAATCATCGCTATAGTAGAGGCTAACAACGAAAACCTATATAAATTTCTCGGCTTTCTCTCAAATTATACATTGAAATTGTTGACAAATCGATTCCACAATGGGAGTTCGAGCAGATTCGAGATTCGCGATCAACTCGTTCCGACGAGAATAGCCGACCGATGATTTTTAAACGACCTTAACATAAAACCTTGAACCCATTGGAAAACTTTCTATTTTTAATTACTTGGAGCAATTTTCTTTAATTTTGCGAGCATCTGAATGGCCCCTTCGAGCCTCATAAATGCTAGTGGATCCCAGCTTCCATCGCCTTTGACAAGAGTTGCTAAAATTTTGAAATTCTTTCAGAAACTAAATTCAAACCAACTTGCAAGATGAGTAAAATCGCGCGTAAAACTTTCACGTGTTCCATACTCACTGAAAGTAAAAAAAAATGAAAAAAAATAGTTCAATGAATATTTTACACTCCAAAATCGCAGCATTTCGTCATATTCAGCAAATACTTCTCATCTCCAACATCTTTTCGAAGTTTCTCGAAATTTTTCATAAGCTTTTCATCATTTCTCAGCGCAATAACTTCCATTGGAACGACTTTATAAGGACCATTATTAGTTTTGTGGGCAACTTCGAGGTCAAATCGATGGTCGCTAACGGATATTTTCGCTTCAACTGATGCGCCTTTAATCACGGGTAGAGGTTCGGCGAAAGGAAATACAGCGGCGTCCCAATGCGAGTTTTCGCTTGAATCTAATGAGCACGAGCCATCAGGTGTGAGATTCGCCCTAAAAATGAAACTTTTTAATTTATCTTATTAAATAAAAAATCAAATTTGAATTTAAATAAAGGGAATCCAAGACATGGTTAACTGTAACTCATCGCAGAGTATTCGTTTTTTTTGTATACAATAGTATAGTACCGTTTTCCAATTTCCAAAAAAAAATTTTACCTGAATGTTGCGATTACTCCATGAGCTTCGCCATCTTCTTCAACTTCAATTCTAAGAATTTTCGACAAGTTTTTAACATTCAACAATTCTTCCAAACTAAAATTTAAGCTCAATACTGGAATTGGTTCACTAAGAAATTGAATATCGGGATAATCTTGAAGAGTGCATGGCCAATAAGGCTCCTCGGCAGCTAAAAAAGTTTAATTCAAATAAAATATCGTGTTAAAACACAAACGTTTTTCAGTTCTCACGAATTTTGAACGATATATTCCATTGGCGTGTGTTGCAAAAACTTTTGAGCTTCGGAAAAGCCGAACAAATATTGTGGCCTGAAATTGATATTGAATTCTACGAAAAAAAAAAGATTTTGGATACATTTGAAGGTATTATAATTGTTGTAGGCGTTGCGAGGCGTTGATGAGCATCAATAAGAGTTTCGACAATTTTTTCGCCAAAAACGCAACAATCGAGCAATTCCGCAATAATTATATCAGCCTGTAAATTTAATTTTAAAAATTCCAACAAAAAAGTAACTAAGAACTCGATTTAAACCAAAATTCAATTGTCATTTTCAATAAATACTGCATAATTTTCGATTTTCAAAACATTTTTTTCTTACCTTTTTGCCCGAAAATTGGTTCGAATTGCAATTATGAAGTGTAATCCGTTGTTCGACTGAATTTCGCTCGACAACCTCTTTCGCTAAATTGTGCAACACTGTATTTTCCTCAATTCCAAACACATTTTTTGAATACCTAAATCAGAAGCAGAGTTAAAAAATGTGACTTTTTGAATTGATACCTCGCTGCAAGTATCGATAACAATCCAGTTCCACTTCCAATGTCAATAACTACATCGGATTCGGTTTTGATACATTTTCGCACGGCTTCATGGAACATTTCATTTCGATTCTGTACAATACAACTTTTCAAATATTTGCCTTTTTCGTCCAATTCTCACTTTGTCATTGACCATTTTAAGGTGCCATTGGGAGAATGGCATCGAGATCAAATTGCAATATATAATGCGAAGAACTATTCGATCGGTGTCGTCGAGTGTCGCACGCCTCATCGCTTCATCGCATAATTTCAAACAATTGTTAAACGTGGCGTTCGTTACCACACTGCTATAAGCTTTCAAGACGATCACGAAGATTTTGCCGCATTTCGGGAAAAGCTCGATGAATTGTGGCAATGACGCATATGCGGTGTGGATGAAATGCGAATTGCATTTCACATAGCCTACAATAGCGTTTCATGATTTCAGAGAGTATTATGTTATGTCTAAATGCCTTCTAACGCTGCCAGAAATTCCTCGAGGTAGATTATCCTTGTCATCTGAGGTAACTGATATATACCAAGCAAGTACAATCCTACTGAGCTTTCGAAATTACCACGCTCCAAATTTTTTCGCGCATTACGGAAAATGTGAACTAGATCGCTTGGATTAGTAGATCTTCGTGGCATCTGAACATTATCACTATTAGTAATATACGTACATATTAATAAACCTTTTTTACTAGAAGTTTAATAACTCAATAAATTAAAAAAAATTTAGTGTATGATTTAAGTAAAACACAAAATCGAAAGAAATTATGGGAAAATCTTTTTATATGAAATAAATTCAAAAAGTAAAAAATTTTTAATGGACTAGAAATTTTTATGGCCTAGAAGTTTTTATCGGCCATTTAAGAAGGCGTGTACCTCACGAAGTGAATTCATGAATATTTTTGCATGAAATAATCATTCTTTTATTGCAGAGGTATTTCAAATTATTCTTAAAAATCGTGTATATTTGCTTTCTCGATTATGTTAAGTAATCTTTACATTTCATAATAAAAAATCTTTGATATTTATTACTTTTTTTTTCATAATTTGCAAAAAGGTTTAAATTCAGAAACCAATTTATTCTAAATAGAAAACTTGAAAGAAGTTACAAAAATTCTGCCAATTTCCCATTCTTTTTCTTATATGTTTTTTTTTCTCTCAAAAGCCCAACGCCGCCAATCCTCCCAAATCGCGCGCCAATTATTCGGAGAGAAGCGTCCATAACGAGGCGGTGTGGAAAACGGACAGCTGTTGGCCTGGCCGCAATATATGGTGCACAACAATACCACCACTAATCTCGAATGTCGTAAAAAAGACTTATCAGGCCTCAATCCGCATTCACCCCCGCCGTCGCCGCCGCTGATCGCCCGACAATTTGCCCCGCCCGCCGCCGTCCGCATTCCGGCAAACATTATGCAAACCGCGCGTGGTGCCATTGTGTCTCAAACGAAACCATTTATTTTTTCTGCGGTCGGTGCCCGAAATTTCGCCCCATTTTGAATATATCACGACGCTCGTTTACCACTGTCCACGACGACGTCTGCGCCTCACATTCTCTAATTGGTTGAGGCGAAGAGAGGTTGCTGCATTCGTCACCCCCCTAACAATACCTTATTAATACACATATATATATATATATACGTATTATGCATAATTTATTTTTTCTTCTTGTCTCGCACTTTTCGAAACTCGTTTTGTTTCCCACAATTCCGTTGTAACCTTTTTTCAGTTATGAGCCGATGATGCAACGCGAGAACTCGTTTTTGAAGCAGAAACAAGAGCAATGGGCACGAGAACGAGGTTGGCGTCAATTAGTACTGTTTGAGGCATACGTTGAGGGATGAGATGGTTATCTTGAAGGCCTTTTTCTTTTCGTCTTTTAGCGGGAGAACGAGAGGACATTGACGGCGTTAAAATAACAATAATAGCGAGTTTTAATGGGACAAATGCAAACCTTTGATGGATATCGGTGATCGTAAGCTTGACAAGAAAAGTCTGAATAGTGACAATTTCAAATTGAATTGTTGAATAATTTTTTTCATGAGATCGTTGTTAAACAAATTCGAAAAATATCAGTGATTTGGTAGATTTTCTAAAAATTATTTTGAATATTGCAAACAAATTTTTCTTTCGAAATTATTTTTCGCATAATATTAATGTCTTATATAAAAATTTTATTCCAAAAATCAAATTTTCCATGGGAAAATATCTGGCGTCGGAAAGCTCTGTAGACATTTAATCTAAAAAAAAACTCTATTGTACATTCCTACGGTATGTCCAATTCCATTTCCTGTACCGACGAGATACGGTAACAGTAGTTTTCTTTGGTGATCACTTCATTAATAACTAAACAATAGTGGAATGCAGATTAAACCAAAAAAAGGAGGGGGGGGGGTTGGCCTTTCGTTCTCATCAGGTTTGGGAGCATAAAGCTATAACGGAAGTGGACATATTTTCCCATAAAAGCTTGCAAAATTTTCCAATTAAAGCACCAGTCATCCCTCTGAAGCAATGTTGTGAAATCCGCGCTCGCAACGAAAAAAAAGGGCGTGGAGAAGAATTGTTGAGCCAATTGCGAAATATTCCCCCATTCAATCTTCATTCGCCGCATTCTCGCGGAAGCCAGTTAAAATTTGATGCCAGAAAGTTTAATCTAATTGGAACATCTCGAAAAACGCGATGAACTTTATAAAAAAATCCCTTTGCGGCGTCCGTCCGTTCCGAACGTTCGTCGTTAAATAATTAGATTGAAACAACGGCGAAATTCTTCATACACCAATCGCTTTTTTGAATTACTCATCAACGGCGCAATTTTTTGTTTAAAATGAGACGACGTTTTGATTCCGGCTCGTATCACGCATTCATTGGCGTATGCTTCTTGTTAACGGGTGTAGACGTGAATTCGTTGCCGCGACCGCGCCCTTATTTGGAACCCTCATGAATAAAAAATTAGCATCTCATTTTGGGTTTTCAGCGGAAAAAGAATTGACGAACGAGTGGTTTCCATTCGGCGAGAACTTGCGACCGGGCGGCGGGTCACCACTACGCAAATTCGAACCAAAATCACCAATAAGGCATCGACCAAAAACTGCACCAAAACAGGCGACCGAGGAGACCGTCGATGACGAAGACCAACAAGAGGTACGAATACGGTTTTTTTGTTTCTTCCTCAGCTTTTTTTTCTCCTTTTTGACCATGTTTATTATATCATTCGAAAAAGAATGCTAGTATAGTCAATACTATGGAATGTAGTTTCCTCGTTAGTGCCTAGGACGAACTTTGTAATGTTTTAATATACTTTTTTTGGGAAAATGAAAATTGAAATTTAGCTTTGACCCCCTCGCCTCTTCTTATTTCTTCATTGTGTCAAAGAAAACTATTATATAATATTCGAGTTAAAAATTCCGGATATCGAGAAGAAAAATTCTGAGCGCATTTTAAACGGCCGACCGCGCAATTATTTCTCACAGCACTACTCAGTTGGTCAAATATAAAAAAATACATACTAAAAAATTCTATTGCGTTTTTAATGGACAATTTTAATAGATTTGATACGATCCAACTAAATTCTCAAAGCAAATTTGTATTTTTTTGGATTTGGAAAAAATGTTTTGCAAATTTTAAATCGTCCTTTGATAGTTTAGTTCGAACTCGTATAAGCCTATAGCTATTTTTTTGTGATTTGCATTTATTAAGGTCTGATTTTTTTATTTTATTATTTTTTTTTCTCAGGTACGATTTTGTGTAAAAAAAATTAACAAGGCATTCGTAGTCAGATGAAAAGAGTTTTAAAAAACTGAATTTAAAAAATATATAAGATTCGAAATCTTCTTTAAAGGTACGTGCCTGCTTAATCTATCCAAATCATTAAATTTCTTACTTTTTTTCATTCAGCATCTCATAATTTTTGAATATCGATACCTTTGACGTTCCCTAGCTTCATCTTTTAAATAAAAAATAAAAACTGTCGTCTTCTTCAAGTTTAATTCGAATGAAGAATTTTTATCGAAAAATCGCAACATTTTCAATGACTTAAAAGACTCGTAAAAAAGTTTATTACTGGTGTTTATGTTGGTTCTTTTTTTTTTTCGCAATTTTCGCACTATTAAATTTTTGTTTTATTATTGATGCCGGCATTGATAAAAAGGTGGTGTTGATAGCGAGGCTCGTTGGGTTTTGAAGATAGCGACGATGAGAAGAAGCTCGCGCCAAATTAGGCGGCCACACGCTTTTGTTCAGTTTTTTTGTGCGGCGACGCCACGGTCCTGTGCTTATCGTAATTGAATTGTTTGTTTGCAAATTCCGCGTGTGTATTACGCATTTTCCTTTTTTCTACGCGATATTTTTTAATAGAAAAATGTTTTTTTTGAAAATTTTTGAAAAAAAAAAAACAACCTCTAGAGCCATTTTCATAGACTTATTGATTTTTTCGAGCTGATTTTGGAAGAATTCGGATGAATTTTCTTTTGGAAAATTTTCAAACCTTACGCGACTACGAAAATATCTCGACAATTATTCTTCGTTTCCTCACCAATGTGTTTTTTCTTGAGTTCAACGTCCCTTCTATTGTTAAAGCTCGCTATCAATGTCGACCTTGTGATAACAGATTCAGATAGCGTTGACTTCTGATAAGTGTCTCTAAAATCAGCTCATACGTCACACCTTTGCGTAAAATTGTGCTCAGCAAACGAGCCGATAACAGTCTCACGTTTTCAGAACCGCTATTGCGATGTTTTGTGCAAAAAATTTCGGCAGTTGATCAACGGCGAATAATGAATTAAAGCGAGCATATTTGGCGCCTTTGATCTGATAGATTTTTTTATGATTCTGGAACGTTTTTTAATGATAATGATTCGCCAAAAACCTCAATTTGAATTTACCGCTTCAGGACCATTTTTTATAGCGCTTTGTCTACTCAAACCTAATAAATTTATGTTTTCATTACTAAACTTTTCTAAAACAGAAATTGGAAATGATTTTTATTTGTGGACGCATTTGTGCATTTGTGGACGTCGGAAAAATGCCAAAAAATTTTATTGAAAGTTCTTGAGATGCGATGTGCGCCTTTAACCAATTCTTATGCTATTAATTTACACGTTAAGTTTTTCTCGGTGCGATTTTAGAAATTCTCTTTTTCATTTTAATTGCAGTTCTGATAATTTAACCAATGCACATCGTTAAACTTTTAGTGAAAATCAAATTCTGAACATCTGTCTGTCATCAGACATGTGTGCAATCAGCGCATACATTCACGCGTTTGCAGAATCATGCACGACCACAACTTATTGAATATATTGATTACACGAGAGGCCAGCTTATTGACACTCGTTTTGTTGTCAGGCGGCACTTGATTTTCCGGGTCGCCGGCTGGCCGCGCGATCGAGCTTCCGCAAATATTGTAGTGTTTTATTGATGATTTTCATTATGCCAATATTCAAGGTATCTATCGTTCTAATTCTTTTTTTTTTTTTTGAATATCGAAGCGATTTTATTATTACTGATGATCAAAGTAAATACGACTGACAAAAGTTGTCATCGACAAATATTGACCTGTTCGTCGCAAGTTTCAGGGGAATTCCGTGTTCTAGAACACGGAAAAATTTAATTTTTAACCACGATATTAAAAAAATGAGAGTATTTTTATGAATCAATCTAACAGTTGGAAGTTTTTTTTCCAGAAAGTTGACCTCCAGATGTGCGCAACCCCGAAAAGATTTTTTGCTAATGAAATATATTAGTATAGTCGGCTAGTTTTGGGTATATTTACGAGAATCCATATTTAAATGGTTATTGTGGCGTTTTCGACTATCAGGCTGTCGCCTTTTGCGGTTCACGAATTGATAGGCCCATTTTTCCGATCGACTGTCCGAATTGAGTTCAATAATAATAATTAAAATGAGAGAGGGTTGTCGTCCCCCGTATTGATTTCAACTCGTTCCCTTGCGGCGGCGGCGGCGCTTTAATCGCATTAATGCTGGGCGCCTTTTCGCGCGCCCTTCTCATTTCTTTCACACATTTCTGCGCGCCGCTCATTCATTACTGATCGAGATCAATTTTGTAATTAATACACCCAATTTTTGGTGGATTTTGCGTGTGTTCGATTATGAGTGTCATCCGTCGTCGTTCTTCTCTCCTCGGCATCGCTTGACGACACTTCAATCGTTGTTTGCACATGTGCTCAACACTTGGTTTACGTGACCCCTCCCCCATATTATTGAAATGAACTTTTGCGTTTTGTCCAAACGCCAATTTGCATACTATAAAAGGCGGGTTTTCATTTGCAGATGATAAACATTGGTGGTGAAAAGAATCAGCAGAAGAAGCCGGCGAGATGTGAAGATCAGGTATTAAATGATTAGTTTGAACAAGTTGCTCATTGTGCTCATTTTTAGAAATTGGCCAATGAATCGCACCAACAAAACCAGCAGGTTCAGCAACAGTCATATCATGGCGTTCCGATCTACCCATTTCCTTATTCGTTTTACACGCCAACACCACCGGATGGGTTAGCGAAGAATGATGGCAATCAGTCATGGCCGTATGCGATCCCGATGCCGCCGCAATTTCAGGTCATACCGCCGAATGCGATTCCGATTAGCACAATTGTGAGTTTCAAATAATGTTTTATTATTAAAAAATTCAAAATCAGTTGAAAATAATTTTTTTGAAAAAAAAAAGAGAGTAAATGCCAAAAAATGGTCTTGGCGCAAGACTAAAAATTCTAGAATTATGAGGATGAGTTAAAGATCACGCACTAATATGAGCTTTACCTAATTTTTTTTTGGCATTTTGGCATTGACGCTTCAATATAAGTTTTTTGTATTCAGACACTTCATATTTTAATCACATAAAAAATGCAATTTGCGAATTTTTTTCTCATTTTTCTAATAACTAAACCCTGTTGTCTTTTTGGAGGTCACGCCGCTCTCGTTTTTTTTGTTCGTCAAGGTAGTCCATAATAGCCACTTTCCTTATTAGGGCAATCTCATCTTGAATGTCGTAATGAATTGAAATAGTTTGATTTGATTTATTGCCGCCGAATTAACACAACCTCGGCATTCAATTAGCATATCCTTGTCGAGAATGGTTTCAATCGAAGCGATTTCGCAGAAGAAAGAAAAATGTTGGCGAGTTTCAGAACATCGACTCATCACAAATTTGTCCCGTCTCACTTGCCGAACAACTCGCCGCACTTCAGAGCTCCAACGTTTGGGGTGTGCCGCATGCGCCGCCCGGTGTTCGATACGGCATTCCGATTCCGCCGCCGTTCGTGAATCCGTCGATGACGTCATCGATATCATCGAGTGAATCCGGTGTTAGCGGAATGACGTCGAGACGAGATGACGTCGAGAAGCACAACTCGAATGATGAGAAACAATCGACGTCGGACTATCATAATGAGAAAGGTATTCCTTAAAACAAACAGCAGCATGTGCCTTTAATAACTAGCTTCGCTTCAAGACCATTTAGCCCATTTATTCGAAAGGTGTTCCAAAAGATAATAACATATTAGCATCAAAAATATTTATTCAACGAAAAAATAGTGATTAATCAAGTCCGGGCATTGGTACATCGCCTTGTTCTTCGCCGAGGTAGAATTTGGTTTCGATGGGCTTCTTTGGATATGACGTTAGTGGACCTGCTCGGTAGCGTCTGAGAATATCTCAATGTGTGATGTTTGATCGTGGAATTGAATCACTTACACGGAATTATCATCATCATCGGAAATTGGCGAATAGGATCGTCTGAAAAAGGCAATTGAACCTAATTAATGATAGTAATTAACTCACTGTGACGGATAATTATCCATGTAGCCCCGGTATGGGGTCGGAGGACGAGAAATGCGTGAGATTCGCGATGAATATTGGATTGGTGGTTGTCGCGCGTAACTCAATTTAAATCATTTTGACATATGTATTATTCGAAATTGCTTACGAGAAGTAGGACGACGACGAAAGCATTCTTCCTGGGTATGGGGTTCCTGGTCGTGGTCCTTTAGCGTATTTGATTCTATCAGGGTATGGGGATGGTGGTCGCGGTTCTGATGAAAGGGCCAATTTTCCTGGGTATGGGGTTCCTGGTCGTGGTCCCCTGGCGTATTTGGTTCTGTCAGGGTATGGGGTTGGTGGTCGTGGTTCCGATGAAATTGCCAATCTTCCTGGGTATGGGGTTCCTGGTCGTGGTCCCCTGGCGTATTTGATTCTATCAGGGTATGGGGTTCCTGGTCGTGGTCCCCTGGCGTATTTGGTTCTGTCAGGGTATGGGGTTGGTGGTCGTGGTTCCGATGAAATTGCCAATCTTCCTGGGTATGGGGTTCCTGGTCGTGGTCCCCTGGCGTATTTGATTCTATCAGGGTATGGGGTTCCTGGTCGTGGTCCCCTATCGTATTTGGTTCTGTCAGGGTATGGGGTTGGTGGTCGCGGTTCCGATGAAAGGGCCAATCTTCCTGGGTACGGGGTTCCTGGTCGTGGTCCCTTGGCGTATTTGATTCTATCAGGGTATGGGGTTGGTGGTCGCGGTTCTGATGAAAGGGCCAATTTTCCTGGGTATGGGGTTCCTGGTCGTGGTCCCCTGGCGTATTTGGTTCTGTCAGGGTATGGGGTTGATGGTCGTGGTGCGGAATTATGTCGAACGAGTCCCAAATAAGGCGTCCGTGTCTGATGAATAGCGTTTCGACCGTTTCTAAACTTGTATTGTTGGCTTCTTTTTCCCAATTGGCCTACCCATTTCTGTAGATCATTCTCTGAAGAGCCGTGATTATTTGAATAGCTTCGGATCGGGTAATCTTTGGCTTCTGTGGTTGTAAATTGTCTTCCGTCATGCTATTCCATTCGTTGCTTTTCCGGTAATATGGCGGTTTCGGGAATGGATACGGATGTGGTCTGTAGGTGACGATTGGCAGGTTTCTGGTTGTCGTCTGTGAAGTTGTTGGCTCATAGGGAATGGTTGTTCTCCGGCTGGCCGCCACCTGAAAAATGTTGATGAATTCTCACAATATATGTTAGAAACAAACCGTCACCAGTGTGGCGAACAGTAGAAGCTTCGGTAACATATCGAGATGACGAGAAGCATCGATCTATGTCGTTATTTATACGCACGGCTAATCGAATTTATAAATTTTAATTCGTTGATTTGATTATGATTCTATTTTTGTATTTTGACAAGAAATTCGTATCAGACAGTTTTTTTTTCTAGAAGACGAGATTCCAACACGACGAAGCACTGGAAACTATTCGATCAGCAATTATGAGGAGCAGATTGCTGAGCGACGACGCATGGAAGAGCTCGAGAGGGAGCGCGAACGGTTGGAGGAGATGGAGATTGAACGGCAGAATGAGATTCTGGAGCAGAGGAAAGAAACTGAAGAGGAGAAGAGGAAACGGATTGAGAAAAAGAGATTAGAGGTAAAAAAAATTGATTCAAATAAATGAGAATCACGAAATCAATGAAGTTATCCGCCTTCTGTTCCCCTTAAATACCGAAATCACGGTTGTTTAGGAAGAAGAACGACGAATAGCCCAGTTCCAAGAAGCCGTTGAAAAGGCGAAAAAAGAAGCCGAACTTCTGAGAAAAGCCAAACTATTCAAGCACGTGCTGAAAGGTGCTGAAGAGACGGGTGAAATAAGTGAGGTTGAGCAGAAGCTTCTTGGCGTTGACGTCGAAACCGGTCAACGTCTTCTCAAAGAGGTGTCCGAATTTGAGAGGCAGAAGCGATTGGAAGAGCAAGAGATTCAGAAGAAAATCACGCCGCGGAATGGAAAAGATCAGCAGACTTCGAGAACCCGATCATCATCGATTGTGAGTTTTTTGCACAAATCGTTCTTATTTCGGCTTCTCATTTTCGTTTTCATTTTTTGTTTGGCTTTCCTTTTGCATAATTCGTGTTGTGTCATTTTCAGAGTATGCACTCGCCGGCTCAAAAATCGCCGCTTAGTCGGAATGGGTTCGGACGACGAAGTGTTCGAACGACGAGTCGCGAACGCGCTGAAGTCTCGCCGCCTGTGGAAACGACCAAAATTGCTGATCAGTTTGTTGGACAACGGTTAGTGGTGTTGTAAATTGTTGCCGAAATATTTGGTTTCGATTTTCGCGGCTGCAAAATCTTTTCTATTCTTCTTCTTCAAAATTTAAATGAACAAACAATGAACATCATCTCAATATCGAAAAACACTCAAACTTGCGTTTTTAAGCATTTAATTCTGGATGAAGCCTATCGTAATCAAATTTTTGCGTCGAAATTGTCAGAACTTGAAATATTTGCTGAATCTTTTATAAATCTGAACTCAATTATCGTGTTAGATTTCTGCAAAATGAGTCCGGGTAATTTTGGGTGAGCCTTTAGGTATATTTTAGGAATTTATTTTTGGAAAATTGTATCGAAGATGCTTCTAAATATTTCTTTTTCTTCTCCCTTCTCGACGTTGTCGGCGGCTCATTTGAAATTCAAGAAATTGTACGCATATTAGTCAATATGTCAACGAATGCAAATTTTGGTGGCAAGCCATCTTTTTTCTTCTTTAGTGCCCGACCCCCCCCCCCCCATTTTTTTTCCTTCCACTAGGCCGCCTTTTTCCGCTTTTACTTTTTCTTCATTGGTGACGCCGAGTTTTGTCGATCGGCCGACGCTTCCGCAACAATATCGGTTTTCAATGCAAACAATATATTTGCATAGTGGTTGGGATGAGCGTCCAAAAAATAATTGTGATCGTTAAGTGAATGACGCTGACGAAATTATATGAATCTACGCATTATCATGAATATTGGTTGGGAGGGGGGTTGCGGGCGATTTTTTGTCTGCTTACTTCACGAAAATTTGTACCATTTTGAAATAATTACAAGTGAATTTTGATATCTTGACCGAATAACTGAAATCTCGTATCGTAAGCGCTTTTAATGCCATTAGTAATTTAAGATTGGTTCGAAGAAACTCAAGACATAACCGAAATCTGAAATTTCAAAATTGCAACCAATATTTCTTTTTTGGTTCTCTCTTATTTTGAAATAGCCACCCCCGTTGGCCATCTGGTCTCCTTGGCAACAAATCTTCTTCAGGTGTCCCGAAAATCCGTTCGACTGCGTCATTTCCATAAATAGTCCCCCCCCCTCAAAAATTTTCCTCAAAATTTCAGTTTAGATCCGCATGATTTTCCATTATAATTGGGCATTGTGTCCTCGTCGTTCATTATGCGTAGTTGAATTCATATTTTTTGTCCTAGTTCCTACCACTCGTTTCCAAATTCTCGCATAAATTTGAATAATGAATTTGGTGATTCGATGCCACTTGAGAGTTGCATGACTCGAATTGGTGTGTGTGTGTGTAACTCTTTGCCTAATTTGGTTGGATTCGTTTTTACGCGAACCCCCCCCCCCATCCTCATTGTCCCTAATCCTTTTTTCGTTCTCCGCATTTGTCCGACGCGAAAATCGGCTCCTCCAATTCGGCCACATTATGAATTCTCGCCGATTCCGCCGGCTGTCCGTCGGGCGCTGCTGTTTCGATGTTTTTTTTCCCACGCCAATCGTGTTATATACTAGTATAGTTGGTTTCGGATTAGCTGGTATTGAAAAACGCCTTCGAAAATAGCGACCGGTTCTATTCTTTTCTTTATTATCTCCTATCGGGTGTTTTTTCCTCATTTTATTTGAAGGTGTGAATCCGACGATTCGGTTTTTGCATTCATACGTACGAGTTTCGATAACTCAATTTGGTGTCTTCACACCGTTTTGAGATTTTCGCATTTAGGCGAGATTGTCATTTTTTTGCGAAGAAATGGATTATGTTTTCTAAAATTTGTTGAAAATTGGTCAACACATTGGCGTTGGCTATGTCAATATTAGTTTTTTTTTTTGAAGAATCATTTGAAATTGATTATTTCAGAGCATTTTCAGTTTTTTTGCAATAGAGAGGCGGCCCTTTTGAGATTTTTTATTTTTTTTTGTTGAAATTTTCAGCAAGTTTGATAAAAAGAAAGTTTTTTAAAAGCTGGATATTCCTCAACTTTGAAAAATATTTTTCTTAGTATTAACGAAGCTTCAGTATTTATGATTTTCATTGAAAACTTTTGGAAATCCTAGGGCTTGTATGGAAATTTTTTTCTAGCGATTTTTATAACAATTAATTTGAAAAGGTAGAAATTTTCAATGAATTTTTGTCGTTTTAATGATTCACCAAACAATATTATTAGGGACCATCAAAATGCCAAACTTCTCAATTTTCCACCGTTGTAAAGCACTAAATTAAAATGTATGATAATTGTCTCAAAGAGGCTCTCTTGAAATTTGCACCTTCTCGGTCATTACTGATATAATTGTGTTTTGCAATAAAAGCTGTAGAGGAGTTTGTAGCAGAAATCCTTATCTCTCAATAAACAAGATTTTTGCAATCAATCATTGCACAAAAATGAATTCGCAAAACACAATGCTTTGTTTTTTTTTGTCTTTTTTTTTCGAACTCTAGGCTATTTTTATCTATTTTACTTCTTTTAATTGCTCACGTAACGCTTTATGAGATTTGCTCTTTTTTTTTGCAAAAAGAAAAATGATGATTTCGAGTTCTCATCAATAAACAATGCGGTTTTTGCATAATCTGCCAAACAAACCGTTTTTTTTCGCCCGAAAAACTTTGTTTTATTTTTTTCGGTTTCAGGACGACTACTCGCGATTTCGACGCTTCCACTGACGAGATGATTCGTCCGGGCAGCCTTTATCGTCCAATCAATCGCGGTGTCTCGAACAATATGGAGCTGGAGGATGAGGAGCGAAGGGAGCGAGAGAGTCAGCATAATAAGTTCTTCCTCAGAAATACGGTGGTGAGTAGTCCTTTTTTGGAGATTTCCAGGAATTTTTTTTTACAAAAAACGTAAATGTTCATTTTTTACAACTCGAAATTATAGAAATGTGTAATTTTTGAAACTAGTTTATTGCGTGAAAAGGTTCATTAAACCTGAACATTTTTTGATTTCAAGAGATTATTCTTTCATTTCTTTGATATAAGAAATTTTATTAAAAAAAATAAGCCTCTAGAAACGAAATTAAAGTGAAGTCTTCACATGCTACACACGCCTGAAATCACGTAGTGTTAAACAGAGTAGATTACTATACTACACGCACGAACAAAGCATTTGAATGTTTCAGTTTGGTTAGTTAAGAGTCTTAGACAGGGTTTTAGTAAGGTCTTATCAACTACAATTTGTACTATCATAAACAGTATAGGTATATATAGGTTAATGATTTGCGTATTTTAGGCATCATCTCAACATCATCACAAATCGTCGAAGAAACACACCGACGATCTTACGGTATGGAGTTTTTTTGTGTTTGTGTATCTAATGATTGGCGCCTATAATTTATTGCACATTTGTTCTTATTTGTGTTGCTCTCACAATACAGGCGCGCCATTCCCACGTGTTCTTTTCCTTCCCGTTTTTTTTGCCATGCCGTGAGCAAGCGACGAACAACACAATTTGCGTCGTGTCAAATTGTCTTTTCATCTCGTTTTTGATGAATTATGTCCGCAGATGGAAAATTTTAAAAAATTTGGGAACTTCAAACTCGATAATCTTCCATTAACTCTTTTACATGAAATAAATTCATTCGATCAACTTTCCGAGAATCGTCATTAACAGTTTAGTACCTTGAAATTATTGTCCCGTAAGTGCCTGTTTTTCAGAGAGCAATTAGAGAATTTGAGGAGAAATCCAAACTTGTCCTGTAAATCTAATGTCGAATCTAATAATAATTGTTTTCTTTTGCTGATTGGCGCCGCGCCCGCTCATCACATGATTTTCTGTTTGATCTGGAATTGATTCTATCGAAATTGTGCTGAAAACGGCGAAATTGTTTGGCGATTGTTTCAGGAATCACGCAATCACGCTTTTTGTATTGAGGCGATGACGGTATTTTAGTGATAATTGGGTCGGGCGCCGCCCCTCAGCTGATAAGAGAGCAGCAATTTTGATTCGGGGGGAAGAATTTCAATAATTTTCGGAAGGCGGTCTTGATGCAATCGTTTTTTTTATTCCCTCATTTTCCTTCTCTTCCTTATCTTTTCTTTCCGTCTTTGTTTTTTTTTTGATTAGCAATTGTGTAATAGCAAGTTGAAAAAAAACACACTTATTGGAGGTGTGAAATTTTTTGTGTAACATTCGATGGGTTCGGATTCCGATTCGAATCGTTGACTTTTGTTGATTCGCATTCTCTCAAGTTTGTCTGCAAAAATGAGAGATTCGATTTTTTTTCACTAAAAGTTGATAAGACAAATCGGTTTTTTTTTTAATTTCTAAAAATTGATTTCGTTCCGTCAAATTCGTCCATTTTTGGAAATGCACTTTGCACCCGGTCTTATTTGAGATTCTGATTTTTGCATGCGCGCGAACACCTTAATATTGACAGAATCGCATGAATAAGTCAATGATCAAAATATTTGCATTTTATAGTGTTTTTTTAGATTCATCATTCTCGAATGTATTTTTTATGCATTAACATCTGGGTTTGATCTATCCATAAAATCCATGCTAAAATTTTTATGACGGAGCGGCAAAATTGCGCACCTGTAATGGATCTTGAGGCAAAATTTGATCAGCCCCAATGCGTTGGTCCGTTTTTTTTTAATGGCCCACTCTCAACAATCGTAATAGTAAGGAGCAGTTGTGACAAACGACGATGTCCTCCCGGGGGGTCACCTGTCAGCGACAAGCCCCCTCATGTACATGGCTTTTGTCGTTGTCACTCATTGTCGGCGTGTTGCAAAATTTGAGCAGCGAACAGATACGTAGTGTTCAATCGTTTACGAATTCAGTGAATTTCGATTTTTTTTGTTGGTTTTCCAATGTTGACGATACTGAATTCGCGGTTGTGATGGTGTGTTCGAGACGGCAATAAATTTTGCGAGCGATGCTTGTCGTCGCGAACGAGACGCGAAAAAAAAAGAGAATCAACACAGCGACGACCAGCGGCCTGACTGGTGGACACTCATTCTCATTAGTAATCAACGACCATCATTATCATCGAATTGCTTAACTATGCGCTTCTCATCGATCATATGCGTTTTTTTTCTGTTTTTGATCTACTGTCGGATTCACATGGCTATTTGCGTTACGAAACGACGCAATTTACCGATAATGTGGGAAATTTGGCATTTCGTAACTCATTCTGCCAGCTTTGGACTAAGACAAGAATATTTTTTTTGTAATGGATTTTACGAAATTGTACGCAGTTTGACGTGTACGTGTTTACGGACTTTGATTTCAACGGTTTTTATTGTTTTCCGGGTGTTCGATTTTGATTTCGCCCTTTCTCTAGGATTGGAAACATTTTGTTTCTCTTCGAATCGTTCACAAGATGTTCATTACACTTCTGGATAACCATTTCCTTTTATGGAAAAATGATTACACCCGCGAATTCTTAAACAAACAAAACGCACATATTTCTCAATTTTTGTGTCGCTCGTAGTTTTTCCCTTTTTTTTTCTCTTCGGTTGTGTTATTGTTGTTTGGAATTGCGCACGGTATGCCTATTTTTGTCGACATGCGAACTTTTCGACGCCCCGAGACTTCTAATAGATCATTCTTGCGCCGACGACCTTGCCGCTGTCCGTGTCCGACTTTTGTCAGATAGCTCTTTACCGCATTGCGCTATCGGTGTGTTGCCATCGCCGGTGCAGCACACCTGGTTTCGCAACAACACAATTTTTGTTTCTGCTGGTTTATACACGAATTTTATATCGAATATTGCGGGCGCGCGTGCGTGCGCAGCCCATCGCTTCTTCATCTGGAGCAGGCTATTTCGTCCGAAACTGAACATCTGTTGAAACCAGATGTGATTGCGGCGCGCCTCTATTCCACACTTTTAATCATGTTCATTAGCTTTTACGCAGCTGGAAACATCAATTTTATATGATTTCAAGCTTTTTTGGATTACGGTGGCCGCGATGTGTGTGTGTGTGTGCGTGCAAAGATGCGTCGCCGTGTTTGAACTATTTGTATTTCCGAAAATTTTGGACGCGATTTGCCCATTTTTGCGATTTATTCCAATTTGTTAATCGTTTTTCAACAAATAAGTCATTTCAAATTTCGCAAAACTAGATTGACAATGCTAATATGTTTATGTAAATTGAAAGCAATCGCTCTTGCAATCATCGGCACACCTACCTTGATCTCACCGCCAAACCAAACGATTCTGACTCACGTTCAATGGTATTTTTTGCAGCAAAGCGCTTTGTTTGGACCGGTCCCGACTCGACGTCGAAGTATGAGAATGGCAGCGAAACCCGTTGAAATGCATGACTCTGAGTCGCGGCCAAGAAGTTTTGGCGAGGAAACGAGCAGCGATGGCAGCTTTTCGCCCGATTTGAATCATAAGTAAGATAATTCTCTTTAAAATTCGAATAATTTTATTTATTTCAGCGATTCGCCACTCCCATCGTCTACAGAAAACGTTCATCCGAAAGTCGATGTCTCGCCGTGCGCAGAGCCAACGAAAGATATGATTGGAATTCGCACTCGTAGTGCCCTGGGATCGCCGGCCAATTACTTGAACGGTGGTGGTAGCTTGATGGGGTCGCGATGCGCTTCGCCAGCCGGAAATAGCAGATTTTTGCAAAAGTTGGAGCAGAAGGGTGCAATTCGAAGAGAAGAGGTGCAGTTTTATTTGTGATATGGAATTATTTAGACCAAAATATTATTTAGGATTGCCTTTCGCCGAGTATTCGTCGAATCGCTGAAGCGAATTTGAGTCGCAGTCCATCGATTACATCGCTTGGTGGCTCATTTCATAATTTGACGCAACTCCGTGGAAGTATGATGAATTTGTCGACATCCGGAGAACCGTCGCCCAACTTAAGTCGATTCCATAGCATGGTAATCTTTTATTCGAGTTTTTGGATTGTTAACTAAATATCCTTTATGTTTAGACATCACCTGCTCGCCAATCGCTGAGCAATCGAATACAGAAGACCTCGGATCGTCAAGCGGCGGTTTTGGATCGTCTCAATCGCCTACGCGACTCGCTTCATACTGGAAAAAATTTCACGCCTCCGCGTGGAAATCGCTTCAACTCGCAATCGAGCACGCCTCCAATGTCACCGGCAAAGCCGTTGTAATTCTGTCCCAGAAACATTCCGCTCTTGGTAGCATTTTCGTAATTGAGGTACTGGCTGTAGCCACTGGACTCGGACTCTGCTTTTTCCTTCCTTCCTCCTTTTCCTTCATTGTTCACTTATTGTTTGTTGTCATTTGTGTTCCTTGTATATTATCCCCACCCCCGTCCTCAAATATATTTTTTTTTTCAAAATTCGCTCTATCAACGTATTACGGATGATCGTCTCTCTGTCCTTTTTCTCTTTCTTTTTGGTTTTAAATTCTACCTTTTCTTCATCTCTCTGAACTGTAAAAATTAATAAAAATCAGATTGTATCTTGAAATCTTCAACGTAACGTTTTGAAACGTTTTTAATTGTACTTGTCGAAAAATGTTTAAACGGATAAAGTATTTTTTAATTAAAGAAAATGCGAGATAGATGGGGTGTTTTACGCAATTTCAGTTTGTATGAGGTGTGTTTTTTTTTAATTTTTTTCCAAAAACGAATTTTTCATTTTGTTCATTGGTAAATATTCATTGGCAGCGAATTTTATTAAAAGTTGTTGACTTGGCAAATTCGGACGAAATTTTCTTCGTGCTCGGCAATACGATGACTAATTTTGGGAGAAACAGTGGAATAAAAATAGCCCAAATTGGTTGGTCTTCTTCGATACTTCCGAGAAATTCCCATTTTTCGTCAGATGAGTTTGCCGAGAGTTTTTTTATTATTTGTTCAGAATAAGCGTGCCCAATTTTTTATAAATCTGTTTTTCAAAAATAATCATTAAAAAAAAGATATTGATGACTTTAAATTAAATTTTAACCGAACGTAGCAAATTTCCCAAATATGGTCTAAACAGGTGCGAAATGCGTAGAAATGGTGATTTTTGTTTCTATTTTACAAATATCTTGTTAGATATTTTCCGTCAGCCGCAATGAGGTCAGTCGTCGAATTCTGGAGTTGCTCGTCATGATCCATGTCTACGGATTGGCCGCGTTCCTCGCAATTCGCGAGTTTATCTTCGATGTTCTCAACTTCACCGTCAACAAGGTTTCAGCAGCAAATTTTCCCTCGAAAAATGGCCACGTTTGTTCAGAAAATTGAGGGCGATCTTAAAAATTCGGCGAGATTTGCGGGCAAATGCGCACTAGTCACTGGAGCGGATGGAACCATCGGATTTGAGGTTTTTTTCCAGAGGATTTGGCGAAAAATATTGAAGAATTTGAGATTGTTCGAATTCTCGTCGAAAATCGAATCGAAAAAATCGTCGCAGTTGTTCAAACTGAAACGGGAATTTTTGAAAAATGGAAGGATTGTGTTCAAATCATTGAACTCGATCTATTCAAGCCAAATGAGGTTTGAATGAAATAGTTTCATTTGAGTTTTTCGATGAATTTACAGATTCCATCAGCTATCAAATCGCTTCCTTCAAAAATCGATTATGCTATTTTTACGGCCGGTATCATGTTAGCTCCGGAAAAAGTAAAAAAAAAATTTAAATTTTTTGCTAAACTAGCAAGGGAGGTCTTTTTGCAGTCTGTCTTAAATTTTTGCATACAGATTCTTTAGAAAATTTCCAGTCGAATGAACTAGGTCCCTACCTCTAGTTATCATATTTTTCCACAAAAACTATTTTTTTGGCCTAGCTTTTAAAATTCATCTCAGATTTTTAAATTTTAAAGCTAAACTCGAATAGAATTTCGCATTTTGCTGAATCAACAAACCAACATTCGCACATGTCTGAATAATTCCGTTTCAGCATTTCGAAGATTCTATTGAAGTTCACAATTGCGTCAATCTTCTTTCTCAAGCATTTCTTTATGAGAAATTGGCGCCGAAATTAAGAAAGTCGATATTTTTGACATCTGCGACCGTTCGAGTTGCTTGCTATTTGCGCGACGAGCAGTTTCTGAACGTATACGCTGGTCCTTATCAAGCATACACCTCGTCGAAACTCTATTTATCCATATATGTTCAACAATTGGCGGAGGAGAGGTGAAAATTGAAGTTTTCGCGTTCGAATAGTCAAATCTCCACAGGAATTTGAAGGTTGTTACAGTTCACCCGGGAACGGTGCCGGGAAAATTGTATCGAAATGCGAATTTCGCGGTTGTATGGCTGAATAAAACAGTTTTGCCGTGGCTGATGAGGTTTTTCATGGTTATTGAGAGACAATTCGCGAGATTCTTTCAGAAAACCTCGGCATTCTGCTATTTTGGTCCTTCATACATTAATCCGAAATGATAACATCATTGGAGGATATTATGAAGATACAGAAGAAATTAATTTGAAAGCGTGGATTCCAGAAGAGGTTGAAAATACACAAAATTGGGAAATGTGACTTCAATATTTTCAAAAACCAAAAAAATTTTTTTTAATGAAAATTTTTGAGTTACCAGCCAATTTTTTGATTTTTTGCTCGTTATATAGGTTTCAAATCAGTCAAACAAAATTTAGTGAAATTGCAGCGATCAAAAAAAAAAGTTTTTTTTTTTCAGGATTTTCCTCAATTAATTTTTTTTCATCTTAAAAGTGCTTTTAAGCGTAAAAAATCATCACTGTTTTACCATTGAAAACCATACGACGGAAATAAAATTTTTAAAATTTTTTTGAAATTTTGCACAATTTTTTATACAACGCGCGAGATTTAAATTCTAGGTCACGGTTTTTTTTTCGTGGAAACTTAATCGCTTATTTTAAATTCCTCAATTTTCATTTTTTATTAATTACGAAGTTTTTTTCAGGAACGCCTCCGTATCTACTCCGCGATTCGACGGAGATTGGACGATTGGGTCACGAGATTTTGAGATTTGGCAATATGTTTTAAATATAATTTATTCATCTTGACACCAATAAATGTATAATATATTGGTGAATGGGCGTTTTCCAAAAAAATTGTTCCTTTTTTGATATATCGATGATGCCATAATACTTGTTTTTTTCGCGCGCGCGACGACAGATATCACGCTGAACGCGGTAATTGACGACAGGTGGAGGAAGCGAGAGAGAGAGAGAGAGGGGGGGGGGGGAATTTCGCATTGCCGCCGTCCTTCTGCGTCTCTTTATGGCGAAAAAGCGCGCCATTGCCGTTCATTCATCGGCATAACGTGCGCCAATCGATTTTCGCTCATCGCCGCCTGCCGTCGGTTGTTCGAACACTTCGCAATTCGTTATCAATTTCAGAATGTCAAACAGTCCAGATGGAGAAAATATCGGCGATTTTCTTGCCGCTTCAGGTTCTTGTTCTTTCTTTCACTCAATTCTTCATAATTTGTTTGCAGTGAAAATGGAAAATGAGGAAGAACCGCCGCAAAAGTCGATCATATACGTTACCGCCAATGTGAAAATTCCGCTAATTTTCGAGAATAATTCGGGTAATTTAGTTGTTAGTCGAAAAAAAGAACAGCGCGGCTGAGTTTTAATTTATCAAATCAGCCACGGCCATTTACAATATGAACTTTGTGTCATCGAAAAGGCGATGAAAAGGAGTGTCTCCGTCTATAAAATTCACACAATCTTTCAAATTCTTTTTTAACCCCGATTTTCTGAGTAGTATTGACTTTGAAAATATTTTTTTTGTAATTTGCATTAAATTTCATATAGCGTTAAATAATATAATATTGTTCAGTGTCCGGGTTGTCATTTGGTTCGTCCGATGTCGTCGTATCATCTAATCCCCCACACCCAACAGCGTCACTTTCAAGCCTATCGGCCGCAATCAATTCACCGGTCAGACCTGCATTCGTTAAGCAGCCAAGTGTTGTTCAATTCACTTCTGAAGCTTCAACATCAAAATTAGATCACAATGGGACTCATCCATTTGTCGGTAAAAATTCATTTTTATTTATGCAAACCAAAATGCTTAAAAATTAGTATTATTGTAGAATCACTTTCAAAAACCATTCGAAACGGAAAGCTGAATCTTGTGGATGTTGGGAATTTGATAATCGAATCGCATCGAATGGGCCTTCCGACGGGATGTCTCATCGACGTAAGAATTTGAATGCGTATGTATACAACGCAAAATGGTTACAGGATTTCGTCCAGATTAGCGTTTGGAAAGTTAATGGACAAATGTTCACATCCGCTTATCTCGACCCAGGGAATAGCCAAGCACTTCAAATTGGGAACTATGTCATGGTTTATCGAAATTTTTGTTTGGAAAAAAAACATGAATTTTCCGATTTTCAGAATGAGATAATAAGTCGAAAAATTGAGTCGATGCGACGCACCACACCAAGCACGAAGCAGTCGCTTCCAACTTTGGATATGGGTGAAGTGTCGGGCTCAATTCTGAACATCCACCAAGAATTTCGTATTCAAGCCGATCCGCCTTTTAAGGAATATTTGATCAATTTGTCGGAATTTGAGCATCCGCGAAAATCGCTCAAACAACACATCGTACTTCGCGATTATCTCTATTTTATTCTCACCAAAGTATCGATGAAATTTTCGATGCCAAAAAATACGAGGCACAAAATTTGCAGATCACCGATCCACCGGAGGCAATTCGAAGCTACACATATCGAAATGTGCCGAAAGGCGAAAACTACGAGTCTGAAAATGGGAGCGAGGATGAGAGTGTTGAAATGAGCGACGAGGAGAGGAATGGAATCGAAGATTATCCGTCGATCGAGGGAAAACACCAGTTCAAAGATTTGCCGGAGCACGTGACGAAGACTTTGAAAGGTAACATTTCTCACGAATTCGTTTGGGGGGAATTCTAATCGATTTCAGCATTGTTTCTTCAATATTATGGTTTGGATTCGCCAATTCTTTCTTGTAATATCATGACAAATGCTGAACTTGAAGCTTGCCCGTGAGAATTTTGTGGATTTAAAAAGCAATTGATTGAAGATTTCCAGTGATTTTCGAATTTTGGGATCTGACAATGATGAACGCTTGATCGCTTTGAGAGAAAAACGAAGGATTTGGTACAATTTCACCGTTCTCATATTTCCAGCGATGCTGAAAAACGCGTGCTGTGAGATTCGCCTCTCCTCATTTACCACAATTAATGGCAAAATCGTATGGACGAAGAGAAAGGTTTGACAATCGTGAAATTCTCTTGGCATATTTTGTTTAATTAAAGAGGAAGGCTGGATTTCGGGCTCAGCTACAAGCGATGAAACGAAAATCGACGGGAAATTCAAAAACCAAAAAGGCGAAACAAGCGAAAACGGCGAATTGTGATAATTGATAATTTTTATCTGAAACTATGCATAAAATTTACAGACAATGAATTCAGTAGCTAATTAACAATCGAAACTATCAATTTGCAAGAATATTGACTGATGAATGTTGTAGGAATACATTCCATGAATACTCGCATGCCGGCATCGAGCATCGACACATTTGCCGGATGGGCATTTCCATAAAAGCTCGGTCAGAAAACATTCGCCGAGTTTCCTGAATGCAATTCGAGATGATTTGAAAGAATCCGAAAACGAATTCTTGATTTTCGCCACACTTTGATCACTTAGTTGAGTGTTGTTGAGCTTCGTGGTGTACATTTGATGCGATATTTTTGATTCCTATAACATTTTTTTGTTTTTCTTCGTATGAATTAATATTTTCGACGTCTTGGCGCAAAACCAAAATTGTAGATTTACGGGCTATGCATAAGAATAAGTTAAAGACGCACTAAGACCTCTTATCTACTTTTTTTTGAAATTTAGCCAATTATTCGAAGTTGCGCAACTTCGACTATTTTTTCTGCCTACCAATTCTTCTAATGGTGTTCGAAGCACTAGCGCGATTCGTGAGTTTTTTATCAGAATCGGTGCATCGTGAAGTGCTTCAGACGGATTCAACGCGTCTAGAAATTGGGTTTACTTAAAAGCCAATCGATTCTTTTTCAATTTTACCGGTTGCAGCTATTCTCGCGTTGTATTCCAAAACATTCTGAGAATCGTCTTTGAGAAATATCCTGGCAAACTCGCTGAAATAGTCACGCTCCAAAATTGGAAGAACGATTTCATCGACACTTTGGAATATGAGAAACTTGGACTTGCTCCTGAAACGAAAATTATGTACACTCGATTCAATTCGTTTAACTGTCTTACCTGTACATTAGCATGCAATTCAGAAAACTCAATTCGGTGCGCAATTCGTCGTCTTCGAATTTCCGGCGAGTTATCGGATGAGCAATCAAACGCATCGATGACTTCTATAGAATTCCTTTTATGGAAAGCATTCACGAGTTTGAAGACGGCATTTTGGATGGTCCCATTGAAAAAAATCGCTAATTTTGGTCAATTTATTAAGAATCAAAAATGTGCCATTTTTATAATTTTCGGAAAATTAAGACTCGTTTATAAAAAAACCAAACTCAAAGCAATCTTAAATATTCAACCTGTTCATAAACCCTCAGAAATTTGTACAATTCGCCCGGAATTTTCGCATAAGGTAAATTCACAAAAGAGCCCATTGCAACTGCTGAACTAATCGCTGAAATTCGACAAATTTTGAAAATTCTGAAACGAATCGAAACCGACCGGAAATCACTTTTGGCAGCTTCGAAAATTCGGAAATTGGCGACGAGCATGTAACGACTTCATGCGACTCCGGAAAAGCTTCAGTTATCCGGATTTCCATCGAAGGCCTTCCATAGTAATTCTCCAGAAGTGTCGTCTTCTCATGTTCAGCAGTTATTCGAATATCGTGGAAATTTTCTAGTTCCTCAATGCTCCACGTCTGAAGAAAAACGCGGTTTTTGAGAGCAAACTAAAAATAGTTACAAAAATGCCTTTTTTGGTTGTCAAGGCCGAATTTTTTGGCAATATTGGGATTGATTCGTTGCGTTGGATGAGAAACAAATCTCTGATTGTCGGGACCTCCGAATCGATATACAACACAAGAGTTAATTGTCGTCTAGAAGAAAGTTGATTAGACGAAATAAAGAGAGGGGGTGAATGAGTCGAACTTTGGAAGTTTTTCGAGCACCGCCGATGTGATGTAGACGTCATCAATTCGCGAGTATTTTTGATAGAAAAACACACAAAAAATAAGCGAATAGGCGGCGACGAGGAGTTGAACCGTGTACAGTACACAATTGGGATTCATTCGACGAATTTCTCTACCATCGATTTATGTTGTGCGTGATGAGACACACACACACTTACGAAACCTTTCCCCTTCGGGCCGACGATCTTGATCGACGCTTCAGATATTGCGGAATCGATCCGATATCGCCGGTTCGTTTTCGAAACATTGCCTTTTTTGTAAAATTGTTGCTCGATTATTCGAGCAAAAAGAACCGCAATTCCGTGATTTTTATCGACATTATTGAATTTTTAATATTTCGCCAACTTTTTTATTCCTTTGGCTCCAACTTCTACTGGGTCCAACTTTTCAGTATTTCAAGATTAAAATTGCCTTCTGTGAGGTAAATTGGTTGGCCCTTGACAATGAGATTGCCGATTAGCGAAATTTCGTTTTGTCGAGAAAGCCTCTAAATATGATGCCTGCCTCTAAATATGATTCAAAGCAGAATGATACTAGAATGAGAATAGGCAGTCACTCAAAAAAGGACTATTTCGGTAATGGACATCGATGGGGGTAAAAAGTAGCAAAAAATGGAATCGACCGAATTGAACCAAGAGGAAGACATTCGAACATCTGAACATTGATTAAAAAACAATAACAAGTTTATTATTGAGACTCATTTAATCGAACTGCGGTCGCCCTTGCAAGCTTATCGGATGGTCCATTGTCAATGCAACTTCCGCATCTGAATTTGACAAAAACTATATGCACAATTCAATAAAGAAAATTGCTACCCAAAAATACTGTTGTGTTAATAACGGGCAGCATTTCTGCGCAATTCGTTGTGTCGTATTGCCGGAAAGCGATTTGGAGGCAGTCGACCAATCTTGTGCGGCTAATCGTGTCGTTCAGAGGCATATAGGTGGGCGCTAGTTTCGCATCACAGAGTAGTTGATTGAAAACGCACGCGGAAATGCTTTCTAAAAATTTTTTCTTTGCAAAACCAACTTTGATGAATTTTTTCAGAGAATAGAATTGAACGGATTGTAAGTGAGTCATAGGGGCAAAATCAGGTCGACCAGCGACCGGAAGGAGGCCAATATATATTTAATCAACCCTCCGACCGGAAGCAATAATCCAAGGCCTTTATCAATGCCACCAGCTCACCCCCTATATAAGCAATGCTCGTTAAACGAACGAGGAGGTAGGAAGCTGGGAGACCCGTTTTAAGTCCACACCCTTTTGTTACTCATTCCATTGTACATAAATAAACTCTTAGTTGTTTATTGTTTGTTTCCAACACGAATCGATGAACATGGAAAGAGTCGGGAATATGGCCCACGAGGCCGGGGTTTACGCGTACCCTCAATTCCCGCACTGGTAGCAGCGAGTGGTTTGTCTCCCTAGTTTCCTTCCCTCCACCGGTACCATAGTTTAGTTTTATTTTTTCGTTTTTTTATGTTGTCGTCTGCGGATATTATGGGATAAAGTTGTTCTCCTGCGCAGGAACCGCGTCGATTTTGGGAAGTCGCGCTCGCAGAAATTTTGCTTTGTTCGCCGTTTTTAGAGTACATTTTTGAGTTGACTGGGCCCAGTCTGGTTAGGCGAGCGCGCACTGATGGAATGCCGTCAGTTTTCAAAGAGTCTATTTTTGGCATCATTTTGGAAAAGACTCTACTTGAAGACGTTGTCTTCACCTCATTTCACCACATCCTACGATTTAATATCGGAAAACCATTTCTCTTTAATCAATTCACGCCTCTTCATTTTTCAATAAAAACGCAAGCGCTGGCTATTTTTTTTAGTTAAAACCCAACCATTGATTAAAAATTTTTAATATATAGCCTCGTTCCCGCATCTACCGCTATCAGTGCCTCTTTCATTTTACAGATGGCTCTAGCAAAGAGTCTCTCTCAGCGATCATTCCGAGATTCGCATTTCTTGTGCCAAACCATTTTCGCGTATGCAAGATTCCGACACCGTCAAGGGATCCCAATTTAAGACTCTTCAATCCGCGTGCGTGACTGACTTCGAAGTCACACACGGAGTTATGAGATCTCTTGCCGAAAGAGCTGAAAACCGCATCAAAGGCTTTGCCGAGATTACGAGAATCAATACGATAACAGCCTCGATGCGGCCAAGCTCGCAAGTCCCAATTTTTGGTGGTTCACCAAACGACACCTTCTCCGCATTTTTGCGATCCTTCAATGATCATGCTAATACAGCAAAACCTCCTTTGGGAGACCTCGAAAAGAGGAATATTTTCTTGACTTATTTGACAGACGCAGCCAGAGACCGCGCAGAGGAGTTCCTGGAGCAAGAGAGCGAAGCCTCGTTCGCAACCTTGGTTAACCATCTAAAGGTAAAATACGAAGATCCGGTAAGAGCAGAACTCTCGCGCCAGCAACTCCGAACAACGAACCAGCTTCCGGGCGAGTCTGTAGATGAGTTTGCAGCTAAGGTCAGAAAACTCGCAAATTCGTCGTACCTCGGATACTCGCGTGAATATATCAGGGCCAAAACCTTAGAAGCGTTTTTGGACGGGCTCAAATACGACATAAAATTCCACGTTAAGGCCAGTAACCCAGGAACCTTCGAGGACGCCCTCAATTCCGCAGTGAGGTACGAGATTTTGCTTCAAGAAGCAGCAAGGGCTAACACCATCAACCCACAAACCCTCCCCGTAGCACTCCTACAAGGGGTAGACAACCAAAACCGCGAACGAACGTCCCGAACCCTTCCCCCTCAACACCGTTTCAGAAACACCCCACGGCAAGTGAAATGCTATTTCTGCGGACGTCTCGGACATATGATGGCCAATTGCTTCAAGAAAAACCGTCAATTTGGCCGCATCGACCCAATTGATAATCACCAGATCAGAAACCGGAATCAGCCGATCTTCGGGAACCCAGGAAGACGGACAAACAACTATGAAGGTAACTCATCAGACGTACGTAATTTCCAGCCTGACACGACCGCTGACGATACAGTAAGAGAATTACGCGCTCAAGTCGAAGCGTTGACCATGCGCAACAACCAACTAACGAACAGCATGACGCCCAGAGTTAACACGGTAAGAGTCTCGAAATTACCTTTGTTCATTGCTCTCCTCGCCTGCCTGGCAAGTCCCACCACCGCGTTTAATGCTCTTTTATGTCTACCGAACTCTCCCGAATCGCTGATCAACATTCCATCATCGTTCGATTGCAACTCAGTCAAACCCTCCCCATTCACCCAGACAAAGAAAGTTTCTCTCAGCGTTTACCGACCAAATTCCATTGCGTATGACTCTACCGCCACCCTCTGCAAAATCATTCAAACCACGTCCACTTTCTCCGTTAACCTTTTTGGATCCCGCTACATCGAAACAAATTCCAAGCAAGCAACCGTTTCGGCAGAAGAATGCAAACTAATGATGAATCATCAACGTTGCTCATTCGGTGACCTTCAGCCAAGAGACGGCATTTTTAAAACCAATAACGCCCACAGAATCGAATGGCCAAACTTTCTAATCGGCGCGCTATCCCCAGCAAAAACTGTTGTAACAAATAATTGCCTCATGCTCACAACCAGAATTGTAATGCGTTTTAATCAAAAATTTCCCGAGTCTCCCGCGGGATCCATGAGGGGTTGCGACTACACAACGGGCTTCTGCAACCAACGCCAGGGAGCGGCATTCATGTGGAAACCAAATCCAGAACAGAGTTGCCGTTTCATCAAACTGCGGACCATGTCCGGTCACCAATCAGATAACATTTGGCTGTCTGAAAACAAAGAATTCGCACTATCTTTTAACTCTTCAAATCCAATAATCGAAGACTGTGGCAAATCTCTCGTAGTCACAGATCAAGGCTTCGCTGTCCCAACCAGACGAATTGCCAAACGGGAAATAGTCCCACCCTCTATCACCAACCTAACAAACTTTGTCTCGTCAAACCAACTTTCGGCCCAGCTCTTGGCGGCAGAGAAGGATATTTTAGAATCCTCCTCTCTTTGGTTTGCTCACTATTTCTTATCATGGTGCGCGTCCTTCAACGCACTCGCAGCGTCTGCCGTTGCAGCAGCAGCAAGCCACCCCTCACTGTTCGCGCGCCAAATACTCAACCAATCTAACATTCAAGCAACCTTCCTCGGCAAAAACACATTAGCCATTAAAACTTGCTCAGTAATTCCACAATCATCCTTCTCCATCGTCCCTTTCACTAATATTTGTTACTCTCGACCATCAATCAAGATCAACTTGCCCAATAACTCCACGCTCAACACTTTCATAGACCCCATTACCCAAATCATCACCAATGAAGCCAACCAAGTGCCGTGCGCACTGATTTCCAACTTTGAATACATGTTCGAAAACCATCTAGTACGCATCAATCCCTTTTCAGGAACTATAGAAAATACACCAAGACACTTGCTTAAATCGATTTCCCCATTTAGCATTTCAACCTCCGACATCGTGCCATCTCAACCCACAATTTTCCACCACCTAGTCATCGGGTCTATAACGGAAACAATCTCCCCAGCCCACTATAACGAAATCTGGGACGCATTAGAGGGTTCAGCCGACAAATTAACAAAAATCGTAAGCCGCAACGCTTTCTCAACCAGCGGCAGCACAAAAGCCAGCGAGATTAGCGAAGTCATCAGCGCCTACGAGCAATGGCTTGACTTCGGTCACCGATTGTTCCAGGCCTGGACCGCTATAGTTTGCACATTTGTCACCCTTTACGCAATCTTCCTCGTCGTAGCCATATTCATCAAGCAACAGGCCGAAGCGCTGCCATTCAGCGTTTCCCACCGTTTTGGCAAAAAGACGGCTAATCCACCCTCCGAAGTCATCTTCGACTATTCGGACCTACTGCCGGCAACAACTACAATAGCTACCTTCCACTCTCCGCAAGCGTTTTTCACCGCGCAAATTCCCATTAAAGCGAACAACATTAATCTCCTAGCCCTGGTGGACACCGGCGCCAGTTTTACCATAGCAGGCTCCGAGATATGCGCACTCATCGGCATCCACACGCTCAACAAACCGCTGACTAACAACGCTATAGGCTTGGGAGGCAACGAAGTGAAAATTGCGGGAACCGCGCCAATCAGGTACAAAATCGGATCATTCGAAATTCAACACATCACACACTTCACGATCAATAAATGCACTCCACCGGGTCCGTTCTTCTACGACATTATATTAGGTAACGACTTACTAGCTAAACTCCCAAAGTTCCAACTGGACTATAACAAAAACACTTTCGAAATGGGAAAAGACCAACTTCCACTAGGGAAATCTTACCAAGTGAACCCGGTCTTACCAACTTCAGAATTCCCAATACGAGTAGCAAAACACACACAAATCCCACCCCTTTCAGAGGCTTTTGTCACTTGTGTTTCCCCGCAAAATAAAAACGTCTTCGACGCCACTCTCATTTCTCAAGCCAAAAAGATCACAGAACTTGGACTTCTCATCGCACCAACAGTCATATCAACTAACCACATTGCTCTTCTCGTTACTAACCCATCGAATCAAATGGTCACTCTGTACCCAGAGATGACCATCGCCACCGCGGCGATGGTATTCTCCGAAGGCACACCTGAAAAAGTGCTGACCTGCCATTACTCTTCAGGGGGTTCCCCTGACGTTCTGTCAATAGATAACGAAAATTTCAGAAACCCGCAGTTTAAGATCGACCTGACCAAGGCCGAACTCTCAGATGAGAGGAAGGAACTACGTGGAAACAATCGGTAAGAAACCTGGCAAGGGAGTCCGTTCAGATCTTCATAAACCTTTACAAGCCAAGAAGGCTGATCGCAACAGCAACTTCCGCGCTATCCTTGTTAACCACTACATGGAAAAGCTTAGGTGAGATCGCCACTCTACAGATCGACGAAGCAAGTCAGTTACCACTGACAACCTTAGTTGCTCTCTCAGCCAGTTTCCCAGACGCAAGGATGGCACTGGTAGGTGATTTTCGCCAATTACCACCTTTCAGTCATTCCCGAAGCACACCAATGATCCGATCCACCGCGGTTTCCGAACCGCTACGAGCTCTGGTCGAGAAACGATTGGTACCGACCGTCGAACTCCGCCACGTATGGAGAACTCACCCGACCATCACAACCGCATTGAGTGATCTATTCTACGGCAATTCCCTCATTACCAAGGTAGAGGCTAGGGAGCGGTCAAACTTTATGACACGTACCCCGTGGTGGCCGAACAAAGAGCATCCAATCCTGTTCGTGCACCACACACACAGCCACACCTTGGCTGGTAAGTCACTCACCAACACCGGCGAATTAAAAATAGTAAAAAGGTTAACTAAACTAATCGGCGAGAATATTCCAGAAAGAGATGTCGGAGTCGTGGCATTCTACCGAGCTCAAGCTGACCGAATTGCCAACGCGCTGAACGAAGTTTCCGTCACAACTGGCACAGTTGACGCTTTCCAAGGCCAAGAACGAGAAGTCATGATCGTATGCCTGACCAGGACCCACGGAGATCCCACCGACTTCTTGCTCGACGAACGAAGAATAAATGTGGCGATGTCCCGGGCGAAACAGTGCGTCATTCTAGTCGGCAACGCAAACATCATTGGAGAAGCCGGATACTGGAGCGAAATATTCCGCACATGCCGATACGCACAAACGATTCTCACCGAGTCTCAACTACCGGAAGCACAATAATCACGTTGGTTCCCCTTTACTTATGTATATCAAATTCACATCGCACACATTAAACCATTTTCTCTACATTCACCGCCACATTTACCCTATCACAATTTTCATTACTTTTTAAACCACCCGGCGTTTTAAACAATACCTCGTTTTTAATATTGGTTTTAATCCCCTCAATCAACCTTTCCCCAAAACAAAATTTTTTTTCCATCATCACATCTTCATATTTTCTGCTCTCTCCATATCATTCACGTTATTTAATTGCATTTTGTTACACTTTGCCTTTATGTTTCATATCATATCTTTCATTTCACATCTTATTAATTTTGTTTAATTTTCTTGTAAACGTTTCCCTTCCCCTTCCTCCGTTCTCTAAGAGCAAAAATCGCTGCCCACTTCAACGATCAGAGACGATCTTGAAGAAAAGGGGATAGGTGTAAGTGAGTCATAGGGGCAAAATCAGGTCGACCAGCGACCGGAAGGAGGCCAATATATATTTAATCAACCCTCCGACCGGAAGCAATAATCCAAGGCCTTTATCAATGCCACCAGCTCACCCCCTATATAAGCAATGCTCGTTAAACGAACGAGGAGGTAGGAAGCTGGGAGACCCGTTTTAAGTCCACACCCTTTTGTTACTCATTCCATTGTACATAAATAAACTCTTAGTTGTTTATTGTTTGTTTCCAACACGAATCGATGAACATGGAAAGAGTCGGGAATATGGCCCACGAGGCCGGGGTTTACGCGTACCCTCAATTCCCGCACTGGATTAATGATATCTTTCAATTTCGAGAACCGCCTAATTATCGGGGTGAGACCATGCTTAAACAATTTCCAGATAAACTATTTTTCGAAGCTTCTTTGATTTCTCTATGGCAACGTTTTACGGATCATATGATTGCGACTTACTTGCGATCAGGATGCTTGAAAATCAGATAAGACAAAACACAATTCAGTTACTAAGGAAATCAAAACACAATGCGAGAATTCGGGAAAGAGAATGACGACTTGGACAATCAGATTTGAAGAAGTGTCTGGGAACTAGGAAATCCCAAAGTCCGATTTAAGATGCAAGCAAGACTTCCACGTCTTCCAGCACTAGCGACGGATAGTCCGAATATCGTCAATCTCAACAATCACAAAGCCCGCAATCTTTCAAATTGATTCACTCCGGTAACTCAAAACCAATCGGATCCGACAAAATTCGACTCCGGAATCAACCTTATCCGATTGGAAATTCTACGGATGAGATTGTTAAATTGTCGGAACCGATTGGTTATTTGACAGATCCGATTAGATTTTCTTCGGACCCGATTGGTAATTATTCGAATCCGTTTTATTTTAATCTTTCAATTCGAATCGGATACGACAATTTTCCAATCTTATTCGTAGAATTACCAATCGGATAAGGTTGATTCCGGGGCCGAATTTTGTCGGATCAGATTGGTTTTGAGTTAGCAGAGCAAAGCCGTAGCTCGATTCTACTAGTCATTAATAGTTTTCAATTTGCATGATTTTCTTTTTTTTTGTATCGAGACAAACACTCAGATTTTGTTAAATTTTTTTCCGATATACATACTTCGATAATCATAGTTCAATTTTCAATCATATTAATAAATTCTCGTAAATTTTGAATTGCGCGCCTATTTTTTTTATATGCAGTCCACAAATGTGCCCTATAGAAATGTCTCGTTGTATAGCGCCCTCTCTCTCCCTCTATCTATGCTTCTCGCCCTTTTTTCTTTGTGTCTCTCACAGTTTCTTCCTCTCTAATATTTCTCTATTGCTTGAAGTATGATCCCGGGCCACTAAATAAGCTCTTGTTTCTCTCATTTTGGCATTTTGACTCAATAATGTCATCCTGACCAAATCGCGTGCACCACACACCCACATCTACGAGCCCAACAATTTTAAAAACGAAAATTTTGATTCCAAAACGAATCCAATAAATTGAAGAACGCCACCTACTTCGAATCGAATGGCAAACTTCATAGACTTTGGCGAACGTCTCAAGAACGGCATCGTACATAATGGGATAGTTGAGGATTCCGTTAAAGTCGTCGAATTCGCTATCATACGCCGACTGTCCGATATTTTTGACGACCAAACAGGAGAAACTGTTGAAATCGGAGAGGCATCGGTCTCTCGACGACTCAGCGGTTACGAGATCCTAAAAATTCAATGGATTTTAACGCTTCGAATAGAGTTTGTAAGTTTGGCCAAAATTGAAATTCATGGGAAAAATTGAATCGAACGAACCGCAACACAATTGCAAAATGTGGTATCGCAATTCTGTTTTCCCAATTTCAAAAGGTAGCAGTCGTCATGAAAAGCGCAACACAGATTGACTTCTTCATTTCTGACCGGACAGCCTTTCGCCAAAACGCCCCATGAGAGTAAGGTGGTGAGTTGCGATGAGCCGCAATGCCATTGCGACAACGGAATCGGCGCATCGTTCGCCATGAATCTGCAGTTGAGCATTTCCGACGATGGTGTTTGCAATCAAACGAAATACAGAGAAAAATATTTGTCTTGCTCCGATTCGTCGTAGTCGTCATCAATCGTCCGATAGCTGTTCGTGACTCGCGACGAGAGCAAGAGAAAGAAACACGTGATTGGGAACATGAGAATAATCGAACTGATAATGATGACGAATGAATTTAAGAGGGGCACGTCGATTACAATGAAATAAGGCTTTACACGTTGGCCCGAATCGAAATTAGAATTTGCGGTTTTCAATTGCAAGACATTTTATTACCCAAATTTGATGTTGTATTGATCAACTCAAAAATATCCCGATAGCCATTGTTGGACGACATCAGAGGTAAGTTAACTAATCTCAGATAATCGCCGTAGTTAGCAGTGTGATCGAGTACGATCGATCTTGGTATTTAAGATCGATCGGGATCGATTGACCTTTCAAAAATCGATCGAGCCTGAGGGCTCGACATGCGCGATCAATTTTTAAAAGTTCAAACGAGATCGAAATTTTAACAATTTTCGGCGCACACTGGTAGTTTCAAGGAGCTGACAGAAAACGCGCTTACAATCTTCAAGGGATACGGTAGACAGTGCGGTGTATACACAGACACACCAGAGTTGTCGCACATATACAGAGTTTGAGTGATTTTCCATTGTTCTGCTCGCTAGGCTGGTTGTTGCTTTGATATTGTCGGCGTTAAACGACTGAACGGGATCTTAAAATTCGCGAAATCAGTGTCGATTTAATTAATCGTTGACTGAATATTAAATTCGCGTACAGTATAATGCAATGTGCGCGGTCTCGCGTGCTTCTAGCTGTCTCGAGACGCATAGGCAATAAATAATAATTTATTTCTGTCTAACTTTTGCAATACGAGAAGATGATGAAGAAGCAATTGATGAAAGTGATGAATCATCTGAATATTTGCGATTCTTAAGCGTCAAATGAACGCATATTCCGCCAATGACAACGAACACGACAAGCCCGATTCCGATTATTAGACCCAGCGACAAAAATTCGTCATATATGCTGAAAATACTTCCGAGTTGTGCAATAAACAAAGAAATTCAATTAAAAACCCTTTTATTTCAATTTTTTCCCTTAACTTCACAGGTTGCTGATCCTTTTCAATGTCAGGTTCATAGTAGGATTGCTTCAGAGTTGGCATGATCGTAGTGGTCGTTCTCGTAAAAGGAATTGTACTCTTGATCATAACGCTATACATGGCCACTTGAAAAATGGTGAACATTCCTGAATTTCTTATAATATTTCATTATTTAAACGATACCAACTTCTAAGATTTAATTTTATGGTCCCAGGTTTTACAAAAATGAAAAATTGTAGTTTCGGATTAATTGGTTCACGTTTAATTAAAAACTGCTTGTTGTAAAAATTTGGCACATGCTTCCACGTGGATTGATTTCGCTTGATTAGGATTCCATAATCCTAGCAGATGAACAAAGGAATTTGATAGGGGCAGGCACTTGCTCTTAAGACAGTCCTGAGACCCCCCCCCCACCGGGCAGGATTTGAGCCCGAACTGAGCATATCTGAAAGCCGCTTTGTATCAAACCCCAACTTTCACTCGAGAGAACAATTTTTAGCATAGTCAAAGGCAAACGAATGGTTCGACGCGTTTACCAATTCTGATCTCAACGGGAGTTGCACATATTGTTGCATGTGCCTTTGATGAATAATGTAGTTTTCAATGCATTTCATGCTATGTTCAGATCGCAAATGCTTACGATGCGAAGATTTCAGTAATAAACGCAATTCTTATATATTTACTATATTTATTACAATTGTAGAAAAATCCAGCACCCTGCGCCAATTTACGGTGAGTTTGATTCGCAGGTTATCTAGAGTACGGTATTCGAATTCCCACAGTTTAAATTTAAATTTGAATTGCCGCTTCAAAAAATTGCGATGGTCCACAATTATGCAAGGCGCTCGTTTTTTTTGCACTGGTAATAAATCTATTCCATATTTTCACAATTATTATCCACGATGTCTGCGCCTCCATCCACAACACGCTCTCTCGATTGTGTCTCAATTTCTAGAAATAGTACGAGTTTTCTAGAAGAAGCGCGTCAACCCAGAATATTTTGCCTCCCTTTCTGCTCCTTTCTAGGAGCTCCATTCAACTCTAATTACTCAACTACGTGTTCTCACGCCACCAATCGCCATTCTCACCACCACAACGAATCCGATTGAAAGAAATTCTTCTTCAATGTGGAGGGTAAAGGAGCAGAATTTTTCGAATTCCATATTAGAAATCCTAATGTTTTTATTTCACTCGAATAATTCGAGAATGCGACGATGAAGAGGTGATTGATCGAAGCGATGATTCATCCTTAAATTTGCGGCTCCTGTGCGTCAGATAGATGCAGATTCCGCCAACGATGAAGAACAGAACAAGCCCCGAAAAAATTGTAAGCATCAATGGCAGAAATGAACTAGAAGGGGCATTCGAGCTAAAAAAAACAAACAGCTTACAAATTGAATTGTTTTTTTTTGTTGAAAATTTCGAACCTTTCCTTTTTTACATTCCAATCTATATTTTTATGGCTTTCAGTATATTGTTTCTCGGGTTTATCAAAATGTGTATCGATTGAAATATCATCGAAGAATTTTGGCGGTGGAATCGATAATAAACTCTTAATCAAAATTAAATATATAGTTAATTGAAGCATTTTTTTAATATTTCTGAAACATTTTTTCTTAATTTTAATTAAATTAATCGACAAACCTTTTGAGATTAAAATAAAATGATGTGAGAGTTGAAATAAAAAATTTAAGCGAATTGCTTCATTTGAATTAGATCACGTCAAATGGAAAAAGAAGAAGGGAAATTGGCTCGTGTTAGCCCATTTTGGCACCTTCTACCATCTGTAATGCGTCGAAAATTCGATCATTTCTAATTCCCGCGAATAGTGCGATTCCAAAAAATATTCATCGATTTGCATTGAGTCAATCATGCCAGGTTTGATTCGTCGGGTCCCAATTGTGAATGGCGATTTTGTCTAGAAAAAAACGTAAGCACATTTTCGGCGCCGAGCCGAATGAAAACGCGGTCGCCGAGCGCGCCGTCAGCCGTCGGACAGGCGCCGTCGTCACTTTCGGGCGTCAAGAAGCGAATGTCAATGCGAAAATTGGCGACAGGTCCTGGCGATCAGAGTGTTAGCGATTGCACCCAACCAAAAATTGATCGTCTCGATTGTTTTGCAGCTACTCAAAACGCAAACTGAAACGAGTGTTGTTCACACGGAAGGGGTCAATCCGAAACAGGATATTGTCAAAACGCTTGCCAAATGTTTAATCGAGCATACTTGGTTTCACGGTGTCATGCCGAGAGATGAGATTTCCGAGCTATTACAGGTTTCTCTACATTCTAATTTAAAGAAATTATTGTTGGAATCAAACGACTTGACGAAATTCAAAAAAAAAATAATTGGCTATGTGTCAATTAGGGCTGCGCGGCAATGCGATTGCCGATTGCCGATTTTTCAAATTGTCGAATTGCCGCAGTGCCGAAATTTTGATTTTCGGCAATTTGATATCAAAAAAAAATCGGCGAAACAAAAATCAATGTCCATTGAATAATTTGAGATACCGTGAAAATCCGGAAAAATATTTATATTTCGAATTATCGTTGAAAAAATTTAATAGCCGAAATTTTGATTTTCGGCAAATTGCCGAATTGCCGAAATTTCCGATTGCCGCACAGCCATGGTGTCAATGCCAGCCCGCGATATTGCGTACATTGCATTATATCGTACGCGCATTTAATATACAGTCAACGATTAATTTTAATCTACACTGATTTCGCGAACTCCGCCTCCCTTCAGTCGTTTGACGCCGACAATATGAGTCACGCGCATTTCAAATATTCCATTCAATGCCGAAGCTTGGAAAATATTTTATAATACAATGGCGAGAAAAAAAAAATAATTCTTCCCTTTATGAAAAATTAGATGTCCCAATTAATACAAAAATCTCATACATCGTTTCAATTTATGCGAAATATCTTAAAGGCGCATGACTTTCTCCATTTTTGATGCTTCAAAATACGGGTTTTTGCGCAAATGTGTGCCCAATTTTGATATTATGAGTTGGAAATTGTTTTCAGCAAAAGTAGAAATCATATTATAATTTTTGAGCGATTTACTTTCAGAAAGATGGTGACTTTATTGTTCGCAAAACTACCGAAAAAGGCAAACCGATAATTTGCCTCTCGGTTCGACATGGTCCCGAAGTTCGCCATTTTCCGCTATCATATGAGAATGGGATATGGTTTTTGAAGAATGTCGAAATACACCCAACAAACTATTTGATATAATTGGTTGTTTAGATGGACAAGAATCGCAAATTTTTCGATCTTGACGAACTTTTGAATTATCTCGTCACCGAGAGATTCCCTCTTCCGCCGTCGAACGCCGTCTTGATTCAAGCGATACCCCGACCCGAATATTATATTCTTCACGACAATATTACACTCACCAAAAAATTGGGATGTGAGTCTTGTCAATCAATTGAGAGCACTTGAATCGATTACAGCTGGAGCGTTCGGTGAAGTGTGGAAGGGTAAACTGAAAAAGGTTGTTGGTCCTGGAGACGTCGTCGAAATTGAAGTGGCCGTCAAAAAAATGAAGGGCAATCCGACAAAAGCCGTAACTGCTGAGTTTGTGAAGGTAAGCATTCAATGAATTCATTTTCGCGATGTTGAAATCTTCTAGGAGGCCAAGCTGATGAGAAAACTGGTCCATCGCAACATTGTGACCGTCCACGGGGTGGCGCCGAGCGAGGAGCCGCTGATGATTATCATCGAGTTGGCGTCGAACGGCTGCCTCAAAGAATACGTGAAGAAGCACAAATGTCCAACCGATCAACTAATGCAATTCGCCGCCGACGCTGCTCGTGGAATGGCGTACCTCTCGTCGAAATTGATTATTCATCGCGATTTGGCGGCGCGCAATTTGTTGCTCGGCGCGCAAGTCGAAGTGAAAATCGCCGATTTCGGTTTGTCGGTGGCCGGAAAAAACGAGATAAAGGTCAACAAAATGAAATTGCCGATTCGATGGCTCGCACCGGAGACGATTGATACGGTTCGTCGGAATGGTGAAGCGTTGAATGTCGCCAACGATTCAGGGTGTTTTCACCGCCAAAACCGATGTGTGGTCGTATTCGGTCACACTGTGGGAGATTTTCAATCGATGCGCTTCCGATCCATTCCCGAACATGACGAATCAGCAAGCGAAGGAGAAGATTCGCGTGCGTAGCTGCGCGCGGTAATTGCAGTTTGCTCTCAATGATTGCTCTTCAGACACTCACACCGCCGATGCAGGCGCCGCCAGAAGCGCCGATGGCCGTCGTCCGCCTCATGCTCGACTGCTTCGAGAAAACGCCCGAAGCGCGTCCGACGTTTGCGCAGATTCTCAAACGTTTGTGTCCGAATGAGGACGTGTCGGAATACGAGAAGAATCCCGACGTGCGTTCTGAAATCCGCGATTCCCGCGCAGTTGTTGTTGTTGTCCATTTCAGGAAGCCAAAACTCAGTATGGCGACGTTCCAGATGAATCGACAAAACAAGTTCGCCTGACAGTTTCGGTTTAATCATTTTTCCCTATGCGCCTTTATTTTGTTGTGCCTCTAACTTCAGAATCGTGTTATTGCTCCGAAAAAGTCTGGATCTGTCGGCCAAATGCTCAAACCGAGCCCATCAGGCGGTCCTTCCGTTTTGTCTCCGTCGACGGCAGCCTCGTCGACGACTCTCGTCAAAACTGCTCAACCAAAAGCGCCGGCCGAATCCAAGCGAAAATCGATAATGCCCAAAAAGAAAAAGAAATAATTTCACTCATGCATTGTACTGTAATAAATTTTCATTTTCGATTACAATCTGCCAATTCTGAGTTTCAAGGTTTTCAGATCATTTCTAGTTTTAAACAATACGCACTTTTAGGATGTTATAAAAATTCTAATGAAGTTTTTATGAATCAGACAAAAAAATTTCAAAAAAACGTGAGAATCATAAAAAACGTCTTCTGTTTCGAAACAGTGGGTACTAGGAGCAAAAACATGCGCAGGGTGGCGGAGTGGAGGGAAGAAAATGGCCAAAATTCGAATCCTAAATTTCTCTGATTACCTACCCTATTTTCGACCAATTCAATCCAAAACACACTCAAATGAGAAGAAAAACAAAACCGAAATTGTTCGGGAAGAGTTCGAGAAACATACAAGAAAATTGAATAAAGCCAGAAGGAGACAAAAGAAAAACACGAAAAAATACAAAATTTACCAGAAATCACCGAAGACATAATGAATCGAAACGTGCAGATTTCATATTAAAATTGTTTAATAGACAATTTTTAAAAAAGGGATGGTGTGAGATTTTCTTAAGCCTTGAATCCTTCGAGCTGCGATTTCGGCACATCGAACACCGTGCTCATCATCTCCTTCTGCTCTTGCAAATGCGTGTATTTGTTTCCGGTGGCCGGCGACGACGACGGAAGACGTCCCGCGTACTTCACAGATCGTCCGTCGATCGACAGCAATGAGTTGAATCGCGGCTGCACGAATGTCCAAGCTCCCATGTTTTTGTGCTCCTGAAAATCAATCACAATTTCAAAATGTCAAAATAACGTTAGGTAATAGAAAAGTTGATTTTAAGTCGTTTTTGATGGAAAAAAAAAACTGTTAAAAAAATTTGTCATTTATAACATTTGTCAAAAATAAAAGAAAAACAAGAACACTAAATCTTAAAACCAGTTTCTTTCTTGCCTGAAGTTACATCAAGAAATGTTTCGCTACCACCGTAACCTTTCGCAAATTCTTAAAACTTAATCATACCTCCTGCGCCCAGATGAGTTCAGCTCCAGCATACTTTCTAGCTTCTTGTTGAATCAAATCGTACGGGAACGGCGAGATTTGTTCAACTCTCACCAACGCCACCTCGTTCTCTTTTCCAATAAATTTGCGCGCCGCAACCATATCGTAATAAACTTTTCCTGAACATCATCGCAACAATTAGTATAAATCACTCACAAATTGATGGTACCTGTACAGAAGACGAGTCTCTGCACCTTAGTCGGATCCTGAGTTGGTGCTCCAGTCTCCGGAATCACACGCTGGAACGTCGATCCTGGCGCAAAGTCCTCGACTGGCGAACGAGCCAATGGATGACGGAGAAGAGATTTCGGCGAGAATACGATTGCTGGTTTACGGAACGGCATGGTGACCTGACGACGGAGAAGATGGAAGATGTTGGCTGGAGTGGTGCAGTTGGCAACGATCCAGTTGGTATCATGCAATTGCTGGGCCTCGAACGTTCCTCCGAACGCGACACGCTCGTGGTCAATCTCATCGTCCTCATTGCACATTTGCAAGAATCGTTCAGGTCTCGCCGATGAGTGTTCCGGTCCCATTCCCTCGTAACCGTGTGGAAGAAGCATGACGAGTCCCGACTGACGGATCCATTTCGATTGTCCGGACGACACAAATTGATCAATAATGCATTGGGCCGTGTTGGAGAAGTCACCGAATTGCGCTTCCCAGATGACAAGTGAGTTTGGATCAACCATCGAATATCCGAGCTCGAATCCGAGAACCGCGTATTCCGAAAGCGACGAATTGCACACCGTGTATTCGGCTTGTCCTTCCATCAAATCGTTCAACGGGTTGTACGTCTTCGGATCAACTTTCTGATCATGGAGCACGTGGTGACGATGCGAGAAGGTTCCACGCTCAACATCTTGTCCGGAGAGTCTCACGTGAATTCCTTCCTTAAGCAACGAACCGAACGCCAACGCCTCTCCGCAAGCCCAATCAAGCTGAAAAAGAGAATAATAAGGATTTCCGTTTTGAAAATATATTAAACTTACAGTGTTATCTTTGAGCATCTGTTTGCGTCCCTTGAGAATTCTCTCAAGTCCACGATGAAGGTTGAATCCTTCTGGAACAGATCCAAATTTGTCAATGATATGATTAATGTTGTCATGCTCAATTCCAGTTGACGGAAGCTGTAAGCGCCATGATTCAAATCATTGTCATGGATTTCTGTAATTCGTACCTTGAGTGGATCGCGCTTCTTGAAGAAATCGTCCCATGGTGAGTCGAGCCAATCGCGATTACGCACATAGGTGACCTTCTGCGCGTTTTCGTAGGCGTCCTCGAGAATCGCTCCGTATTTGGTGAGTTCTTCCTTGACGTATTGCTCATTGGCAACACCCTCGTTGAGAATCTTCTCTTGATACTTCTCAAGAGCAGTCGGCGTCTTCTTAATTCTCTGGTACATGAGTGGCTGAGTGAACATTGGCTCGTCGAGTTCGTTGTGTCCATGCCTGAATCGAACAGATTGGATTCAATGAAACCCAACGGATTCATTACCTTCTGTAGCAGACCAAATCGATGATGACATCCTTCTTGAACGTCTTTCTCCAATCAGCAGCCACATTGCACACGTGCATCACCGCTTCTGGATCGTCGACGTTGACATGGAAGATCGGGCATCCAACAACACGTCCAACATCGGTACAGTATGGCGAAGATCTGCTAGATCTTGGATCAGTGGTGAATCCGATTTGATTGTTAACGACAATGTGAATAGCTCCATGAGTTGTGTAGCTCGGCAAGTCATCCAAATTGAATGTCTCCATGACGACTCCTTGTCCGGCGAACGCGGCGTCACCGTGCAACAGAATCGCCATCGTGCGATCGCACATCTCATCACCGGCGTAGAACGCTTCGGCGCGCACTTTGCCCATAACGACGGGATCGACAGCTTCCAAATGTGACGGATTCGCGACGACGGCGATTTTCACGTTGCGCTGCGATTGACGATTAAGACGCTCAATGCACACACCGAGATGGTATTTGACATCGCCGGATCCTAGAAAAAAACAAAATACGCGAATTAGAGACTCAACATCTACAGAAATTCTTACCTTCATCGGCAGGCTCGAGTGTCGAGAACTGCGACAAAATTGTGGCGAGTGGTTGACGACAGACATTGGCGAGAACGTTGAGACGGCCACGATGCGGCATTCCGATGACGAACGAATCAACACCCAATGTGGACGATGAGTCGATCACTTGCTTGATGGCCGGAATGAGCACTTCGCAACCCTCAAGTCCGAATCGTTTCTCACTTGGCCATTTCTTGGCGAGGAATTCCTCGAATTTGGTCGAGCGGATGAGTCGCTTGAAAAGAACTTTCTTTTGGTCGTGCGAGAGTTCGGTGACTCGCGGAGCTTCGAAGCGCCGTCTGATCCAATCTTGTTGTTCCAGATTGTTCAAATGCATATATTCAACACCAGTGGTTGTGCAATAGATTTCCTAGAATCAATCAAATTCAGATGATCCTTGATTCACAGTGGGTTACCTTTAATCGTTGAAGAATATCTCTCAATTTCAAACTCTTACTTTCAGTGATGAAAGTGGTTGGTGGGAGAAGGAATTCTCTGTCGAGATCACGCTCGCCGAGACCGTAAAACGAGAGTTCGAGCTCAGGCGGAATCGTGTCATCAAGATCGGCCGAGTTGATTCCGAGCGGATCCAAATCGGCGATGTTGTGTCCACGAGTTTGGTAACTGCGAATCAAAAGCTGGATTTTCAAATGATCAGCGATCGATTGAACCGAAGCGTTCATGTCGACGCCGCTTCCGACAGCCGCTGGCGAGGCGCTGAAACCAGAATTTTCCTGGTGCAAAGAAGATATTCAAAGTCTTCTAGTCTAGGTAAGCAGAAGTCAACCAAAATGTACTTACGATGCTGGTGCTCTCTGAAGAGCTCCTCCGAAAGCGGTTGCTGGTGGTGGCTGGAAAGCCTGACCGGGCCCGGCTCCAGCTTCGACGTTGCGGAAATACGCATCCCACGAGGCGTGCACTGATGATGGATCCTGAAGCCAGGCGTCGTACATCTGCTCAATGTAAACCGACGATGAGCCATTGAGGAACGGTTCCTGTTTCACACTAGACGCAATCGACTGTTTTCTTGTCTGAACAATTATCGCGCATAATTTTGAATACGACTCAATTCGATCAACCTGAGTAATCGCCGTTGTTCTTGCTCCAGTTCTCGTCGACGACGCAGTTCGGATGGCGCTGAGCCGGCTGGGCGACGCGATACGACACAACAGACTGGCCCGGTGCATATTGGCCAAGTTATCGGATTACTGTAAATTCAATCCGCATGAATAGGGTGGAATGACAAAAATATACCGCGAGGATTATTAGCAACAAAAACTGGAACAATTAAAATGGGAAAACGTTTGGCTCGATTTTCACGGCGTCAAGCGATCAAACAAAAAATATTAATTTAAAGGGGAGGGGACAACGAAAAAAAAAACAAGAGAATACATATTTCTGAAGATATTTATAAGAATATTTTAAAAAAAAATGAGCCTCTGTGTCCAACTGGAACAATTTTCGTTTGTAAACTTAAACAGCTGTTTAAAAAAACAGCACTATCGATTTTCACTTAAAAGACGCTTTATCCTCGCGTTTTTTTTGTTGATAATCCTGAAGGCGATATGTAAAAACGTATCATGCATATGCCAAAAACGTATAGAATTTCGTGGAAAAGGGACGAGATAGAGCAGTTGCGAGGCGAGGAAAAGCCGAACAAAAAAGAAGAGAAGACTGGCAGTGAGATGTGGAAGAGAATTGCTGAGAATTAGATTGGTAGAAAGATGAATGCAACTTCGCTCTGAAACATATTTTATGCAAATCTTGGCGCACGTTTTCTTATCGATAATTTGTATTTGATAGGAATTCCAAGGGTGCAACAAGTTTCAAGTGAATTTTTCTGATATTTTTAAATAATAAGGAAGTATCCAATTGAAAATTCAAAATGATATCAATCGACTAAAGAAAAGCGAGAAAAGTAAAATTAAAATGTTCGCGTTGAGATATTTCACGACCATTTCCACATGCACCTTTGAGGAATACAATTTATCAGCTGTCTTATAAACAATTGACGTGTTCGTATAAATAAATCAGGTGATGGACAAATGGCAGCGCAAACTCTGACCAAAAACCAATAAGGCCGAGAATTGGGCGGCCTGGTTCCTCCATTTTTGGTCATTAGCAAAAATTGAAATTGCATGATGAGACAAGTGAAAACAAAATGGGAATTGCAATCTATTTGATTTGGCGAAACTGCGGCAGAAAATATGCTGGATTCAAAAGTCAAATGACAGCTCCTTCGCGAACGGGGAAGCCCTTTTGGTTCCTCACAGTTCGCCGAGAGAAAAAAACCATTTGATCGTCTGCGGCGTCTCGACACGACGCACTGTTTCGCCAGCAACACAGGCGGCTCGCGATTCGCAAGTAGGAGGACGGGTGCCTCTCACAAACGGCCGTCTCTTTAAAAATGCGTCATGACGAGAGTGTCAAACATGCGGATGAAGCTTGCGTACGAAAAATAGCTCACGATTATGAGCGGGTTCAACGCGAGAAAATCGGCTCACTCACTCAAGTTGGTCCCATTAGCGAAATTTAAACGAACAAAAAATTATTGAAAACTTGCGGTTCATCGCAACATGTGACCATTGAATTTCGAAATTTCAAGTGAGACACGTCATCGGGTTTTATGATAAGAAGAAAAAATTTAAAAAAAGAGAGCAAAAGAAAAACGAGTAAATAGCGAGAAACTAGGAAGTGAGATGGGCGAATTGAAAACAATATTTGAAACGGACGAGTTACGGTACGCAATATCTGCAAACACCGACTCAGCAAATACACACTGGATTAATTTTTTGAAATTTTTTTGTCATTTTTCTTAAAGACATAATTTTATAATAGGAAGCTTCATCAGCGAATTTTATGAATGAAATATACTTAAATCAAACTGTTCGCGAGTATTTGAACTGTTTACTTTCCACTTTATGCCTGACTTACGTATTTAGAATGTAAATAAAGTTGCAGAATGTTTCTTTCATCAAGCTTGCGGGGATTGCCGCTGAAGAATTCGAATGATGCACGAATTCTGTGTTCACTGCTACAAAAGCGAGCAATGCATTTGATAATGAAGCAAGAATCCGTGAATCGGTGAGAAATTGAGAAAAAGCAAAAAAAAACCAAATTTTTAATATTAGAACATCCACTGTCGTGTTCCAATCTCGTCTCTTTTCAAAATCCACGGATTTTGAAAAGCCACCCGCAACTGTTAAAGAAGCGAAAAACACGGGAAATGAAGGAGCTTTGCAGAAATCGATTCTGGAAGAGGTTCTAATCCATGAGAAACGAAAACCAACTACATTTGGAGGAAAGGTGGCAAACACAACATTTTAGTTATAGAAAGAATTCATTCAGGTGGTTGAGAAAGCTTCAAATACTTTTATGTATACTGCGGTTTTGGTCGGAGTGGGATTGATCGGAGCATTCTTTTATGTGTTAGCTGGAGAATTCTTTGCCGAGGACAGTCCGCAAACCATATTTAACAAGTGCGCAATTATTGAAATTTAGTCATTGTTTAAAAAAATTTAACTCGTAGGGCTTTGGAAATCGTGAGAAACGACGGCCGCTGTATGGACATGTTTGGTGCCACGATTGCCGGATTTGGAGAAGAGACGTCACGCGGCCGCCGCCGTCACGTCGCCCATCACAAGTACGAAAAAGATGGCCGCGAGCGAATCCGCGTTCTTTTCCACGTGAAAGGTGAACGCGACGAAGGAATCGCGCAAGCCGAAATGGAGAAGCGCGACGGCGATTGGCAATGGCGATTCCTGTACGTCGAGAACAAACGACGTCCGAAGACCACACACGTTCTCATCGATAACCGATAATTAATAACGCTCTAGTTAGCGCTTAAAAGGGTCCCGTTGTTATGTATGACGTTTTATTATGTTAGATTTTCTAGGAAATAAAATTGAGTGCCAATATCCGAGATGTTTGACTGTCAGGGGGTATCTCGCTGAAATGAATATCTCTATTGAATTTCTAGTATTCAACTAATCATTTAGATGGAGGACGATGGATTCACACTGGTAACAAAAAGGAAATCGAATAAATCGAAATACGTAAGATTTATTTATTTGGAAGGTTTTTTTCTTGCTGTCTTATAAAAATCTTGAAGAATAATTTTTGAAAAATTTGACTTTTTTCTATAAATACATACTAGCTTAATTTACTCCGTGCTTATGGTTTGCATAATAAAAAATCGTTTGCTATGGACTTTTCGAAGTTCGATCATTATTGTGGTTTTCCAATAAAATGAAGAGATAATCAAATGTATTGTCGGAGTCAAACGACTTGCCGAAATTCAAAAAATTATTGGCTGTGCTAAAGCGTCTCGAGGCAGCGAGAAGTACGCAAGATTGCGTACATTGCATTATAGTGTACGCGCATTTAATATTCAGTCAACGATTAAATCAAATCTAGACTGATTTCGCGAATTTGAAGACTCCGCCTCCCTTCAGTCGTTTGACGTCGACAATAATCCTATTAAATATTCAGCGCTTTCGCTCCATAATTCCATAATAATTTTCGATGGAATTTCAAAGTTCGCATTTGGGCAAAGCAATAGCTTTTTAATAATCAGAACTTGCAAAATCTCCGAATTGACCGAATATCAAATCATTTATTAGCCACAAGAATCGGCCAATCGGACTCAAACAACGTCCACTATTAACGGCAATGTAAAATTTATTAAAAGGCGAGAATAACGCGGAAAAGACCAATGATATTCGACACCCGATGAGAGGAAGTTGAGAAATTAGGCTGGCGCGGCTCCCTCAGCCGGAGCTGGATCAGCTGGAGCGGCACCTTGTTGGCTGGGAGTCGGTCCGCCAGCGGCACCCTCCTTCTGAAATTGGAAATTGGACGAGTCGGATGGGCAGCGACTTGCCTGTTTCTTTCCACCGCACTGAACGAGCATCGACGAGAGCATCAATGAGACGAGAATTGCAGCGAACATGATTTGTTGGAATCTAGGCGTTTGAAAACGCTTGCAAGGCTGGCGAGAAAGTCTTGTGCGACGAACAAGAACTAGAACTGAACGCGCTCATCATTTTTGAGATTTCGTTGATTTTGATCTGATTGATAATGAGCACACGCTATCAATTTTGTGCGATTTTTGCCCAATTGTTGAGTACGTCATTTTTTATGAAAAAAATTGTTATTCTTATTCCTTTATTTTTTCCGCCTTCCATATTAACGGAATTTTAGTTCTTATAGATGGAATTGAGATATAGATATTGCCTAACTCACTCTTTTAATTACATAGTTTCTCAAATTTCGGACCTTCTAGGATGAGAATATGTAAAATTTCCAAAAATTGTTTTATGTATTTCAATTTTTCATGGTCTTAATAGCTTTAAATGTTTTCGAGATCATAAAAATGGCCCAAATTTTACAAAGAAATTAATTTATTTTATTATTCAGACAAAAACGCCAAGCGGAAAACACATTCGAGCTGATGGGAATCTTGAAGACATTGAAAATGCGATGCAACAGGCCAATCGGAATATTCGAGATTCTGGTATTTGGTATATTTTATAAAAATTTGATTTTCTGCTTAAGATTCATTTCTAGAAACTCACGAAGAGCATTTAGAGAATTCAAATATAGGAAAATTCGCTGAATTTCAGTTTTAAAAATAATTCATCGAGATTTTGAGAAAAAAATAGTGTCACTTTTTTTTTCATTTTCTAAAAATTTGCAGTATAATTCGTTATTTAATTTCCAGCGATTGGCTCTTGAAACGAATTCAAATGCCGCGAAAAGTGTTTGTTATGGGAAATGGACATTTTGATGGAATCCATGAACCCGGAGCTCATCAATTGGCGATGAGCATCGAATTGGCGTCTCGTTCGAATGCTGAAATCATTTTTCAAGTACTTTTTTTTCTTAAAATTGTCATTCATTTCAACACTTAGGATCCAGTGTGCACAATATTCGAGAATAAATGGCTCGAATCAAAAGCTATTGAGATTCGAACGGATCTCGACGCGAAAATTAGATGTGATGAGTCGACATTATTTGTGATTATTCACGGGCAACACGAAATTCTTAATGAATTTTTCGAATTCAATTTTGAGCACAATTTGCTGAACAATGCTACAATTATTGGGAACAACTACAAAAGTTGTAATTGGGAACTAACTCAAAATAAGGTATCAACATTTTCTTGGTTAGATTTTTTTCAAAATTGTTCATTTTCAGGCTGATTTTCAATTTATTGATCGATTTTTTAATTCAGCAATGATAACTCCAATTGATTGCGGGTACAAATATCACAGTACCGCTTTTACGGATACTGTAATTATGAATTTAGAACATAATAAATGAGTTCGATGGAAAATCCTGTAAATCTTTTTTTTTTCATTATAAAATTATCTTTTGTTCAGATAAAAGCTAATATTCCAAATTAGGTATTTCAGTTTATTTCTTTCGTCTTCTAAAACATTCCTGAAATTTCGAATCGTGTCCTGGGCTCTTGTTTTTTTGCGGTATCAATGTTTTATTTCGATGAATTCAAGGTCCCCAAATTTGCCGATTTTCGTTTTTATTTCTGTCATCTTATGATGATATCCATTATTACTTTTTCATATTGTGAATGCGCTTAGCAACCCGGAATAATCCATTTGAAAATGTCTACGAAATTCCAAAAATAGTCGTCAAAATCTCCAACGGATACACAAATGATGAATGGTTTAATGGAAATCACTGGAAATGATCCTTGAAAATGTCAAAACTCTTTTTTTGAGAGCAATCTAGCGAAAGATGCGCCTTTGAAAATGAACGAAAGGAAAATATTTCGAATATTTTGTTTCAAAAGCAGGTGCGAGGCGTCTTGAATTGTCGTTTTCTGACCGATGTTCCCTAGTTTTGGTGAAAATTCCTCGATTCATCATCGACCCTATTAGTATCTGAAGATAAGCCAATTGAAATTGATTCATCGATCTTCAGCTTGTGTTGTGCCTATAATATTTTTGCTAATAGGTGCCCATCAGATCTGCACGGAACTCAAATTTTCTAAAAACAGAAGGCGGAACGAAAAAAGTTTAACGGAACACCTTAATCTAACTCGAATACGTTAAGTTTAACAGTGCAGAATGTGAGAATTTCCAAATGCTCATTCGACAAGGACCTTTTTGTCGAACAAATTTCACCGGTGTGCTAAAAATCTTATTAGATTCGCTACATTTGCTAAGTATTAGGAAATATTTTAAGCGAAACACCGAATACGGAAGTCGGAATAAATTTTTTTAACGGAATTCGGCTCACGAAAAACATTTTTTTTTGACGAAACACGGAAACTGAACGCCGAACAGGAAAATGTCACAAAAAACGGAAGACGGAATTCCGTGCAGCTCTGGTGCCCAACAGAATTGAATATAGGATTTCAACAACTTTTTCTTGCACTTTTTCATATATCGAAACCAAATTATCAACAATATTTATTCATTTTGTTTATTTCCACAAATCAAATGTCAATATTTTATAATAGGCATTGCTTTAGCTTCTCTACAACATCTTCGTCTACTTCGTTCAAATTCGAATTTGCTTCCGGCGTGATTGTCTTCGTCTTGGGAGTATCGGTTGTTGGCAATGTCGAGATTGGAGTGGAAGTGGTTGAAGGTTGAGCAGTCGTTGTCGAGATTGGGCAAGTATAATTTGGAAGAGGCTGAACATGTTTACTGTTAACATCTTAAAGATTTTGAGCGCCCTCCTGCGGCACGGGACCACTCTAGACTGGGTCGCTTGACGTGAAATCTACAGTCGCCCGACGCCGAATTAGCTACATACAATGTCTGTGAATTTTCCATGAATTGCGTAAATGATCATAGTTGATAGAAGTATATGCATTGAAGATCGCATTTTGTCAGCTGAAGGAGAAATTTGTAATTCTGAAAATAGTAATAATAATTGTTATTATTATATTTTTTCGAAATTGGCTCATAATGCAGCGAATTTTTGGGCTGCTTGCGCCGGGGGGGTATGGGATGAGCTGACAGGGCGATTTCGACCGCTGCTCGCGCTCAATCGTCAGTCAGTCTGACCCGTTCTCGTCCTGCTTCGCCCTTTAGATGGCCCGACGAGTCAAACTTGGTGCGACTGATAGGCAATTTGTCATGGAACCCCCGGTTGAATTCCTCCAAACTTTGCAGATAAATATAATATGTACATATATGCTTTTCCTAGTTTCAGATGTCAGTCAATCGATATTGCAATAGGAGAAAATTGTTTGAATATAAAAAACGCATTACCATGGCAAAAAAAACGAGGACCCTTTATAGATTTACATTTGATTTGTAGGTTCCCACATTTTGAATTCGAATTTGAATTACCGCCCTCCAAAAAGTGCGATGGTCCACGATTTTGCAAGGTTCTCGTTTTTTGCGATGGAAATAATTTTGTTTGTGCTAAATCAAATTGATTTTCGCAATCATGAGAAAATAATTTTAAAAAAACCAACTGAAGCATTTTTAAATCTCTAGTATTATTTTCCTATTTAAAAAAAGAAAAGTGGAAAAATTGAACAAAAATTCTTCAAAAAACCGCCTCATAAATGCACGATGAAACTGGCAGGGCAATTCCGTCAAGCTTTTGCATGTTGCCATACCAATATTCGGAACAATCTGATATATGCAAATTTCAGACTATATACGGATTTTAAATTATATTGCAAAAGAAAAAAACAATTTTAAAAACTATTAAAACCTTATGTATGCAGATTTTTGCAAAAACTGGTTTTTTGAGTTTTTCGAGTTTTCTGCATAAACCAATAGTTTTTGTCTTTTCAATAATTTCTAAAAATCACAATTTATCAAGCCCGCGATAATCTGTAAATCGAAAGTTCGAAATTGTTGAAGTGAATGAATGTATGGACGATTTCGTATAAGGGTTATTCAAAATTAAAAGAAATGAAAAAATTAGGCTACTCAAATAGGCCGATGGCAGCAAAATGCCCAAATTTGGCCCATCGCCGTCAATCCCCAATTTTCTAATACTATTTTTATTTATCAACCACACCATGATAACGTGCCCCCTAGGCGCCTTTGAATATACCCGATTGTTCTGTTTTTTGTGTGAAATCAATATCGAAACAGACCAACGAATAGTTGCTTTGAGCAAAATGAAGTGTTTCAAAAATATTAATTTGAAAATCGTTCTAACCTAAACATTTTTTGAAAATTTCCTTTTTGAAGGCATTGTGGGATTTGCAAAATATAATATTTGCTTATCAAGATTATCTACAAAAGTTGTCTGGCTCTCTTTGCCCCTGTTTAGACTTCTTGGCGGTACACATTTGGTATTGTGATCTTGATTAGAGCTGTTCGGCAGTCGACAATTCCATTGCCCTATTGTGGATATTTTTGGGAAGAGGGTCTGAGAAATCAGAAGTCAGAATTCAAAATTGGGGATTACTGGAAATGCCGATTTTTGCTATCTTATGATGATATCCATTATTACTTTTTCATATTACGAATGCGCTTAGCAACCCGGAATAATCCATTTGAAAATGTCTGCGAAATTCCAAAAAATAGTCGTCAAAATCTCCAACGGATACACAAATGATGAATGGTTTATTGGAAATCACTGGAAATGATCCTTGAAAATGTGAAAAACTTTCAACACAAAATTTATTAACTAGGAAATACACAACGATTTCCTTCAGAATTCCCCCCAAATAATCGAAATCCCAAATTTAAGTTAAAAGTATTTGTTCTTGGCAAATCGTCGCTTTCTCAACTTCTCACGAGTCGCTTGTGGAATATCATTGATTCCGAATTCCGTCGGATTCGCAACATGCTGCATTTCCAGACTGTGCTGGAAGATTATAAGGATTGTCAAAAAACAAATCGAACTAATATATCAACCCAATTTTCCTCAGATTGATAATCCATGTCAGGATCGTACAGTTCATCAAGACCAATATGCTGGCAATAATAGTACTGACGGATTTGATAAGAGTCGACTTCCTATATTAATCGTCATTTTGTTTGATTTGATTGTCGGCTAATTTCACCTCAGCGAATCGTTTGCGATTCGAACACAACGGATGATTGAATTCCGGCGTCACCATGACGCTCTTCTCGCGCGGTCCAATAAATCCGAGTTTCCTGTATTCCCAAAACGCTGAGAGCATATTATCAAATCCCAATTCTCTCGGATTGAAATTCGATGTTCCACGAGTGCTTTTGTAGACCTTCTAAAGCAAATCAAAGCAATTTCTTGAGAATTCAGTGAAACATACGAATTCTGATCGAATCGCCTTTTTCTCGTAATCCGACAGTGCTGCGAACCACGGATCTGTTTCGTAGATTCGCTTCCACGGCTCATTGTCCTCCTCGTCCTGTTCGATTTGCATTTTCTGTCGTGCCTCCCAAATCGCAAGGGTTCTGATGTAGGGGAATCGGACGACATACAACGGCAGCGGTTGGAAAACAAAACTGATGTACTCCTGAAATTTGTCTCATCTGAATTCTTGAATTGAACATTAATTGCCTTCTTTGGAAAAAGAAACCAATAGCAAACGCTCTACGGTAACCCGAAATCTATTATTTAAAATTATTCAACAACTCAAAAATGTTCAATGAGTCGACGAATCAATCAAAATTAATTAAGATAAAAACCTGAATACGGTTTTTGTAATAAACCGCCGGGGTGTTTCCTTTCGTCTGCCGATAGGTCGTCGTTGTGAGAATTGCGCGATACGCATCCTTCAAAATCCGAAATTGTTGACCCAAAAAAAGAGCCCCATGCCCCCAAAGCCTTACATCCGCGTAATCATCACTAGTCTTCTTATAAGGCCACCATGGCCGCATCCGCTGATCTTTCAAATAATGATAGAGACCCGGATTGTCTTTCCTCAAATCATCAAGTTTGCTGTGCTCTTCGGGCTTCTCGCGTCGATAGCAAATCCAATCATCGGAAACAATATCCGAGATCGTATGGGCCACAAGGATGCCGAGTTGAGCGAGCGCCGGCGCGTCTCGTTTTTTGCTTATCCATGTGTCCTTGAAATGCTGGTACTCTTTAACGCCGACGTGCTGAAAATTCGCATCTGGCGTTTTCCGTTGCTAGCCAGTTTGGACCAACCACTGCGCAATCAATCTTCGACATTCGCGATCTCTTCTTCAGTCTCATTGTGCAATAGTGTCGGATAATCGTCAATCGCAGAACGTCTCGAAGATACTTTGGTAGAAATTCCTTGGAATCCTTGCAGCCCCTTGGATCAAACTCATACTCATCGTCCATTTCGATTGGTTGCTCATCTGGAATATGCGGCAAAAGGCGATTTGGAAGCAAAGGGAACTGAAAATATTTGAATTGATGAATTCGCCAAATCATTTTACATTTTTCATCATTCTCTCTCTTCTCTCGATCAGTTTCATTCTCTCCTTGACAGCGGTTTTTCGTTTCTTCTCGAACTCATTTTCTTTTTCGCGGCGGTACCGATTTGGTCGAAGCCATTGCAATGTCTCGTCTCTTGAATACAACGTGACCGTATTGAAGTTTGGCGACATGCACTTTGGAAAATATTTCATCATGAAATTGCACAATTTCGACCAGCTCCGAGCGTTTAGATAGACAATTTGGAGGAGGAATAACGCGATGTAAGACCACATGAATCCGGCAAAAGCTCTGAAAAGAATCGATTAAATTCCGATGGTTTTTGGAGATTCATTCAAATATTGAATGATCAGACCTGTCGAACCATTGAACTTCTGGGTAGGATGTGCTGAGAACTCCGAAAAGGTACTGGAAGAAGAAGAGCACAGGAAGAAGCTGAACAAATCGGCGCTGTCGAGTCACCTGAAACCTGAGTTCAAAAACTAGCAACCCATCGTCGTATCACCTTCGCGGTGAGCTCAATCTTCGTCGGAGCATAATGCTGCCACCACGCTTGTCGTTTCCAGCGGTGTATTTCGTTTTGATCGCTGAAATGTTATGAATGCGAATTGTCGTTGCCGAAATCGACATACGCAAATCGATGAACTACCCATATGAAGACGACGCCAACCAAAACGATGCAGAAATTGAAGAGGAGCATTACGAATGCCGCTGTGGTGTTGACTTGGTGCAGCTGCCCAAGACACGACCAAGTTGTTGTGACACCCAGTGGCTGAAATAAGAGAAGCATACACAATCCCACTGTATTTCATACGTTTGAACTGATACTAATGGCGTAGACGGTGAATGCGATAATAACTGCACCATAGATGGGAATTCCAAGGAAACACTGAAAAAATGGAGCTTGAAAAATAATAACACAGTGTTTGCACACTAATCATATTTCCATTTCAATTTTCTCGAATGAATCGAGAACCCATTTAGCTTCAAAAATGGTACAAATTCGAAAAAGAAAATATGCGCATTTACTATTAATTTTCACAAAGTTCAAGAAAAAACAACAATTTTAAAAATTTTGAAATATTCCAGAAAAAAATTGATAAACAATTTTCACATAATCGATTTTTAGAGTTTCTTACGACATTCAAATTTTAGAGTTTCTTACGACATTCATCGTGGAAAGCCCCAAAATGCTTTAGATTATTTTCTCAAAAGATTGTGCTATTCTAATCTGGGACCAATGAAAACGTAAATTAGGCGAGGAACTTCGAATTCAGCCGTATTGTACTCAAAGATTCAAGACCTCAGAGCTTAATGAAATCGTTCAAAGTGCAGGAAAATACGAAAAACGATGAAGCTGACCCTAAAAGCGACGTGAAAATCGATTGAAGTTGCAAGAAATAATCAGAAAATTGACTGGTGAGCCTTTTTTGGCTAGAAAAAAATGACGCCAAATACATACATATGTGGAAATTCATGAAAATTTCGAAATTTTTTAAATTGTTCTTTTTCTGTTGAACTTTGTTAAAATTAAGATGAAACTAACAAAAAATGATCGAAAAATTCAAATTATGAATGTTTTTGGTGCTATTCGGGTTCTCGAGAATTTTGAGTGGTGATATAATTATGTGGAGTACTGTAAAGTGTAAAACTAACCAATATGTTTCTCGACGACGAATCCGTCAGCATGAAATCATCCCACGAGCTCCAACCGTTTCGCTGACGACACAACACTGTCCCTTGGTAGGCGACAATTTCGGAGGCGTGGAACGCAGTCGCTAAATGAGGCGCTGGTTTGAGAATATTCGAGCAACGAACCCATGAGAGCGGCACCGTGAATCAAAAAGAAGTAGAAATCGCATCCGGAAGACACTAGACCCAATATTTGCGGTTTCCGGCCAATTGCGAATGCCAACGCGTAGAACAACACCGTCCAATGACGACATCGGATTATTGTTGAGAAGCGATCCTGAAGAAACTCATCGATGACTCAATTTTCGTTTCAATTTCACATCGTTTTCTTTGATTTCTGTCAAGGTTAGCGACGCGACGATGAGCCATAAGACGAGCAATATCCAGAATACGTTGATCGAGATACTGGCTCCAGACAGCCATCCATACTAAAATATTCATTTCTTAATTCCCATTTCCATTGTTTGTTTACTATGTTCCATCCGAACGTTGTTCTGTTAAATTCGCATTTCTCCGAGCCCATTCCGTAGTCGCACTCGCAGACAGCATTCTCCAGTTCGTTGACGCATTTTCTGAAAATTGAACAGTATTGTCTATATTTAATATGCCTATGAGTTTATGACGCTCGTAATCGGTGATGATAACTATTGAAACACGAAGATCCTTTGAGAATGCTAATTTTGGTTAAATGTTATTCCCTTAATTGTCCTTAATTGCTCTGCGAGTTATTACAAACCAAAAAACGACGGCCCTATCGACTTGCTGAGAAAGTGTGCTGTGACAACGGGGATAAAAACTGAACTCGTCTGTTTGAAGATTTTTAAAATTTTTTCAATTCGAATTGGGAAAAATCTGTGCAGATTATGGAACGAAGAATCGAAAAACTCAAAAAATCGAATTAGTTGGATTAATTTTTTGAGTGTTTTTTTTTCAATATTTGCATATTACCACTACTTAAAATTTTTGCGTCATGAGCAATAATCGAACTGAACCATAAAATATAAAATAATCAATGAAGAGGACCCATTATTTGAGCAATAGTCGTTCGCTTTGTCGTCGATTCCACACCATTCGCCTTTGACTTCGCACCAATATCCCTGAATTTTTAAGATATTCATTTTGAAGGCATAATAATTCGTATTCCGAAATATTGATCAGTATAATCTTACATTGAATTTTTCTTTGCATTCGCATTTATATTCGCGAACACTTGTTGCGTTGTTGATGCCGACTTCGGTGCATTTCTTGGTGCCGTACCAACTGCACATCGAGCAATCTTCGACGAGCTCCCGGTAAACACCGACAGGATTTTCCGGAACGAAAGCGGCACCGCCTGAAATCATTTTGTGAGCACACCGAGTTCTTTTATAGTTCGATTCGCCGTACGTTTTCGGACGCATGTGATCGTTTCTGGCGAAGGCACCCACCATCCCGAATTCGCGCACTTCAAATCCCAATTTTGTTTCTCACAGTCCGATTTTTTGCAAGTAAGTCTGAAAATGTTCTCAATTTGCTTTCGAAATAATTTAATTTTTTTTAATTTCTCGTAATCATTAAAAATTGCGTGTTCCGAATTTCAAAATCCACCTGATTTTTTTCGTTTTAATATTTTCAAATAACGATCGTGCAATTAATTTTTAAATATTTATTTTTGAGTTCTGCTTTTTTTATCTCTTAATTACCATTCATATTAGGTAAGTTTGGGTAAGGTAAGCTTCCAGTCATGAGCCTTTAATAATTGTCTCAAGCGGACAATTACAATTTATCAAGATAGTAAAAATCATTTTGAAAATAAGTTTTCAAACCTCAATGTTTCGCCAATCTCATATAACGTGTTGTTTTTGGGCGGAATTTTCACCAACTCGCCCAAATCCTCAATCGTATACATACTGCCCGTCGAGCATTGCACATTCTTTCCATACTCTGTAGAATGGCAAATTTCGTCAATTTCTCTCTCAACCAATTAATGTACTTGGCACCCGACAGATTGGTGTGATTTCGTCGATCGTCTCGCCAAATCCGACCACTTTGGTCTTCGGATTTGTTGGGAATTTCGACAAGTCCACTATTTCGACCTATAAATCGCACATGAGTCGGCGAATCGGCGAATTTCAAAACTTTTTTGTTTTGTCGATGTTTCGGACCACCTTCGGAATCGGCGAACAATATCGTATTGTTCATATACAACCTTCTAAAAATGCGCCATTATAAAACAACAAGCACCACGGATTACTGTATCAATAGTTATGCCTTTCCCCCGCTTGGTCCCTTCTTTTTTGGTTTTTCATTTCAAAAAATTCCAATGCTCAATTAATCATTCAATGCGAATTTTTGACAGCTACCGTATCCCCTATTTCGTCGTTGCGAATTTGTTTTTCCATCTCATTAAAACCATGCCAATATATCGGGTAGCTAAGGGCACCGCATCTATACGATTGTCTTCAATATGAATCCGTGACCAATGAAATCAAATTTTGCAAAAATCGAAATTGAACGATGGACGAAATTGTGGGCGAGAGGATGTTCACCATGCAAGCGATACTTTCGACTTACGTCATGTTCATGAGCAAAACTCGATCGATCGGATCGTACATTGCATACTTCGGCACAAGATTCGACTTGGCTCCGAAATTCTGTTTGCAAGTCCCAAAATTGTACGAATAGGTGTGAAATCTGAAAAAAAAAGTTGAGAATAGCAAAATAAATTGCATCTGAATTGACTGACGTGTTAACAAATCCATAGCAGAACAGACGGCCTTCAATCATTCCATCTGGACAAACGTTCGTCGGAGTTGTACTTGATGGCGAACTTGTGGTGGCTTCTGATGCTCCTGAAGGCGTCACGCGGGTCTTCAATTCCGTCATTAGTTGCGTTGGTGTTGTCATTTTCGTCTCCGTTTTTCTAGTTCCATCAGCCATAAAATATGTTGTAGTTTGTTCGAATTGTGGTCCGATCGTCGGATTGTCCATTCGTGTTCTAGTGATCGTCGTTTCGGATCTAATCACCGAATTGGTCGTCTTCCGACTCATCTCATGCTCCGTCGTCTTTTCAGCCTCCGATTTGCTTGAAGTTGACCGTGGCCAAGTTATTCGTGATGTTCGGCCATAAGGGTTTGTAGTTGAAAAAAGATCGGAGTCGGTTGGAGACTCGATTGTAGGCGTAATACTCGAGGTTATTTCCGACGTCGATGTACTTTTGGTTGACGAGACTGATTCTTCATAATCCTTGGTTGTCGTTTCTTTCGTCGACTTTCCTTCTGAACTTCTATCTTCGATGTCTTCGGTAGTTGTTTTCGGTGTCGTCGACTCTTCAATCTGTTCCCTATTCATAGTACTCGAGCTCTCCTTTTCTGCATCCACTCCAGTTGTTGTCAATTTTTCCACGTTTGCAGTACTCCTTGATTCGGACCTTTCCGTTGTTTCGTATGAATCTTGTGTCGTCGACTCTCCAATTCCGTTAGTGCTCATCCCACTGGAGCTTTCCGCTACTGCATCTGTTGTTGATGACGGCAATTTTCCAATTTCGACGGTACTCTTTGATTCGGACCTTTCCGTTGTTTCGTATGAATCTTGTGTCGTCGACTCTCCAATTCCGTTAGTGCTCATCCTCCTTGAGCTTTCCGTTACTGCATCTGTTGTTGATGACGGCAATTTTCCAATTTCGACGGTACTCTTTGATTCGGACCTTTCCGTTGTTTCGTATGAATCTTGTGTCGTCGACTCTTCAATTCCGTTAGTGCTCATCCTGCTCGAACTTTCCGTTACTACATTTCCACTTGTTGTGATCTCTTCAGTTTTTCCAGTGCTCAATTCTTCGGCTCCCACGGTTGTTTCAGATTTAGTCGAAATTCCGCTGTCAATGGTCGTCGACGATATCGGAATCGATGTGATTGTGGCTTCCGACGCTGGTGTGCTCTTCGCAGATATTTTACTTGTTTCCACTCCTCTCGCTGTCGTTTCCTCATTTGTTGTTGTACTTCCTGTGGCTTCTTTTGTCTCGACATTTGTTGTCATCTCGATTCGCGTCAAGACATCGCTATCAGTGGTAGCCACCGATGTCGTGGGCTCTGATTGTTCCGCAGAGGATGTAACTGACGTTGATTTTTCAATCTAAATAGCATCCGACGAGTAAGAAAAAACATTATTTTTTACCGTCGATGTTGTATTCACCATTCGGATCTCATTCGTCGAAACGGCTTCAGAAGTTGCACTTGCTGGACTCGTTGTTTCTTCCTAAAAATACGTTTCAAAAGTATCTCATAATCGAATTAACCATTTTCGTTGTCCGTGTTGATACTCCTGTCGATTCAATAGCTTCTGTCGGGCTTGATCCAATGGTTGAGCTGCTCTCCGATGAGGAATAATGAAAGCTTGAACTGTCTTCTGTTTCAGTAGTTGTCTCTCCTGACGCCTCCGTCGTTGAAGATGTTGAAGAAAAGATATCCACGTCGTCCGTTGTTGAAGATTCTGATATTGTGCTCTTTGTTATTGTAGAGTCATTCGACGTCGTTGAAGTCATTTCATTCAAACTAGTTGTGCTTGTCGAATCTGTTGCGATCGATTCTGTTTCTGCCTGCGATGTCTGCGGCAAAGTTGAAATCAAAAGTCTTTCAGACGTCTCCAGCGATTTCGATGTTGATTCCCCTCTCACAGTTTGCGTTGTTAAGGTGGAATCATGAACGGTTGAGGTGGAATCTGTTTCCAATGAAGTGGTTGAGATTTTTGTTGACGATTCAGTCGCTTGAGAAGACATCGATGATTTTTGTGTAGAGGGTATTTCGGTTGACGATAACGGCTTCGTCGAAGTTTCTGGATCGACTCTGGTCGACGTCAAATTCAATCCAGATGTTGTTTCCGTTGTCACCACTTGATCATTGTCAAACGTAGATGATGTTGAAACTGTCGCAGATGACGTCATTGAGCTTGGATTTCCTGTTGAAGGCGACGAAATTGTAGTTGTTGCATCTGTGGTTATCATCGTTGAAGAAGAGGTGTCGGTCGTGTCGGTTGTTGGAGTAGAAATAGTACTAGTCGCATCGGTTGTTGTTGGCGAGAAAGTAGCTTCAGATGTAGAAGTAGAAAACTCAACTTCGGTAGTTGACGGCGTATTGCTTGTCGTCTCGGTAGATTCTTCAAGACTTGTAGTTGCGATGGTAGTGACCGTCGTTGAAGAAGTTGGGCAGAAGACGTTAGGAAGTTCTCCGTAGTTAATCTAAAGTATTTCTCAAAAATTACGCCTTCTATATAAAATGTGGATCTAGCAAAAATATAGTAATTTTCTAATTTTGTAAGGTTTGAACCAATATTTCAAATTGTTTTGTGACTTCGGACTTTTCAGTTTAGACTTACATAGCGAAGTGCAGCAGTCTCTGGTTGATGGAAATATATGGCAAGAACCACAAGAAACACAAATTTCGAAAGTTGCATAGCTCGCGCTGAAGATGAAATGCTTCAATGTACGGCTTGTAGGGCAATAAAATGAAATGGGCGGAGTTTGCGAATAATACGAGGAATGCTCCTATTGGCTGCGTGGAAAATGGAGAGTTGCAATTGAGAAGAATTTTCAACAGAAATTGCGAGATTAGAGTAGTAACTGCTTATCATTTAAATTTTGAACCGGAAGAATGTGCGCGACTTCACCGCTCAAATTCTTCTAGAGCTTTTTTCACATTGCGAAGTCTAAACTTTTTTTTTCAGCAAAAAGAGGACTCTACATATTCCGTAATCCGAAGCAATCGATAATTCTGGCTCAGCTCTGTTGTAGTCACTTTAGTATTCTTCGTAATTACCAACGACCGTTAAGACCCTCCAAAAATAACAATCTTTCAAGCTTGGAGTACTGTAACTATAAATCAACTGAGATCGCTTAGATATTTTGCTACAGTAACATTTTTTCATCCAATACATCCAAATTTCGACCTGATCGGCTAGAAGATGGGCGTATGCCAAGATACAAACCTGACAGATTTCTCAATAAATAATTTATTTTAGTTTTTATTTAATATTACTCATGAAATAAACATATGGTATGCAAGACAGATTTAACATCTTTCGCTCTCGCTGTTCCATCAAATTTTATTTTCTATTTGTACACTTTTAGGCCGATTGATCTGAATTGTTTTTTGAAAATGTTTCTGACGCTATGCCCAACTAATTCATCAATCTGCTTCGTTAAATTTCAAAAAGAAAGCAAAAAATTGAAATTTTTTTGACATATGAAGAATTACAAAATTGAGACAGCACTCAATTTTGATCTTTTTCAACTCATACCGGTAACATTTTCGAGCTGATTAATGATGGACGGTTTCTTCACAGGAACATTTTCTGGGCCACCCTGTAATAGTCCGTGCGAGACCTTAGCATAGCACATACATCCACACACGTACAGAGCTCGCTGGACGTCGACTAGATGTGCAACTAACATTTGTGAATAAAATGTGCAAGTGTCAATGCTCCTCCTTGCTCGTACAAAATTTGCGTATTTCTCTTGGTCTCGCACGTTCTAACTGGCTATTTTGCATTTTATGGGTCGGTTCGATAATTTTTTGATCGAATGATGTTAGAAATGCCGAGAAATATCGAGCTCATCAAGAAAAAATGAAGCAGTCCACTTGAAAAGGGCAAAAATAAGCATTCACGCGTGGCGAGACGTTTTCAAGGCGCATTCACGTAAATCTACCCGCGTACAGCAGTCACCGGCTATATATACAGTTTTTAGAAAAAGCGTTTTTTTTTTAAGATTTACTTTTATCAAGTTTTCAATTGTTTTTACAATTTTTCACAAAAAACTTTTTTGACGTAATTAACATTCAATTTAATAAAATTTGCTAATTAAAATTAATCTAAGCATAAGGTGATTCCAGGTGATTGCTAAACGCAGGTAGATTTACGAGCATGCGCCTTCACTATGGTCTCGCACGGACTAACTGGATAATTTGAATTTTAGAGGTCAATCCGTTACTTTTAAGGTCGTCGGAGGCCCACTATTACACGTTTTGAAACCCTAATATTTCACAAACTTCTTATAAGGTACCATCTCACTTTCATAATTTAATTAATTTCTTCATATCTATATTGAACACGAAAACTAACAGTTTTCTTTTTTGCTCTCCCGGCGCGATTTTACACGGATCGCCGTCATAAAAACAAATTTTTTCAGTATCTACATAATTAGATTTCTACCAAACACAGTTAATGGTTAAGTTAATGGTTGTGAGCAGATTCCGATTAACTAAAAATATTATGACTTCAGTCAGTGTTACATGTGCCAATTTGTACGTGCAAATACAGGGTTGTATATTTTTTTTACATTTTTTTGTAACAAGCCAGTCCATAACGATGGAATTTGGGCGCGAATAGCAACTGCGGCCATCCTCCTATCGGACATTCTTCGAGCTTCTCACAACAACAGGCACGGCTCAAATGGTTTTCGGCAATCAGGGAGTCAAGGTGATCTTCACAACATATCTCCAGCAGACAATGGCCTCGTTTTTTTAGTCCCGTTTCCATACCAATCATACGGATATATAAGGCAACATCTTCGATCTGCTTCAGTTGACGCGCCGAAAAAATTCGAAAATGCTTCTTTTGTATGCTATATTGATGCTGATTGTGTCGACTACTGAGTTTATTATAAATGTATAGTTGAATTGAAATGATACTATGATTAATGATCTTGTTCGTTCAGGAAAAACCACCGTTGTTTTCAACAGACCGAGATATAGATGAAAATGCTGAGAAATACGTTTCTAAGGTGTTTCCGAATTACGGAAACGAAGGCTATGTAAGGAATTTTCTATATTAATTGAAAACGTTGTTCGAGCAAGGAGGAGCCTTGACACTTGCACATTATATTCACAGATCTTAGTTTCACATGGACTATCTGGTTATTTTGCATTTTATGGGTCGGTTCGACAATTTTTGATTTGAAAAACGCAAATCACATGTAACGAGCCCATTTCGAATGACGCACCCAGTAAATCTACCCGCCTAAATCCGTCGTCGGATACCGACTATATTAACTCAGAACGAACATGTGTAAAAAGTTGCATTTGAATTGGAAAAATGTCTCTTCTCTTTGACTTTTCTTCTAAATCACCAAGGAAATTAGTTAATTCAGCGTCTGAATAATTTATATATACATATATATGTATAGGAAATGGACAAATCAAAAAGCACCGAAAATTCTACGTGAATTCGTCAAGTTCATATATTTTTACTTTTAAAAGTTACACCATACCCCTTCTTAAAAAGATGCCACCATTTTTTACAGCCGCCAATAGTGTATCAAAGAAGAGAAGGAGAAATGTTGCCGCATAAATGGTATGTGGCCTGCTTCAAAAACTGTGTTGATCGTAAACATCAATTCGTTGTTATTTGGCATAACGAGACATCGGTAATAAATCCAAAAACGTGTTAAATCGCAATCGTCGTAATTTTTCAGATTTCTTGTGAAACTCTCACCCCGTCAATTAATCCGATAAAATTAAACATCACTGCTGATCAGCTTCTATCGGTGTCGGAATCAAATGCTTGTTAAATACATATATCAAATTTACGAAAAAACATAAAGATTTCGGCAACAAAGCTTGCTTGCCATTTGTGCTTCTTTATTTATGTGGATTATTGTGGAGAATCCAGTAGCTTCAAAATAAAAAATTTAGACTCAATTGAACTTCAAAATCTATGTACATATATATGCACCTTGAAGAATATAAAACATCAATATCTGATAACTGAAGTTATTTCAAGGTTTAATATGTTTTTAGATTTAAAAATCGCAGTTAAAAACTACAATTCAATTGCGATGAGCGATGCACGAGTTGCTAATTACAATAGTTTATTGATTTAATGATATATAACAGATAGAACAAAATGGATAAATACAATGGGGCCGCGAGGGGAGTTGGTAGTGGGGAGATAGACTGCCAATTCATTGATAACGGCGCCTTTTATACTCGGCGCCGCGGCTATATTTGGTTACACAATCAAATTTTCATTCAATTCTGCAAATATCCTCTAACAAGAGCAAATAATTAAATAATGAAATCGAGTAGAGTGAATTATCGCGATTAAATCAACTTTGGCCTGTTTGAAAAAAAAAACAATCATCGGCAACACTTTATTATGATTATTTTATTACTTTATTAAGCATTTTATTAAATGCAATTGTCGGGATGGGGAAGACAAACAATATCTTGGACGACTCTGAAAATGAAACGATATTGAGTTATTGTTGAGAAATGACAAATGTATCCAGGTGTCGTGGGATCCTGCGTTTTGTACGCAATGCTAAGAGACAGTTACCGTAATCCTCGCAGCGATTTACGGGGACTTTTTTTTTATTTTCTTTCAATTTCTTTGCTGAATTTTCTTATTTTCTTTAGAAATCTTATATTTAAAACCTGTAGAAACCGAGTTTAATTACTTATTTTTCAGAATATGCACTTTTCCATTTGTCCAGTTGAGTTGGGAATTATTGTGAAGATTTTGACGCTCAAAAAATTATTTTGAAAATGAAGAATACAAAAACAAGATAATAAAAACGCGTACAAAAAGAAAAACACGAATAAATAATTTTATTAACGACAAAAATATTTTCTTTTAAATCTCTGCTGTTTTTACCAAAAAATATAGTTTAAAAGTGTAATTCTGTCAAATAAATAATTAAACTCGGTTTCTACAAAATTTAAATAACAAAATTTTGAAGGAAAATACGAAAATTGAGCGAAAAATTAAAAAAATGAATATTCGAAATTAAATAAAATGTCCCCGTAAATCGCTGCGAGGATTACGGTAACTGTCTCTTAGCATTGCGTACAAAACGCAGGATCCTACGACACCTGGATACATTTGTGATTTTTCAACAATACCAGATGTTGCAGTTACGCGTTTTTTTTTCACTTGTGTTTTTTTTTTCGTAATTTTCGAGTTTTGTTGGCCAATGCCAAATGGGACCAGCCAAATGGGACCAATAGGGGGCCAAATGACAAATGGGGCCAAAATGACAAATGGGACCAACCTCTATTAAAAAAAAGACCCTTTTTGCCAAATGGGACCTTGATTTCAGAACTGAAAGTGACAAATGGGGCCAAACTCTTTTTTTTTTTCAAGCAATGCAAATAAACATTATCAACAATCTACTGTCACCGGAACGACATTTTTTTTTCTTGAAAGAGCCATATACACCAGGGCTGTGCGGCATTCGGAAAAAAAAAGCCGGAAAGGCAAATTGCCGAAAATCAAAATTTCGGCTATTAAATGTTTTCAACGATAATTCGAAATATGAATAACGAATTTCTTAATTATGTTCATTCGGCCAATACCGTAAATTTTCCTAGAAATTGTCAGTGTTATATGGGGGAGGGGGTCTTAAGGGGTCCGAATTCGAAAGTTTTTAAAATTCCAGAAAATGATCCTAAGTGCCC